GTGTTTCCTAGAACATAGCTCTTTGAGCCAATATTTGTTTGCAAGTTTGAATACAGATATCTTTTTTTTTTTTTGAGAAGCAATTCTATATGCTGTTGCTTGCTAATTACATTTCATTTAATCAGTTTTGATCATCATTTATTCACCTAACAAGCATTTATTGATTGCTTTCTGGGTGCAAAGCAACAGTGAGGTCCTCCTGGTTTTCTCAGTTCTCACTGGCTTTTATTCCTCCTTTCGATTTGATAAAGGAGGGGAGGATTTAATAGACATTATATCCTTCCATCTGCCACATCTTTAATGCAACCTTAAATGGGCTAGAGTCTGCAGCAGGTCCCTGGGGCACTCCACACTTGCCTACTTTCAGTCATTAAGTTCTCTAAGAGATATTTCAGTAAATTCTCTACCTTTGGGCTCAGGGCCAACACATTAAAATTAATTCAGTAGCAAAATTACCAAACTAAGATATGTCATTACCATTTCATTCCCCCCATAAACTGTGTCAATCATGTATTTTTTCTGAAAAGTAATTTTTCAATTCAACTTTAATGGCACTTTATAAACTACAACCAAACTTATTCTTACTCTAACACAGTTACACTTGCTCCATGATTTTATTGGGACTCTCTGTATTTTCATTGCCTTCTTTTTCACTGGCTCACGTTTCCCCGAAATTTAGGTGGGATAATCCCACCGAATGTTCCTTACTCCCACAATCATTTTGGATAGAACCGTTATCTCAAATAGTGCTTTGATTTCTACTGCTCTCCATTCATTCATTCATTTATTCATTCACTCAACAAATACTATTTTTCTTTGTAGAAATGTAGCACTAGGCACTTGTCTTACTTTGCTCAGGCTGCCATAACAAAATATCATAGACTGGGTGGCTAAAAACACAGAAATTTATTTTCTCACATTTCTGGAGGCTGGAAAGTCCTCCCCAGGCTTCAGGTAGCCCCATCTCTAAGGCTACCATCAGTGACCCTCTGTCTGGCCTGTTGAACAGAGGCGGTGGCCCCCATCCTTTGAAACCAAGAAGGTTTCAAGGAGCCCTGATGATCTCTGAATCACCTTCAGGGTTATTCTTCCCTTTTCTGGAGGAATAGCACGCATTTATGTCTGAATAGCTCTATTGTCCTGTCCTGCAGGATCTAGGAAATCTGACAGCCTTCCTTCATTTTGTCTCATTTGTTCTAACCCCTTTAGTTTTTCTGTCCCCTGCTGGTGGTGTTGCTGCTGGTACAATCCCCATCTCTATTCCTGGCTTCTGCTGAGGTGGCTGCTTAAGCCCAGGAGAAGCACCTATGATCTCCTTGTCAAATGGCTGTACAGCCATACCCTGAGTGTTCTCTTCGGAACAGATTTCTCATTTTTGGCAATACGGATAGGCTGAGAATTTCCCAAATCTTCATGTTATGGTTCTTTTTTTTTTTTTAAGATTTATTTATTTACTTACTTACTTATTTAGAGAGAGAGAGCAGGGTGTGGGGGAGAAGCAAAGGGAGAGGGAGAGAAATCCTCTAGCAGACTCCCCTCTGAGCCCAGAGCCTGACACAGGGCTCGATCCCAGGACGCTGAGATCATGACCTGAGGCAAAACCAAGAGTCAGCTGCTTAACTGACTGAGCCACCCAGGCATCCCAGGTTCTTCTTTACTTAACAATTCCTTCTTCAATTCATCTCTCTCCTTTCCCACACTTTACTATAAGCAGTCAGGAGTAACCAAGATACTCCTTCCAACCTTTGCTAGACATCTCCTCAGCTAAATATCTAATTCCATCACTTGTAAATTCAACCTTCCACAAAATACTAGAACATAGTTCAGCCAAGTTCTTTGCCACTTTATAACAGAATGGCCTTTCCTCCAGTTCCCAATAACATGTTCCTCATTTCCACCGGTGACCTCACCAGAATCACCCTTAACATCCCTATCTCTAGTATGCCCCTTAAAACTTTTCCAGCCCCTACCCATTACCCAGTACCAAAGCTTCTTCCACATGCTTAGGTATCTATTACAGCAGCAACCCCCTTCTCAGTACCAAAATTTGTATTAGTCGGGGTTATCCAGAGAAACAGAACCAACAGGGTTTTGCATGAGTGTGTGTGTGTGTGTGTGTGTGTGATGAGAGAGAGACAGAGAGAGATTTAGAAAGAATTGGCTCACATGATTATGGAGGCTGAGAATCCCAAGATCTGTTGTCAGCAAGCTGGAGACCCAGATGGTTTAGTTCCAATCTGAGCCCAAAGGCTTGAGAACCAGGAATGTTAAGGGTGTAGTTCCAGTCCCCAAGCTGGCAGGCTCAAGATCCAAGAAGACAGTGTTTCAGTTCTAGTCCAAAGGCAGGAAAAGACTAATGCCCCAGCTGAAAGCAGTCAGGTGGTAGGAGCTCCCTCTTACTCCCTCTTTTTGTTCTATTCAGGTCTTCCACTGATTGGATGATCCCCCCCCCCCCCATTTTAAGGAGAGTGATCTGCTTTACTCAGTCTCCTGATTCACATGTTAATCTTATCCAGACACATCCTCACAGATACCTCGGAATGTTTGACCAAATATCACCAAGGCATCCCATGGCCCAGTCAAATCGACAAATACAATGAACCATTGTAGCCTCATAGGACTTACAAAAATCATTAAGACAGTTTCTGTCCTTGAAAAGCTTACAAATTTGTGCCAGGGCCAGACTAGACACAAGGTAGAAGGAGACAGCTGCTATAATAAAGGCAAGGGAAAGTGTTATGGGAGAGTAGAGAATCTATTAATTTTGTCTTGGCAGATCAAAAGAGGGTTTCATGCAAGGGCTGCCATCTGAACAGCCTTGAATATAGGTAGAATTTGGCTAACTGGTGCTAAAGGAGAGGAGAGAACTACAAATTTTAGGTGCAAGATGAACGGGGGTGTGAAGATGCGTAGTATAATTGTATAACCAGCATGTATAACCTGGAATGTCTTGGATATTAGTCTGTCAAGTAAAAATAATTGAAAAGCAAATTAAATCTTTAACGCATGTTCAAGAAAATGCCAAGGCAGGGGATGGGGTGTGCTGCATTCATATTACACAGCAAAACATCATACTATCCTCTTTTATCATTTCTCTCCCAAATCTCGCATATAATTCTCTCCCAAATCTCTCCACCATGCATAGCAGCTGCTCCCAAGTCTCTCCTCTCTCACACTCTAAAGCCCCCAAAACATCCTCCCAAGCCAGCCCATGTACAGGTTTTCTTTCCTCTGCCTCTTTTTTAACCTATAATTTTTCTCCCATCAGTAACTCTTTGTTCTTTCTAATATAAATCCATCTGGCTTAGCTTCTCCAGCTCTGTCCCTCATCCATTACCTTTACCTACTTTCCAAAGGCCTAGGAGCCAATTAGTTCCAATCCCTAAGGGGCTAGAAGAGGTGAAATGTCAAGATATCCTTGTGTTCATGTTTATCTCTGAAATCTGAAAAATAGCATGTACACTTTGCTTATGTATCTTTCCAGTGAAAGCAGAAAATCAATAAATCACTTGATATACATAAACAGTAGAGACTATGAAAGGACGTGGTAGGAAATGAGGCCGGAAAGGTAGCAATAAGAGCTAATGTCTAGGGGGCATTCACTATGTTCCATGCAGTATTCGCGCCATGTAGCATTTAGCTTTGAAGGCCATGCTAGTCGTGTCTGAATTTTAGTCCACAGCCCTTGGGAACCATGGAAGATTAGTGATTATAAAACTGACATGTCCAGATTGTATTTTAAGGTCTACCTATAAGATTAATGCAATTTTACAAAATAGATTGGACGGAGACAAAGATCAGAGGCAGGAATAGCAATAAGGAAGCTAAGAAGTACAGCTGAGAAGTGCTCAGGACTCGTCAATTTGGACTTTTTGGGTTGTAAGAAAGAGAGGTTTGTGCAGACTGTTTTAATATAAAGTGTCTGTGTAAAGGATATTCCGAGATTGGGACAGGAACTAGGCTTGAAAACCCTCAGGATCTAAGACAGCTCTAGGGATGGAGGACTCTCTTCATCTTTCTCTTTCATGTTCTCTCCCTCACACTTCTTTCTAACTGCTCCATTCTCCTCTTGGGCTCAAATACCCCTCCTCTCCTTCACTTCACATCCAATCACAGAAGGAGCCTCTCAAGAAGATTCGGTTAATTAAATCACCCCTATAGGCATCCCCAGCCAGCAGCCTCCAGTGAGGAAAGAACAGTTGGCTAATCCTTCACAGACTGCCCAGGCCATCCAGTGGGCAAGTGGGGGAGAGGCCGTGGACACGGCTGACATCATAATTAATATTTCTACTGGTGATATGTTTGGAGAGGAGGGGATGGCTTCTAACTTAAGCCAAAAAATTAATTTAATTAAGTACCATTCTTCATTTTACCATTGCTCGCACTATAACCTTGACCAAGGCACTTATCTCTTCTCTGCTTTGGTTTCTTTATCATTCAAATGGAGATATAAGTAACAGCACTCTAGAACTTAGCATTCTTCCAATTTGCTAGCCACATTTAGTTAACATGAGGTTTCACTTCTGGTTAACTAAGAATAACAATACCTTATGTATGTAATTACAGTTTGCAAATCAAGTTCACATCCATTTGATTTGATCCTCACAAGAACCCTTTAAGGTAGGTAAGACAGATATTACCTCAATTTTTCTGAGACCCAGAGAGGTTACATGACTTATCCAAGGTCACACAGCTATCAAGTGACAAAGCTAGGACTTGAATTCTCATCTTCAATCTCCAAGATCAGTATGTTCTCTTCTTGGTGCCTCTCAAGGGTTTGGTTGCCTATTCTCAAGGAGCAGATCTGCTGTAGACTCAAGACTACTGTCTTCCTGTTCTTTCTATTCTTATGTCTCCTTTTTTTTTTTTTTATGCCTCTCCTGTTCTTCTATATTTCTAGTTTATTACAGAAGTCTCTGTTTTGGCTTTGGTAATGAAGGGTTTGGTTGTAGACATTCGACAACTTCCCTGGGCATTGACCCTTGCTTCCTGAATTGCAGGGAGACACTCCATTACAGTCACTACTCTGACCTCAGCTGGAAACATCGGGGAGGATGGAATCCTAAGCTGCACTTTTGAACCTGACATCAAGCTTTCTGATATCGTGATACAGTGGCTGAAGGAAGGTGTTATAGGCTTGGTACATGAGTTCAAAGAAGGCAAAGACGACCTGTCAGACCAAGATGAAATGTTCAGAGGCCGGACAGCAGTGTTTGCTGATCAAGTGATAGGTGGCAATGCCTCTCTGAGGCTGAAAAACGTGCAACTCACAGATGCTGGCACCTACAAATGTTACATCATCACTTCCAAAGGCAAGGGGAATGCCAACCTTGAGTATAAAACTGGAGGTGAGTTACTTTTGGCAAGGGGGAAAGAGAGCGCCCAAAGGTATTTGGGGCTAAGAACCACGGATGCTGCTGAAATAATTTATGCTCATGAGTGACCAGTAAGACAAAGACCATCCTGCCACCAGTCATCCTTGCTGTCCAAGACCTGCACCAACTCCAAAAATAGCCCCCCTATAAGATTAGGTCTTAAAGTCTTCTGTTCTGGACTCTACTCTTCTCTGGATTTTCAGGTATATTCCCTGAAATAGTTTGCCAAAATAAATGTGGTCTCTTTTATGGTAGCCTTTGTTGTTGCTAGTAAGAGAAACCTATGATCTGGCCTGAGATTTTTCTGTGCTAAGTAGGCTCTAGCCTAAGTCTGAAATCAGTCTCCAGAGACTCATGGCAGTGGAACCTATTTTAGGAGAAGTTCAAAAGGAACTAACCAAAAACAATAATGTTCTATAAACACTAATCCTCCCCCAGTGAAATCCCACCCTTCCTTATCAACTCAGCTTGATGAATTTATGTATAAGAAACTCAGAGGTACTGTGAGGAGTAAAAGGATGATTAAGAAAACTAGATGATGGTCCCTCCTCTTGCAGAGCTCACAGGACACAGCTTATAGAGTTGAGGGCTGGGGTGGAGATAAGAAAATAGATAAATACCTATCATAATCGATAAAGTCTATCAATGTTTTAAGATAAATATAGAATGATTTGGGGATGCAGAGGGAGAGAAGGATCACATCCAAATGCACAGGGAGGGAAGGGATAGGAGAGCCCCCATGGAGAATTTGGCATTTGAGAAAGGCCTTACAAAATAGGCAGAAAGTATCCTGAGGCCTCCTGGCCTACACTAGTCTGCACAGGCCTTCCTTGGACACTTTATAATATGTGTTTCTATTGGTGATCTAGAGCCAGACCTGGGCAAGTACTGGGGCCTGGGCAAGGCAAACTCACTGAGCCTCAGTTTCTTCATCTTAAAATGGGGATTAATAGGGTCATGTCAAAGGGACCCTGGAGCCAACTGAAAGGGCTTCCAATGACAAAGCTGGAACAATCTGAGCAACAAAACAAACAGCATAGTAGTAAATGAAAACTCCAAGTATGAAATAAATACACATGAATCCATACTTCCATAAATATGAGGGAGATGACACAAATCTTCCTTACAGAAGAATTCCAAATAATGTATTTAGATCTCCCCACTCCAGCAGGTGGAGCTTAGTACTTCCTCCCTTCTCCTTGACCACACTCAGGGTGTGTTTTTCTTAGTGAAGTCCAACTTCCAGAGAAACCTGGCAAACACTGCCTCAGCAAGGTGATCAAAGTTAACATCATCAATGATAAGTCATGTCAATAGTATGCATTCTGATGTGATACGATGAGAAGGGCACTTTTCCTTCTATGGCCTTCCTCACCAAAACGCATAGCTTCAATCTAATCATGAGAAAAACCCCAGACAAATTCCAGTAGAGGGGCACCCTACAAAATACCTGACCTGGACCACTCAAACTGTCAAGATCATGAAAAACATGGGAAGACTGCGAAACTGACATAGACCAGAGGAACCTAAGAGGACAAGCCAACTAAATGCAATATGGGATCCTGGGAAGAAAAAGGACATTGGTGGAAAAATTGGTAAAATACAGATAAAGTCTGGAGATGAGTTAATAGTTATATACCAAAGGTGGTTTCTCAGTTTTGACAAATGTACCATGGTTGTTTAAGATGTTAACATTAGGGAAAATGGTGAGGTGTATACAAAAACTCTCTGTGTTATCTTGGCAGTGTTTCTGTAAATCTAAAATTATTCCAAAATTAAAAACTTGTTTTTTAAATGGTGATAATAATAGAGATCCCTCAAACAGTTGTGAGGATCAAATGAAATAATGTCTGGAATTTGGTACCTGGCACGGAGTGCACCCTCCATGGTGGTTCATTGTCATGTATACTCAGCTCCTTACATCATCTCCCAGGAGCTCATTCCCTGCCTACTGTGAGCAGATGAGTCTCATCTCCCCTGCTAGATGGAAGATTCTTTAAGGGCAAAGCAAGGGCTTTCCTTTCACTGCTCACTCAGTCCCAGCATACTCACAGTCAAAGGAAAGTGCTAAATAAATTAACAACTTGGATCTTGCCATTTGGCATAATAAGCATTTTATAGTCAAAAGTCCAGGCCTTAACATTTTTCCACAAATGTCTCACTGCCTGGATATTAGAGGAAGCTAGTCTTAATTTCAAAGTTCATTTACCTCCCCAATGAGGAGGATTATCTTAGAAGAAAACAAATGACTGTCTCTACCCGTGGAAACCAGGGCTGGAGAGTCTCCACCCAAGCAAAATCCAAACCCCCGTGATGACAAGGCCTGTGTATGGAATTTCTGTGGGTGACGGGTGAACGCTGTTTGTTTGTTCCTTCTCCCTCTCCCTCCCCACCCTAACTTTATCCTCCAGGCAGAAAAATACATAAAATCCAAGAGGCTTCTCAGGTGCCTGAGAAAATGTCCAAAATCCTTAAGGAATAAACATTTTGTGATCAACTTTATCCCTTATCTTTAAGGGTTGAACTGGAACTCCTCTTAGTTGGAGAAATTTATCTGTTATAACAATTATACCTAGAACTTAGGTCCTTAGAGTTTGTGATTTTGGCCAAAGCGTTGTCCAAATCATTATTTGCATCTACAATACAATTGGTCATACATAGACGGCCCACTGGGGGAAGTACTGAGTCACTTCAATGGTGGAAATGACTATGTTTTTAAGACCTAGCACTTCAGGGGCGCCTGGGTGGCTCAGTCGTTAAGCGTCTGCCTTCAGCTCAGGTCATGATTCCAGGTCCTGGGATCGAGCCCCACATTGGGCTCCCTGCTCTGCGGGAAGCCTGCTTCTCCCTCTCCCACTTCCCCTGCTTGTGTTCCCTCTCTTGCTGTGTCTCTCTCTGTCAAATGAATAAATAAAATCTTTAAAAAAAAGAAAAAAAGACCTAGCACTTCAAAGCCTATATTGTTTTATCTGTATGACCTTGACATCTGCCCCTCTTCACTTCCAACCCTGCAGCCTTCAGCATCCCAGAGGTGAATGTGGACTATAATGCCAGCTCAGAGAGCTTACGGTGTGAGGCTCCCCGATGGTTCCCCCAGCCCACAGTGGTCTGGGCATCCCAAGCTGACCAGGGAGCCAACTTCTCAGAAGTCTCCAATACCAGCTTTGAGCTGAACTCTGAGAATGTGACCATGAAGGTTGTGTCTGTACTCTACAATGTCACGATCAACAACACATACTCCTGTATGATTGAGAACAACATTGCCAAAGCCACGGGGGATATCAAAGTGACAGGTGGGTTTCCCCACGCTTTTTGCATGGTTTATTGGGCTAAAATCAAATACAAATTAAAATCTAATTGGTTTAACAGATATATTATGTATCGGGTTATAGAAAGCTTGAGAGTCCTCTTCATGGAGAACTTGAGCACAGTTATAGTTGGGATTGCATTACATAAGAAGACTAATACAAAACAATATTTATGGACTATAGGTCAAAAATCACAATGAGGCTTCATCTTGTACGCCTTCTCATTGACTGGGGGTAGTTGCCCGGAGAGCAGTATTTAGGATTCTGTGGTCCTAACTCAATAAGACCGCTTTGGTGAAACAATGAGGACAATGACAAATATTGGATATCTTTGATATATTCAGTGGGTGATCTACATCCCAAGCCCCCCAACCAAAACTGATTTGGTTCTAGCCTGCCTTGGAGAAGATTTTCGATCTGAAGACTAAAAGTCTTAAGGTCCGACTCCAACTTAGTCTTATTCAACCCATCTAGGACTGGCTCATGATCCCACTAATATTGGCCCAGGATTAGTCAGAAAGCTCTAGATTGAACTGGCCTCCCAGGCTAAAAAAAACTAGGACTCAGAGTGGCCCAGCACCCTAGTTTCCCTACCTTAGTGCATAAAAAAAACTAGGGTTGAGCTAGTGTCAAGAAAATGTACAGACTGGATTATGACTTTTAAGACCATCCCTACTGCAGCTGAATTAAATTCAATCTATAGTGGAAGGAGTATGCCAGGAGAACTGCTGTCTTATATCAAGCCCAGAACCAGGTGGAATACCTTGTACATTTAAGTGCCTTATAAATGTTTGCTGAATTTAACTGAATAAATCATATTTTTTCAGCTTACTTTTTAATTTAAAAGTATATATATGAAAAGGCAACCTATGAAATGGGAGAAAGTATTTGCAAATCATATATTTGATATCCAGAATATATAAAGAATTCCTACACTCGACAACAAAAAAATCAAATAACCCAATTAAAAAATGGACAAAGGCCTTGAATAGACATTTCTCCAAGAAGACAAATGGCCAACAAACATGAAAAGATGCTCAAGATCACTAATCATCAGAGAAATGCAAATCAAAATCACAGTATCACCTCACAAGCATTAGGATAGCTAGTATTTAAAAAAATGGAAAATAACAAGTATTGGTGAGGATGTGAAGAAATTGGAACACTTACGTGTGTTGATGAAATTGTAAAATGGTGCAACTGCTATGGAAAACAGTATGGAGATGCCTCAAAGAATTTTAAAAATAGAACTACCATATGATCTAACAATACCATTTCTGTGTATATATCCCAAAGAATTGAAAGCAGGTTCTCAAAGAGATATTTGTACACCCATGTTCATAGTTGCATGATTCACAATAGACAAGAGATGGAAGCAACCCAAAATGTCCATAGCAGATGAATGAATAAACTAAATGTGGTATATTGGGGCATCTGGGTGGCTCAGTTTGTTGTGTCCAGCTCTCCATTTCATCTCAGGTCATGATCTCAGGGTTGTGATATGGAGCCCCATGTCGGGCTCCATGCCAGGTGTGGAACCTGCTTAAGATTCTCTCTCTCCCTCCCCCTCTGCCTCTCCCCACCATCCTCCACTCAGGCATACTCTCTCTTTCTCTCTCTCTAAAAAAAAAGGTGGTATATATATACAATGGAATATTATTCACCCTTAAAAAGGAAGGAAATTCACATGCTACAACATAAATAAATTTTCAGGATACCATGCTAAGTGAAATAAGCCAGTCGTAGACAAATACTCTATGATTCTACTTATATGAGATATCTAAAGTAGTAGTCAAATTCAGAGGAACAGAAAGTACAATGGTGGTTACCAGCACTTTGTGGGGGAGGGAAAAGCAAAGAAAGTTGTTTAATGGGTATAGAGTTTCAGATTTGCAAAATGAAAAAGTTTTGGAAATCTGTTCCATAATAATGTGAATACACTTAAAACTACTGAACTGTACATTTAAAAATGGTAAAGATGGTAAATTTTATGTTTTTTACCACCAAAAAAAAAAAACCCAACAAACAAATCATACATATGAGAAAAAGAGAGCTCTTCCACCATCCTGAGGAACAAATTGGTGACTAGTGACTAGAATGCTCTTAATTGATTGTAACAGAAAACCAACTCAAAATAGCCTAAGCTAAACAGAGAATTTAATAAAAGTGCATTAGGATAGCTCATGGAACCAAGAACAGAAAGAGTAATTTGGCTTCAGGAACTGCTGGAACCAGGAATTTAAACTCCACTGGGATTTTCAACTCTCTACTTTATTCTCTTGTTACTCTCTAATTTAGTTTCTCTTGTTTTAGTCTATAGGGCAGAATGTGATTCCCAAGAGTTCCTAGCTTTAAAAGTCTCTCTCACTCGATAGAGGAACCAGAGTCAGCCTTACTCCCACAGTCTTATTCTACATTCTCAGAAAGGCTCAACTTGCGTCAGTTGCCCACACATAGACCAATCAGGCAGTACCTGCTGGAAGGCCTTTCCTGAAGAAAAGGGGGAAATGAAGCATTGGGCATTTAGAAGGATGGGTGTGGACAATAGTATCTCAGTTCAGATCTCAATAAATATCTCCAAACTGGATAACTAAAGCCTTCCAGTACAAAGGACAATAACTGAATAAACCACAGATATGGAGCACACCTTTTATTCAGTGAGCAGATTCTTCTTCCATACATGCTTATTGGATACATCAGGACAAGTGTCCCATGTATCAGTACTAGGACTAAATACAATATGGTAGCAAGACATAGCTCAAAATTCAGAAAATAACACAATTCCTTCTTGCCACGTACAAAGTACTCCATACATGTTTTTAAACCATTGGATGAGATGGCAGAGTTTACATCCTGTGTTCTCTGACTCTACTGCTAATTTAGGTCATTCGTTCAATAAGTATCTATTGTGCGCCAAATATGTACAAAGCAATTTTTAAGTCCCATGAAATATGGAGGTGAATAGCATAAATGTCATAAGAGGAATTAATCCCAGTGTAGATGTGGTGTTTAGGGGAAAGAATTGTTAATTATGACTGTGGCTCAGTAGATGAGGCAGAGTTGAAGCTGGGCTTTGAAGGAGAAAAGAATGGTTTTGATAGAATGGGAAGTTGTGAAGTCAAGAGCCTATGTCGATGGTCCAGGGGAGAAATTAGGAGGGCTTTCACTGGGACAGTGGCAATGGAAAGGAAAGGGGAAGAGTCAAAAGCTAATGAAAAAAATCATCTTGGTTACACAAATATGTAGGACAAGAGAAAGAGGAAGTCAAAATGGGTCTAAACCCCAGTTGCTTAGGAGGTTAGTAATGCTATCAACCCAAATTAAAACAGGAGAAGCAACATGAAGGTGAGGGTTTTGGAGATGCTGAGTTGAATTGTGCACATAGGTAGAGATGTCTAATGCATGGCACATTGCCCAGCATGTGACAGCATTCTCCCCATAACCTTCAACCCTCCCCTCCACATTTCCTTCCATGAGAAAGGATTCCCCACCAATGTAACCCTTCTAGCCTCTCCCGTCTCCCTTCTTCCCCTTCTCCCCAAAGGAGAAAGAGTTAATTTACCTGATTAGGGACTTTTGTAGGAGAAGCTAGACACAAAGAGTTTGGCTCCTTCTTTTCCCTTTCTCTCTAGCTAACCCTCAGAAAGTGTGCTCCTCTAAGCCATCAGTTCTTCAGAAGAAGAACCTGCTCTTGCGGCAGGAAGCCTGCCCCAGTCTGGTGCTGCCTGTCACTGGGAAAGTCTGGGGGGCAGCCTATCTGCAGACAAAGCTTCATCTTTTATTATCAGACTTAACCAATGATAAAGGTGACATTTGGGTCTTCCAGTTGCCTCACTCGTTTTATCTTATCCTTTAATTGGTTCAGAACTCAGCTGGGGAAGAGGGTGTTCCTTACTGGACTCCTTTGAACCCCAACAGCAGGTGCTCAAAAATATTTGCTGAATAATTAAATTTTTAATTGACATATACAGTGGCAACCATAAATCCAGGTGTGGAACTCAGGACAGAGCTTAGACTAAGGAGGTGGGTTTGGAGATGGTCAGATTAGTGAAAATAATGCTTATTGGGCTCGAGTGGGGTCCCTCTTATTGTTGTTACAGGGGATACTTGAGTGCTTATTACGTGCCAGGTCCTGTTCTAAGTGCTTTACATCCTCAAAAGAACTCTACGAAGTCCATTATTACCTTAGCCTTATTTTCTAGGTGAAGAAACTGAGGCACGTATAGGTTGAGTAACCTGCCTCAAGTCACACAGCTAGTAAGTGTCAAAGCTGAAACAAACTAAATGAGATTGGATTGTCTAGGAAGCAAATAGAGTAAAAGAAGAGTCATCTCATGTCTTCACTTCTATCTTTCTCGACTTCAAATGAGAACAATACTTTCACATTGCTTTGTAGTGGTGTGATGAAGCAAATGACACAGAACCTGTAAAGGTCACTGCCTACAGGAAAAAAATGTGTCCGAAGCCAAGGACTGGCCATGACCGCTTATCTTATTCTTTCTTTGGTAAGCAATAACAGTCTCTTTATTGGTCTAGTTTTTCATTTGGCTGAGTGTTCACTGGAGTGGACAAGAGAAAGGAACTTCCTTTGAAGAAAGAGAAAGCTCTGATTTTAAGCCAGTTACAGAGAGGTAGAGAATAGGGTGCAAAATTGCCCCCAAATTGGGGTATAAGTTGTATTAGGATCAACTTGTTCTGTTTTTCAGGTACCTTTCTTTGCCAAGCAGCCACGTGAGGAAGACATCCAGCTTTTCCTCTGTGACCCTGAACTTTTTTCTCTCCCTTTGCAGACTCTGAGATTAAAAGGCGGAGTCACCTACAGCTGCTGAACTCAAAGGCGTCCCTGGGTGTCTCTTCTTTCTTCACCATCAGCTGGGTACTCCTGCCTCTCTCCCCTTACCTGATGCTAAAATAATGTGCCCTGGACACACAGAAACACGCAAAGTCATTGGTACGACAGGTGAGATGAATCACGAATGGTGTGGGGATCGGATCTATGTGTCCTTGCGTTCCTAACAAGAGTCAAGCAACCTCCAGCATCAGCCTCAGAAAGAAACATTTGATAATGCCAGGGCAGTGGGCACTCTTCCTGCTGGTCTTGTGAAAGGTAAATATGTGTGAACAAAGAGTGTAGATCTCATCGATATACTTCCAGCAAAAACAACTCTGCAATTCAAATATTTGTGTAAATTCAAACATCTTTTCATTGACCGAGTTATCCATCCACAAGGCATAAAGACAAAGAGATGTTTAGGCCCGATAGTTCCTCTGGATTTCACTGTTATCTTACAAAACCTCATGACATGCACATAATTACTCACACAGGTGACCTCTTCCTAGCCCCCCAACAAAGCTCCTATTGACCAGAAGTTTGACAAATGACTCCCCAACTAGCCCTGCCCCTGCTGAGACTTCTGTCACTTCAGTCCTCTGGTTCCCATTATTAGTAGGACATTGCTTTCTGAATATTCTTCTTGTATGGCATCTGCGTACAGCTGAGCTCATGAAGCTCCAGTCAGCACTATCACATGACTCAGCGGCATCGCCACCATGCATCCAGGCTCGCAACCTTAGAGCTATTTCTGTCCCCGCTCTGTCCTTGATGTCCATTTGTTACTAAGCCCCAGAGCATTTTCCCTGGGTTGTCCCTCAGACTGACCCTAATCCAGCCTCCACTGTTTCACACACCAGACTAGTTCTAAAACCTTATACTTGCTCCTTCCTCTCCCTGTGTCCATCAATAGGAAATAAGATGCCAAAATTAAATGATTTCAGTGCTATTTTCATCACAGCATTCCTTTGCTCTGGAACCGAACGTGACTCTCTGGGCACTACTGTGTCAAAGTCAAAGTCCTCAGCCATGTGGTCACAACTCTCTGAGAGTTTCTTTCCTTGCGCTTCCTGCTTCTCTCAGCTGCCTGCTCCTCTCTCTGGCCTTGCTCCCTCTCTCACTGCCCCTTTCTGAAAGTCTCCTCAACTCTATGGCTATTCAAAGCCACCCTTCCTTCACCCATTTCAATCAAGTGCTTCCCAGCTCTTAGCCCACTTTCCTGATGGTCCCTTCATTCCCCATCCCCTTGGCATGCATGAATAATTTATGATCTCTTACACTCTCGAAGGCACATATATTCCTCGCCTAGATTGTTAAGTAGGGCAGGCAAAGATCTGTTGATCTGCCTTTCATTCTTTCTCCTGTTCTCCAAACACAACAGTGCAGTGCACAAAAGGGATTCTTTGTAAGGAAACCCGCCCGGGGCCCACCTCCATGGTTGACAGTGGAGGGAGATTTCCCTGAGGAAACTCTCTCTTGAGGATCTCACTAATAGAAAAGGAACACACTTTCTTCTTTCCTTGATTCCCCACAACACTGTAAATGAATTTTTAATATCCTGCAACTAGATAATCTAGCCTATAAAGTATAGCTGATTCATCTTTATCTTTTATTTCCTTTGAGCAGTCATTTGCAGCCTTTTTTAAAAGACATGACATCCGGGCGCCTGGGTGGCTCAGTCGTTAAGCGTCTGCCTTTGGCTCAGGTCATGATCCCAGGGTCCTGGGATCGAGTCCCACATCGGGCTCCCTCCTCAAGGGGAAGCCTTCTTCTCCCTCTCCCACTCCCGCTGCTTGTGTTCCTGCTCTCGCTGTCTCTGTCTCTGTCAAATAAATAAATAAAATCTTTAAAAAAAAAGACATGACATCCGTGTAAGGGACCATGTTCACATGCAGTATGCATAGGTTATATACAGTTACCTGATTAGCTACAGCTCCACCTCTTTCTCCCTACAACTACAGAGGCATAACCTTAAATCAATTTTTAAAAATAAATAAGTAGATCATTACTTGTGAAACCCATAAGGGACTGTGGGGGAAGGTCATTGAAAAGATGTGAGTGACTGTCAGTTGACCCATGAGCTAGACCCGGGTGATCAGAGGCTCCTCACCTCCACCCCTGTCCTTGGGACAAGGGTCCCACTTGCCTGTCTCGCTCCCAGAGGTTGCTCCAAGGACACGGCCTTGAGATAATGATGTGGCGTTGAGAACACCTTGCACGGTGTATGTGACCGAACCTAGTGATGGCCCCTATATAGAATTTTAAGACTTGCAAGGATCTACTCGTCCTCTTGCTGCCCAGGACGAGCCTCATGTATAAGTGCCCTTTGCTCAGAGACTGCCACCCACCAACCTGGAGTGGTCTGCCTCTTTCTTCTGTCTCTCCCTGCTCTACAAGGAAGGGGGCGCAGTTTCAGACTATTCCCAGGGAGCTCCTCCTGGGAGAGTTGTGAACCAACGCTGAGCACAACATTTTAGGTCACACACATTCCTTGGTTGGACACTCAAGGAGAAGTCATCTTTCTACTTCTACCCAGAAGCCTGCTCCTAGCTCATCTCTCAGTTCCTGTCTTCTCTAAGCACAATCCCCTTCCTGAAGAAGAGACTCAAGCCATCTTCTTTCCCCCAAGCAACCCATGGTAGCATGTGATCTTTATAGAACATCATCCAAATACAGAAAAAGGAGCCCATCTCTGAACAAGAGAAACCCTCATACAGGGGCAGAGACAATTGGTGCTCCATAATGTTTGCTGAATGGTTGTAAGGACATCCTATTTCTGTTATTTTCAGAATCCCAGGAATCTGCAGAACTATTTCACCATAAGATATGACCTAGTTTTGTATTTCTGGGGGGAAATGAATTCATGTCTAGAAGTTTGGAGTGAACAAATAAGATCAAGAAGCAAAAAAAAAAAAAAAAGTCAAAAGCAACCCACAGAAGACTCCAATATGAACCAAATAAATCTATTTTCAAAGACCTATATTAAAAGCTGGGAACATAATTCATCTGAACTGGATATGTGTTAGGACTAAGTCAATTGCAAGTGGAGACAAGTGGATCTCTGTACCTCAGGGACCTCCCCTTACAACCACCCCCCTCATCCAGGGAGTGAGAGGATGGGATATTGCCTCTCCTTTGTCTCTGAATCTTTATATTGCTGTAATGTTGCTCTAAGTTCCCAGAAATTTTTGATTTGCAATACCTCCACATCTTATAATCCATAAATTAAGCCACAGTGGATACAGTAAGAAGCTGCTAATTAACTGCCACTTCACAATTCAGAGGTGGCTGAATTTTAGTGATGGGTCAAATAATTCACTTTTCGTTAGGATGTTTCCCAAAGTGCCTTGGAATCTCCTCCCACCTGACAAATGCTAAAGAAATGTGGGCAAGGTCATAATTTTAACTTAAAACATGTAGTTGGGAGACACCAGTTTTCCAAATTATCCAAACATCTTCTTTTTTAAACAAACAAATGCTATTTTATTTCTCAGATGACATGCATCCTTGACTGGTCCAGGAAAGGACCTCTCGTCATCACTGCATAAGGCATTAGGTCAACACAAGTGTTTCAGGCTTCTCCTTTCTGTCTTGCATGGACAGTGATAACCTCAGCTTTCAACAGCACCTAGAGCAGCGGGACTCAATCGGGGTGATTTTTCACACCCCTCCCCACACAGAGCCGACATCTGACAACGTTTGGAGACAATTCTAGTTGTCACAACTCGGGGGAGAGAGGAGGGTGCTAATGTTATGGATAGGACCCAGGGATGCTGCTCAACATCCTACAGTGTATAGGATTACCCACCCACAACAAAGAATTACCCAGCCCCAAATGTCAGTCCTAGAAGAGGATGTAGAGAAGAGGGGGGATAAACAAAACCTGTTTGCTTCCTACAGAGAAGGCACCATCCTCTGTCTCTCTGGCTGCTGTCACAACACAGAGAGTCAGAGCTCAGTTTCAGGGAAACAGGAATTCCTGATGGGGCTGTATCTGGTGGGTTTTCCCTTCCTTCTACGGTACAAATTAGGTTCTGTGAGAGCTGCCTGAGGTCTATCTCAAGTTCTCTTGCTCCAAATTCAGATCTCAGGACCCTGCCTAGTCATAATTCCGATGAAGACAACGAAAACTTGTCCCCTCCTTGAAACATACAGAGACTTCTGAAAGCAGGGGCAATGGACCTTTGAAATGAGACCCTAAAGAATAAAGTTTTAATCGAAAAGAATGCTTTGTTCACACACACACCCCCTTTCCATACTTTTCCCTTGTTGAGGTCTGCCTCCCTGACACTTTGGACCCACCATGACTGTATTACATTTTGTTATAGAAAACTCAGTTTTTGAGCTCTGAGCATTCAAGAGAATGATTAAATGCACATTTCCTATACTGTTGTCTCCCTGGTTTGTCAAAGAAAGTGAGCATAGGGAAGATGGATAAAAAGCCATGGATCAAGTTCTAAAGATTGGCACCTAGCACATAACAGGCCTTCAATAAATGTTTGTTGAATGAAGAGATAAATGAATAGGAGTGGCTGGGCCTAGTTTCTGAAGGAAACTCCATAGACTTTGCCAAGCCTGCCATGTGTCCATCTGGGAAAGGTCTCAGTGGCTTGAGGCAGATAACATTTGGGAGAATACATATAGGTTGACAAACCCATTGCTCTAGTGTCAAAAAATCTGATGTTTACTATTCAGGAATTGTCAAATTCTCAAATCTTAGAGGTGAAGGACCTCAAAATCATCTTGCCTAGTCCTTTCACTTGTCAGATGAAGACCCAGAGGCCCAGGGTGAAGTGTGTGTCATGGCCTCAGGTTATGTGACTTGCCAAAAATTGCACTGATAGTTGGTAGAGGGATAAAAATCTATAGAAAATTTAATTGCCAAAGGACAAATTCTCGGGGACTTTCAGAACAACTCTTCCCTGCTGTATTTCCAGCTTGGTCCTAATTGGCCTTTTACAAGGCGGGACCAATCCTGAACCAAATTGAAAAAGCAAACTGTGAGAGCATAAACATTCCCAACCCAGGTTAATTCTTTGGCCTTGTCCATGAGCACACGGCAGATGCATTAGACAACAGTATTGTATCAGCTAAAGTGAAAGAACCAGAATATGATGCACACCACAAACATTTGGGGAAGCTCAAACCTGGATGCCAACGGCTAAAAAGTTTCAGAAGTGTTACACATTTGACCGAACAAGTCCAATTTCAAGGTGCAGTATCAGCTCCCAGCTATCCCCAGGTTGTCTGAAGATTTGTTTTCGGTGCACATTGACCTCAATCTGTGCATTATTAATTGGGGGAAAGGGTGTGCATGGTTCACTATTGCATAATAAAGCTTCTGCTTGATGGCATATGTGGTATGTTTCGGTTCTGTTGATGAAACGGAATTCCCAATCTCCCTCCGGCTGGTGAAGTCTCCACACATCCAACTGGCTGTTCTAATCCAGACTGTCTTACCATGTGCCTGAGCCCCTGCTCCTTCTGACTTTGTCCTATTTCCTCTTTCACGTCAGTCATCTCCAGGAGTTCCAGTATGCAAACCATGAATGAGAATTAACTGTCACAAAATAGAGCCTTAGCTATGCTCTCTCCTGTCTTTCTTTAAATTCTACCTACCCTCCAGCAAAATTCTTTCCCCATGAAGCTGTTTCTGAGCAGTTCTACATAACATGATTTTACTCTTGTCTTTGGTCTATGCATGCAATTTAGCATGGTTTTCACTGCTGTGTGCTTGGACTCCCTTGAAGATGATGACAAAATAAGGATGGGGGTCCAGGCAGGTAGCCCTTGGAAGTCTACTCTTAGAAGAGGGTCAAACAGATACACCCAAGAAGCCTTGTTTTCCTGATGGCGTTTGCTGGGACAAAGCAGTTAAATCGCAGCCTAGAAGGGGGCTCTGCACTTACCACTACAGGAGCCCCTGTGTCTACTGAAAGGTCGGGCTCCCCCAGAAAATGATATGTCTGTGGCTTCTCAAAGTCATAACTTGACCTTCAGCATTACCTTGTCTCTTCAGTTCAAATCTAAACATCCTGCCTAAGGAGTGTCCTTAGCATTTTCAATCAGAAGATCCCTTACCCAAAACTCTAAACAACATTTCAAATAAGAACTTTATGAATATCTCCCTTCTTTAGAAGAAGCCAAAAGTGATGCTCAGTTAATCTAGCCTGTGAGCAGTTCATAGCAGAGTGAGAGCATTTCCCTTCTCTTTGCCCTCTATATCTGCAGTTACCAAATGTTATTTGTAACTACTTATGTGTCATTCTAGAGAGAATGATTTAGGTTTTGACAGATACAATTCCAGGACCTTATGGTACATAATATGACTTTGATGAGTTGGTTCAGGTAGCCATATAGGACTCCAGTGGTGGGTTCAGGCCTCACACCTAGGGTAGGTGAGACTAGAAGTATGACAGGGATACAGCATACACATAACAGCTTCTATTGAGAGGCAGTGGTGCCCCAGAAGAAGCCAAGTCACAGCCTGCTAAATGAGGATCTAGGAGAAAAATAATAATTGTCTTCAGTTTCCTCTCCCTTCCCTTTTATCCATTTTCTCCCACATGGCCCAATCAACCCTCCTGTAGGCCCTGAATACTCTCTGTGTTTCCACCATTCTTTCCATTAACTGCCCCACCTACCACTGCCCAATAAAGAAAATGCTTCCTGGCACCTAGCTATACATGAGAAGGTAATTTATGGACTACCTTTTTCATTAGCTTAATGTCTTGCCCTCCCATGAAGGCAAGTCCTTACTTTATTGAAATAAAGCCGTGATTGAAAATATCAAACAAAAATATTAAACTACTGAGAGATACTTGGGATATCAAAGTGTAGACCAGTGATTCTCGGCAGGGAAGTCTGGGGGCAGGGGGTGGTGGGGCTTTTTAACAATACAGACATCACTACCTCCTTCCCATCACTGCAGTGAGGAATCATTGTGTGACATGAGACAGATTTGAAGAGAATATGTTACCTTTATACACAGGGGACTATTGTGGAAGTCTTGAGGTCAACTGAGGCAAATAGGTACCTTTAGAGAAGGAAAGGAAATCGAGCGCCTCCTATGTGTCAAATGTCTGACTAGGTCTTTTTTCTCATTCAAGCCTTATCCTATATGGCAGGTATCACCTTGCCCCATCACCATCACCATCACCATTTTACAGAGGAGAAAACAGGTCCTGAGAGGTTAAGTAACTTATTTAAGATCACACAGCCAACAGGTTGAACCAGAATTCAAGCTCAAATCTATCATCACAACCCATACTATTTCTGAAAGAGTCTGGTCATGTGTAAAAGCGCTATCAGAGGCTTAAAATATAATATAAATATTGGCCATCATGTAATTATATGTATTAAAATATGAGGAGTCCTTGAGAGCGTTCAGCTTCGTTGCTCCTGTGGGTTTGCAGCTATCTGTGAGGACGGCTCTTCTCCCTGGAGGAGACTGCAATACTGCCTCAGTTACACTTGGGGCCCTTTCCCACCGCAGCCTCTCCCTGGGTCACTGAGGGGCTGCCAGTGGAATCGCAAGCCTCTCCCACCGGCTCTGGCGACACCACCTTGTTGTGTTCCCAACAGTCCTTCTGGGACTACCTCTGAGACTTCAGAAGAGAACTGTGATCTGTTGAAGTGAAGCCTTTTCCAGTTGATCCAAAATGTTTTCTGAGACCAGTTTATATGGTCATTCTTGTCCAACCTCAAGTACACCTGGAAAGAACACATTTAATTACTATAACTTCTCCCCTGGGTCCACTAATGTTGAGCACTGGATCACACATGACCCCTTCTCCTCTGTCATGACCAACCGTACTGCTTTTATGCAATCAAATCTATCAGTTTTTCCACTTTTGTTTCTTCTTTTAGTACTTCTGTTTATGTATGTTTAAATATAAACTTCTGGGGGCGCCTGGGTGGCTCAGATGGTTGAGCGTCTGCCTTCGGCTCAGGTCATGATCCCAGCGTCCTGGGATCGAGCCCCGCGTCGGGCTCCCTGCTCAGTGGGGAGCCTGCTTCTCCCTCTGCCTCTGCCTGCCGCTCCCCCTGCTTGTGCTCTCTGTCAAATAAATAAATAAAATCTTTATAAAAAATAAATAAATAAATAAATAAATAAATAAATATAAACTTCTGCACCCCTGGATTAGGTCAAGCTATTCATCTTTACATTATAATATTTCCATGTTTCTTTTTTAACATTTAAAACTTTACTCCAGGGGTGCCTGGGTGGCTCAGTCGGTTAAGCGTCTGCCTTTGGCTCAGGTCATAATCTCAGGGTCCTGGGATCGAGTCCCTCGTGGAGCTCCCTGCTCAGCGGGAAGCCTGCCTCTCCCTCTCCCTCTCCCGCTGCCGCTCCCTGTGCTTGTGCTCGCTCTCTGTCAATAAATAAATATTTTAAAAAATAAATAAATAAAACTTTACTCCATCTTAATTTTTGGTATAATCTGTGAGGTAAGGGAGTTAACCACTGTTTTTTCAAATTATTCTCCAATACTATTTGTGAATTAATCCTTACCTCCACTAACTTTTTCAAATATTACATCGCATGTTTCTATATATACTTGTGTCTGTTCCTGAACTTTTGATAACCTTTGAGACCTACCATTTTAACAAGACTATACAGGGAAGGAAAAAGAATAGTTATATGCAAATACAGCTTTCCCAGCTATTCCCTGGAGATGGGTAAGAAAGAGACCAAAACAGGGGGGGAAAATCAGAAATGAATAGTGAATGATCAGAAGGGACTTATCAGTTCAATAAATAAACCCTTGTAAGAATTTGCCCTGGTGTAAAGGAAGGTGTTACTATTCTCCCTTAATGTAGTGAGCAAGGAGGAAGCATAATCAGGATAGAGATACACCTGTCAGAAAAATGCTTGCCTCCATTTAATTCCTCTCCCCACCTCACCCATTTATGAGCCAAAGTATTCTACTTACTTACCTACCTTCAGGGTCAGGCCTGGGCATAGTCTGAACAGAGTTCCTGCTGTGGGCAAAAATCATATTGGGAGTCCCTGTCTCAATAGGACCTACCCCATTCGGTAACTGCAACTATTAAAGAGATAATTCATGAAAAGCAGTTACTACATTGCCTGGCTGTACGAGTTTGCTAGAAAACTGACATAACAAAGTACCACAGACTTGGGGGCTTACACAACAGAAATTAATTTCCTCACAGTTCTGAGGGCTGGCAATCCCAGATCAAAGTGTCGCTGGTTTCGTTTCTCCTGAGGCCCATCTTCATGGCTTGCAGATGGCACCTTCTCGCTGTGTGAAAAGGCACTAGCCTTTTCTCAGTACACATGCATCCCTGGTGTCTCTCCCTCTTCTTATAAGGACCAGTCATATTGGGTTAGGGCCCATTCATACAACTTCATTTAACCTTAATTCTCTCTTTAAAGGCCCTATCTCCAAAGAGTCACATTCTGAGGTGTACTGGGGGTTAGGACTTCAACGTACGAATTGGGGGGAGGATACACAGTTCACACAGTAACACTGGCATATATGAAGGAACTAATAAAAAGAAGCTATTCGTAAGTACATGTGTTGGGCAAGGCAAATAAACATCGATGCAACCGTAACAGGAAATAGATGAACAACTTCGCTTTTTCTTCCTTTCTGACCAAGAATAGATGTCCAATGCTTGAAACAGCTGGGACACAACAGAAAGCCTTGTGCAAATAGCTACCTATTCCAACCAGGTCAGAGGATACTTGAAGGCTAGAGCACAATGGCTCAGCAGGTGGATGCTGCTAAGGGAACTGAATTGGCTAATGGCCTCCCCAAAACCATAGGTTACTATTTTAAATGTTACAAAAGACCGTAGAGCATGAAAAGATGAAAAATAAAACCAGCGTGGGTCCAACCTTCAAAGGAGGAGAACTGAGTTGATAGGGGCAGTTTGGCTGCATGAGACTAAACTAAACTGCTGAGTACTAAGCTGTCTGGGGGCTAGGGGGAGATCACAATCTTTTCTGTCCTGGGGCTCTCAGGACAGAAAATAGCCTTTTCCTTTTTTCTTTCCTTTTCACTAAAATCCTTTTTGCAGTCCTTGAAGATGGAAAATGGCTGTGTGCTGGCCAAAATCATGCAAAAGGGACACAAACACACTTACCCCTAGTGCTACATAATGTAAATGTAAAAGAGGGCTTATTTGGGGAAAAAACCTCCCAAGCAGATTTGAAGGAGCAGGGCGAGCCTCTGCGCTTCTGTAAGAGCAGCATGCTTAGGCAGGGCATAGCTGCACGAGAGCCAGCAGGGCCAAGCGTTCAAGTAGAGGGTAGTCACCCACCACCATTACAGTGCCAAGTGACCCTCCCCCCAACAATGCTCTGTGTATTTGTGGAAAAAGAACAGTAGGTAACTATAATGCCATGGAAGCCCCCAATTGAGGAAAGGCCTTGTTACAAAGGGGATCACCCAAAGCTCAGGAGCTAGTATTTCTTTTTAAGATTTATTTATTTATTTTTATTTTGAGAGAGACCGAGCATGGGGGGAGGGGCAAAGGGAGAGAGAGTGTTAAGCCGACTCCACATAGAGCACAGAGCCTGACATGTGGCTCGATCTCAGGACCCTGAGATCACGACCTGAGCCGGAACCAAGGTCAGCTGCTTAACCGACTACACCACCCAGGTGCCCCCGCTGGAGCTAGTATTATGTCATTCTCCGCCCGAGGGCTTTCAGGGCCCTCCAGATGCACATCTACTCAGTCAAGGAAAAGGAATATGTACCAGCCATTGTAGGGAGGGCAATCCTCGCTACATATAGATGTCATTGGACTACTGGTCAGTTGAAATGGCAGCACCAAGTGGGACTGATTTTCTTTACGAGCTCTTCTATAGGTGTGGTCTTTAAGAGCCAGGACTCTGCAGGACTCTTATTTTTTGCATTAGGGCCCAAATTGTGATTGAAAAACAAACAAACAAAAACAAGAAAACCCTCTGGAGTTACACTGCCAGAAAGGACCATGAACATGGGCTCTCTAAATTTCTTTGTGTCATCTGAAGACCACCAACAGCCTCTTATCCCCAGGGCAGAGACAGCCCTCTGAGTTCACTGAGGGATGAAGTCTTTTCTTTTGACTTTCTGCTTCATGTGCTCAGTTGCTCCCTGGACGAATGGTGGTCCAAATTTTATCATTAACGCTATGAAAATAGTAAAAATGTCTCAAACATCTATTGTAGAGCAGATGTAATTTACACCACAGGAAGAGGGTCACTTTAGTCAAAAGATTGCAGACATTTTTGGTAGTTACCAAACAAACAAAAATCTGATGATTCTCAAATTTTTATCTCCAGCTTTCATCACTCTCTCCCAATCGGGACACGTTCCCAACTACTGACCAGGCACCTCCATCCGAAGCTACCTTATTCTAAACACATCCAAAACAAGCTCATTTTTGTGGGTTATACTATCTACTTAAGTCATCCACGTTAGAGCTTTCAGTCTTTGAAAACTTTGACCCCTAACTCCTAATTAACTGGTCATCAATTTTTATCAATTATACTGCCAAAATGCCTATATCCTTATTGTTCCACTGTTCTTTATCCTTACTGTTCCTTAGTTCAGTATTTTCTCTCAAGTGAACAACTGCCCAACCTCTAATCTTCCTGCCTCCAGTTTCATTTTGATTTTTGATCTGAGAACCATCCCTTTGAGACATGGTGGATGGGAATACAAGCTTGACCTCTCCTGAACAGGAGGAAAAAAGCAAGAATCCCTTAGGTCCAACTCACAATAGAAGAGTGACAGAGCTGAGAAACAGAGGAACAAGTCTTTCCCCGTCAATGTGGCATGATGCTGTGGTTTGATCCAATGATTGTGGCAGGGTTCTATGCATTTTCTTGAGAGGAGATGGGAAGGAGATGTTCTTGATGGAAGATGGGAAGACAGAGGGAAAATGGCTACTCAACTGAGGGGGTTAAATTAGCCAAGAATCTATTAGGACTCAAGATAGGTGATCCTTAGTTTTCCTTAAGTAATATGCAAAAGAACTTGGGTATGTACACACTCTAAAAATTATAGGCAAATTTTAATTTTTAGAGAAAACAATTACTCCTAAATCTACCACCCTGATAATGACTATCAAATCTATACATATCCTTCTAGCCTCTTCCCACTGCATACGTATTTAACATAGCTGCAATCACAGCCTTTGTCTTTTTTTTTTTTTTTTAAGATTTTATTTATTTATTTGACAGAGAGAGACACAGCGAGAGAGGGAACACAAGCAGGGGGAGTGGGAGAGGGAGAAGCAGGCTCCCCGCAGAGCAGGGAGCCCGATGCGGGACTCGATCCCAGGACCCTGGGATCATGACCTGAGCTGAAGGCAGTCGCTTAACCAACTGAGCCACCCAGGCGCCCACACAGCCTTTGTCTTGAGTAAATATATAGAATTATATACCTAAAGATGTGCTAAGTTAGAAAAACAATTGACCTGGGGCGCCTGGCTGGCTCAGTCAGAAGAGCATGCCACTCTTGATCTCAGGGTCGTGAGTTCAAGCCCCACGTTGGGTTTAGAGTTACTAAAATAAATAAACCTAAAAAAAAAAAAAAAAAAGGAAAACAATTGACATTACTTAATCTCATGCATTTCACTTGAGGACTTTTCAATCTGGTGTATATCATTCATTAGAGAGTAGCTCCTAATGGTGAAGGGTGACGTTGGAGCCTGGTTGTACCTACACAATTTTACACAAAAGGAAGGGTGCCGAATTTGGTAAAGTTCTAGCCATTTAATATCAGTGGACCTCAGATATGGGGAAAATGCCTAAAGTCTAGGAAATAAACAAGAGGGTCTCTTACCTTCATAGCACATTCTGGCACTTAACTAGCAGCATCCTTAAAATGGGGTTAATAATACCTGCTTTCCAGGGCTTTTGTGAGGAATAAAGTATGTGAAATTACATTGTAAACTATTAAAAAATGATACAAATTTAAGGAAAAACTATTAGTATCACTCCTAAGTCTGTATCTCTCACTAAACTCCAAATTCCTTAAGAAACAACACCCTTACTTCTTATCTTTGTATCTCCCCACTCCACCCCCCAGAATCCTATAATATAGAAGCAGAAACCGAGCTCTTTTGGAGCCGAGAGAAAAATTTTTCCCAGAATTGTCAGGGGCATCTCACCAAGAGTTTTACAGGGGTAATAATAGGGATCTGGGAGCTATTTTTAATATTATGAAAGTCCAACCTGATATTATACTGTTATCAGTAGTAAAGCTTTACAAGCTAAAAAAAAAAAAAATCAGTATTTTCCCTAATTTTTCTTGTTTTCCCTTTAAATGGAATTATATAAAACAAATATGTATCTCATAGAAAAATTAATTGTTGCTTTATTTAATAAATATTGTGTGAGGCCCTGTGGTAACTGCCAAGGAAGAAAAGATGAATAAAAGAAGCCGTAATCCTTGCCTTTATGGAACTCACAATCCAGTGAGGACAGACAAGTTCAATGTGCAAGTATAATATTATATGACAAGGGCAACAATAAGGACAATCACAATAAAGGGAATATATGCAGGACTGTTAACCTAGACTTAAGTGGGCTGGGTGGTCACGAAAGGCTTCCTGGAGGAAGTAAAACCTGAAAAGACTTCTGGGAGTTATCCAGGCAAAGGCTGGGTATAAAGGAAGAAAAGGAGGCCGCACAATATGTCCAGACAGAGGGAGCAATATATGCACAAGATTAAAGGTGACAGAAAATATGTCACCAAGAAATTATAGTTCAACAGGGCCCCAATGTAGAATCAGGGTATAGGAGTAGATAAAGAGAAGGATGGCATTTTACCCCTACTTTTATTTTGAAAATATTCACACCTAGAAAACACTTGAAAAAATAGTGTAATGAATACCTATATACTTTGACCTAAATAATCCAGGGAGTGGTGGGGAGGGTTGGTGGGGAGAGGAAGAGATAGGATGAATGAATGAATGAATGAATGAGGCAAAATATTAATAATTGGTGATCAACTGATGGTAGAGATTTCTAACACTCTTCTGATGCTCCCTCTCCCCCAATCTGTAAATGTAAATCTTTCTACAGCTTCCCTCTATTTTTTCCTCCTCTCCCTACTTGGGAAACTTTGAAGATTAACTGGTCATAAAAACATTCTGCTGTAATATGAGGTGACTGTTACTGTATAGTGTCTCTGTTCCTTTCTGGTCTATGTTACTTTTAGGCTCTCTCTTAAAGCTGCAGGAATTTCTTGTCCAGATAAACCAGTATTTCTCAATGTGTTTCATAACCAAGCCCCTAAGGAACACTTTCAGACTTTTTTTTCTAATTGCCTCTTCGGGAAACTTTAATATGCAGATATACTGTATATTTGGCTTTATAATGTGTGTGTGTGTGTTATATACATATGTATTATACATACTATGTATAAGTAATATATATGCTTTATACTTAAAAGAGTAAAATTTGGGGGGCACTTAGGTGGCTCAGTTGGTTAAGTATCTGGCAAGTGTCTTGGTTTTGGCTCAGGTCATGATCTCAGAGTCTCGAGATCAAGCCCTGCGTTGGGCTCTGTGCTCAATGGTGAGTCTGCTTGAGCTTCTCTTTCTCCCTGTGCCCCTGTCCCACCCCTCCCCCACTCTCTCTCTCTAAGATAAATAAATCTTTAAAAAAAAACAAAAAGGAGTAAGATATTTTCGTACTCCGAGAACAAATTTTTGCCCACTTGTGGGCAATATCACTCCCACTGAGAATGCATGAGATAAACTGATCTAACATAAAGAGGAATAAATCAGATTATAATAGAATGAGCTCCCATTCCAACTAGTTTTTATAAACAATATTAATGTATTAGTCACTTATATAAAGTAAAGTAAGATAAATTCAAAGATTTCTAACAAAAAATAAGTTAATTCCTAAGGCTTTGTGTCAGATCTTCTACAAAAAACTTTTTATTATAAGCCACTTGGTCATAGACACCATATTTAATATGCTCCAGCGAACCTAGTGCAGTGATAAAGGACTTAATTCACCAACTGTCACCTTCCTGACAAAATGAATACCGTAAGTCTCTTTTGGGAAAGGTAGGGGAGGACCACTGCAATCTCAAGTAGCTTGGGGGCAACAGAGAGGAACCAACCCAAAGCAGACAAGTCCTAGAGAAGGAGAATGCTCTTTATAGGAGGCAGCAAAACTTAGGCAGGTGTTGGAATGAGAAGGTTGTTTTGAAGATAAACTACCAACAACATCATTTTACCAAGGTCTACAGCAGCGCTGTTCTGTAGAAATTTAATGTAAGCAGTGTATACAATTTTATTTTAGAAGCCACATTACATAAGTAAAAAGGAATGAGTAAAAATAATTTTAATAATAGATTTTATTTAATAGAATTTTATTAAAATATTATCACTTTTAGATAAATAAACTGTAGTAGATTCACATATTGGAATAGCATCCAGTGCAAAAAAGAAATAAGCTATCGAACTATGAAAAAATGTGAAGGAATCTTAAATGTCTATTACTAAGTGAAAGAAGCCAATCTGAAAAGGCTACATACTGTATGATTCCAGCGATATGACATTCTGGAAAGGATAAGATGATAGACAATAAAAAGATCAGGGGTTGCCAGGAGTTTGAGGAGAGGAAGAGGTGAGTAAGTAAAGCACCAGGGATTTTTAGGACAGTGAAACTACTCTGTGTGATACTATAAGGATGGATACATGTCATTATACATTTGTCAAAACCTATAGAATGTACAACACCAAGAGTGACCCACTTAATGAAAACTATGGACTTGGGTGATAATGATGTATCAATATTGGTTCAGTTATACCAAATGTAACTCCCCGGTGCAGGATGTTGATGGTAGGGAGGCTGTGCATGTGTGAGGAGAGGGGACATATGAGAACTCTCTGCACTTTCTGCTCAGGTTTTTTTTTAATAATGAAATTTTTTTTAAGTTTTAGATTATTGTTTTTCTAGAAGTTTATTCTTTTTTTTAAGACTTTATTTATTTATTTGTCAGAGAGAAAGAGGGAGAGAGCGAGCACAAGCAGGGGGAGCGGCAGGCAGAGGGAGAAGCAGGCTCCCCGCTGAGCAAGGAGCCGGATGTGGGGCTCGATTCCAGGACCCTGGGATCATGACCTGAGCTGAAGGTAGACACTTAACTGACTGAACCACCCAGGTGTCCTTCTGCTCAATTTTGATGTGAATCTAAAACTACTTTAAAAAATAAAGTCTGTATTTTAAAATATGTATTTATAATATGTATCATTTTCAACATGCAATCAATATAAAACATTATTAATGATGGGACTCTGTCTAAAAGAGAGGCACTGAATACTGAAGAATATAAGGGATTTATCACACCAGAGTTTCCTGAAAACACCATGTACTCCTCATTAATAAAAAGAGAAAAAGCTTTCAGGTCCTGCACACTGTGCAAAAAAAAAAAATGAAGAATTTATTAAAATGCAGTGCAGATTTATTTATTTATTTATTTTAAGATTTTATTTATTTGCGAGAGAGAGAATGAGAGACAGAGAGCACGAGAGGGAGGAGGGTCAGAGGGAGAAGCAGACTCCCCGCTGAGCAGGGAGCCTGATGCGGGACTCGATCCCGGGACTCCAGGATCATGACCTGAGCCGAAGGCAGTCGCTTAACCAACTGAGCCACCCAGGTGCCCTGCAGTGCAGATTTAAATACTACCTAGAAAATAAGTACTTAAGAAAAAAAGAGTTGTTGTCAATACAGAAATAAATAACTTGGCTTTGCCTCAGTTGGTGGGGATTATATATATTTCTATGCAACTAGGAACATTATTTATGTATATTTCCTAGCCACATTCCTGGAACTAATGTATAGACTTCTCTATAAACCATGATATATTATAATCTACTCATGCTCTAGATGCTATTACCAAGATGTGGGTGCACTTCAACTCAGAAAAGTTAGCTGTCATTTGAGTTAGAAAGGCACTACATTAAATCATAGTCTGCCCTTTTATATTCATCATCTTCAGGTTCTATCACTCAGAGAAGTGAGACAAAAAGGCATTTATTTGCTTACCATTTTGAATAGCTCCTCCAAAAGACAGGAAAAGACAAAAAACAGAAAGTGGCCTGCACAGTCCCACAGAATCCTGAGAAAAAAACAGTGTGATATAACACAGGCTGCATACAAATACATATTTATAGTCACAGAAATCATTATTAAATGCCCAGCTCCCACCTGAGTCCTTTTTAAAAGGAAGGAGGGAATTCTAAAATAAAACAAATAAAATTGGTATTTAACTGTGTATGGTATTTTTAAAATTAAGACTTCCACATGAAAAGTCAAAATATTTTCATTATAACTAAACATTTTCAAATAGGTATCTTAATATAATCTTAATATATATATATATATTTTAAAGATTTTATTTATTTAGTTATAGGACAGAGAGAGACACAGCGAGAGAGGGAACACAAGCAGGGGGAGTAGGAGAGGCAGAAGCAGGCTTCCCGCCGAGCAGGGAGCCCGATGCGGGGCTCGACTCCAGGACCCTGGGATCATGACCTGAGCCGAAGGCAGACGCTTAACGACTGAGCCACCCAGGCGCCCCTATAATCTTAATATATTAATAATATATATAATCTTAATATATTAAATTTAATAAAATAACATGATATCTAGGATTTGATTGAAAATACTCCAACAAATGAAAATGATAATAAAAGTAAAAGTTGAAATAAAAATGACACTGAATGAGAGATACTTGGGAGGTTCATTATACTCTCTCCACTGTGTATAGCTTATATCTAAAGTTTTCCAAATAAAACAGTTGTAACTTGCTCGTAGTAAGTTTTAAAATATGTGGGTATCTTTAACAAAAGAAATTGTTAACTAGTCATTTCTGATTCAGGGCGTGGCACAGGAGGTTTACTATTTACTTACATTCTTTTAAATTAGTCACATGTTTTTATCAAACATTATTTTCTCAATAAAAAAATCTATATATACACATATATATACACACACATACACACACATTAGTGTTTTGTTAAGTGTAGAGCACTCTATACTTCCTGAAGAAACTGGTTATGCATTGAGCTCTGCACCTGATTAGTTGTGGGTCCTTAAGCAAGTTACTTCTGAGCCTTATTGAGTAAGAATAACATTTAAATGAGAAAATACATTTGAAAATACCCAGCACAGTGTCTGGCACAATATAGGTGTTGATTGTCGGTTTAAACAACATTTAATACATAGGGAGAACTAGATTTACTATGGAGATAGGTCCACCCCTAACATTTGAGGGGCCATGAGCAAAAGGAGAAAAAGAGTCATTTGCCCATATTGTTTTTCTCTTTCCACCCAATACAGGACACCCCAACAAACTCCATCAAGCTCCACCCCCCCCCCCAACAGCTGCCCTTTGACCGCTTCCAAGGCCAAAGTGGAGGGGGTGGACTGGGATAATGTACTTAGTATTCCTTGTCCCCTGGGTAGGGATGTGACTGGAGAGGGGCCTGAGTAGGTCCTTCCAAACCAAAGACCCCAGAGCAGGGGACTCAGGTGCCTGGACTAAAAGCTGTACTGATTAGAGACCAGGTGTTACACTGAACCACTCAACAAGAATAGCAGTCAGAAGACATGGATTCATGCCCCAGTTCTTCCAGAAACTCCATGTGACTTCAGGCCATGTCTTTACTTAGCTGTGCCTCAATTTTCTCATATATCCATGTAATAAGTATTTATTGGGCTCCAACTTCGGGCCAGGCATGCATCTAGATACCATGAATACACAGAGAATACAATAGATAATAGTCCTTGCGTTCAAAGACTTACCATTCTGATAGGAAACAAGCCAAGAAGATATCTGGGGGCAAATGTATTCCAGACAAAGGGTCTCTTCTAAATCCAAATTTCCATGATTAATCTTGCAAGCTGGCATGTTCATTAAATAAAAATAACAAAAGAAGCCTAAGGGAAAAAATAGCATAAGTTAAATTATAATGCAATATTATAGAGTGTAAAACATGTCTTTTTTCTTTTTTATTAACTTTTTAAAATTTATTTTTTTCAGATTTCATTTATTCAAGAGAGAGAACACGAGAGCAAGTGAGCGAGCAAGCACAAGCGCGGGAGGGAGGGCAGAGGGAGAAGCAGGCTCCCCACTGAGCAGGGAGCCCACCATGGGGCTTGATCCCAGGACCCTGGGATCACAACCAGAGCTGAAGGCAGACGCTTAACCAACTGAGCCACCCAGAAGCCCCGTTTTTTTTTTTTTTTTAATTTTTTTGAGTGTCGTTCAATGTTATGTTAGTTTCGGGTACAACATAGCCATTTGACAAGTTTAACCATTAAGCTGTGCTCACCACAAGTGTAGCTACCATCTGTCACCATACAACACTATTACAATATCATTGACTACATTCCTTATGCTGTGCCTTTTATTCCCGTGACTTATTCCCTCCATGACTGGAAGCCTGTATCTCCCACTCCCCTTCACCCATTTTGTCTATCCCCCCACCCCCCACCCCCCACCCTTCTGGCAATCACCAGTTTGTTCTCTGTGTGTAACAGGTGTGATTCTGCTTTTTGTTTGTTTATTCATTTAAAACATGCCTTTTATTTATTTATTTTTTAAGATTTTATTTATTTATTTGTCAGAGAGAGAGCACAAGCGGGGGGGGTGGCAGGCAGAGCAGGCAGAGCAGGCAGAGGGAGAAGCAGACCCCCCACTGAGCAGGGAGCCCGATGCGGGACTCGATCCCAGGACCCTGGGATCATGACCTGAGCCGAAGGCAGACGCTTAACCGACTGAGCCACCCAGGCGCCCCTAAAACATGCCTTTTAATATCTGTTCTCTAATACACCAGTATGAGCACGCCACAAGGGCTGCTCTAATTTTAATCACAAGATTTATCACCATATGCAGTACAAAATCCAATCTCTAAATGTGCCATTTTCTTTATATTATTACCCAGTTTATGTATATTTTATGTGGAAGATAAATTTATATAAAAGATAATGTAATCACGAAGCATTTATCCACATTAATTTTTTAGTAAGTACGTTAATGTATCAGGCGCTTCATGAAGCATTTATTTCAAAAAAGGTTAATAATGAGCTTTATTATTTGATAAACATAAAAAAGGAATTCACAGAAAAAGATGAATAAAGTGTGTAATAAAGTACAGTCTAAGAATAGTTTATATTTATGCCAAACCAATTAAGATTGGGTGCAGCTTTCTGACTATATCAACTCTGGAATGTTCAGGGTCAGGGCAGAGTATCTGGTCAGACTAGTGGTCAGGTGAGAAGAGCTAGAAGATCTTAAAGAAGACTGTGGAGAATTCTTTCTGAAAGGGTGGGTAGTTAAGTAATAATGGAACTTATGTCTCATTTAGTTCCAGTCTGACCTGAAAGAAGTTACACAAGGAGAGCTCCAAGGCTCAGATCATTCTAGCCATTTCATCCTACACCTTCTCAAGGTTGAAGAGTTGCCCACTTAACATAAAATATCAGTTCTAAGGAACTACTTATACTTGTTAGATCTCACAATTAGAATACAAATAACAAAAGGTACAGTGAATTTCTAGATAAAATGCAAAGCTGCCATAATGCAATGCAACCAAGTTTTCTCTTGTCCACCTCAGTTCAAAAGAAGAAAAATAGAAGGGTGCACAGTCCAAGCTTTCTTAGTATAGCATTTTATTGCAGCTACTTCCACTAGATGGCACTAAAGACTCTTTTAGGAATCAGGCGCTTTAAAAAAAAAAAAAAGTCTGGGTGGGGCAGTAGAAGAAATGAGGTTACCTAGGCTGGCAGAGGTAGAGCTAAGGGAAGCCCCTACTAGAAGATAGCTTCCATGAAAGGAGGGATTTTTGCTTGTTCTACACAATGATATATCCTGGCACACAGTCAAAAGCCCCTGCCTTCATCACTATTCTAGGCGGGGAGCAAGCCACGAAGACATTCTGGGAAAACACATTCCAGGTGCTTAAAGAATAGTTGACGGAATAAATGAAGGTCTTGGAAGAGCCACTGAAAATCATGATCAAATTGGAGTTTCAGAAAGATCTCTGACAGGATTATAGAGAATGGACTGGAAACAGGGACACCAGTTAGTAATCCAAACAAAGTATAATAAGGACTTGAACTTGACTTGAAAGCAGGAATAGTGGGGATGGATGGGAAGGAGTAAATTCAGAGATATGGTGTGGATAATAATGATAACAGTAAAAAGAGCCCCCCATATCAAACACGGGCTAATGCTCTAGAAACACCACCTCCAAATCTCACAACAATCAAGGGAAGATGAAGGTTTTTTTTAAATAGGGCTGAGGACCCTGGGAAATACCAATGTTTAAGAGCTGGGTGGGAGAAATCATGCTCTGCAGGGAGAAAGAAAAGGAGTGGTTAGAGGGGCAGGAAGTAGAGGGAAATTCAAGAATAGTGTTATGGCAGCCAAGGGAGGAGAGAGTTTTGAGAAGAAACTTGTCAATGTCACAAGCAGGGCTGACTGGCTGGTTCAGTTGGTAGAGCCACTTGGTGTGACTCTTGATCTCCAGGTTGTGAATTCCAGCCCCACGGTGATCACAGAACTTACTTAAAACAAAATAATACTATAGCAAATTCTGTTCGATAACAACTGAAAAGGATCCACTGGATTTAACAAGTAGGACGTTATCAGGGACTTTGGAAAAAGCAATTTTCAGAGGAGTGGTGACCGCAAAAGCCAGATCCGAGTGTTTAGGAGTAAAATGCAAGAAGAATTAGAGAAGCAAGTGTAGACTATTCTTTTTAAGAGGCCAAGGGAAATCCGGAGCTAGAGAGGGGCATAGGGTAGGGGACTTAAGTATGAGTATGAATTGAAAGAAAAATCCACCAGAAAGCAAAGGATGAAGACAGAGGAGAGGGAGGAGGCAGATGACGCTGGTCTTCAGAGCACAGAACCTAGGAGATAGGATTCTCTTTCCTTTAAAGTGAGGAAGCAAGAGGGATGGCGAGTGAGAAAAATGTGCAGTGGTAAAAGGTAAGTCTGACATAGCTCTCTGGTTCACTTTCTATGTACTCACTCAGTCTCTGGTGGGGCTAGTCGATCACTATGTCCGATCAAGACCTGCCTGATTTCTTCCTGGTCATCCTGCCCTCCCGTCCTTCCTGCCTTTGGTATTTTCTCTATCTTGGGCTACAAGGGTGGGCTGAAACTCTTTAGACACCTTGATGGACCTGATCACTTTCATCAGTCCCATTCCTCTGATCCTGTGATTTCTGTACTTCTCTATACTATTTGCTGCCTGGGGTCCCCAAAAAGATGAAGCAATATGTGAGCATGGAACAAAACACTGAACTGATTCTGGGAAAGGAGAATCCCTAACTAATGATCTCCTGTGACTTCACCCCGTTATCACCTATGGTCTGCGTGACCCACAAAACTCTTGGCTGCATGTAGTCCTGTTTATTCTCCTTTATTGGCGATCATCATTCCCTGCCTCATCAATAACAAGCCTTTATTACAGGTCTACTGATTAGGCACTAGGTTAGTTGCTAAGAGTTTCTCATCTTCATACAGAGACAGCGTGTTTGTGTGTGTAGTGTATACATATAAACATGCCCCGTATATACATATACACACATACAAACTAAATAGAAACACTTAACACCACAATATAACACAAACTGAAACGAGAAAATTATAGGAAAAGAGCTCCTGGAGCTCAAATCTGGAACCCTGAAGTTACAGGGAGTTTCAAGGAGGTAATGTAAAGCAGGCCTGACATCCAAGGAAGGGTAGGTTTAAATAATAAAGGTGGAAGGATTCTGCAGACAAAACTGGCCAAAAAAAAAGAAGTGTGTTTGGCAATGCTTAGGGGATAACTAAAAGGCCAGTGTTTGAATGTATTAGGGAATCCAGGTTTTATCCTATGGAGATAGGGAGCTACTGAAACTTTTAGAATGAAGCCTGCCTTGTACCATGTTTTCCCAATTAATTTGGGGGAAATTGTAGGATTGATTGAAAAAAAAAATGTGACGGCAGGGATAATTCAGAGACTATTACAATATCTGAGGTGAGGGTGTAATACTACAGGTCAGAGTCCTGTACCATCCTAAAATTCTATGCAGTAAGATGTCGGCAGTGGGGATGGAAAAAGATTGGTACCTGCCTGGATATGGAAAAAGAGAAAGGAAGCCAGGAGCACTATAAGGTTTCAAGCTGGAGAGAAGGGGGGATAATGATATCCTTGAGAGAATAAAATAGAAAAATTCAGAGAGCACAGTTTAGTGAGCAAAAAAGTTCAGCGAAGTTTAAGGTAGGTGGGCCTAAAGATGATAGGGACACATTTGGGTGCAGATTTAGAATTGAGAGTTGTGACCAAAGCTCAGGGCAGAAAGTGTGGATCTGGGAATCATCTGTGTAAGAGGGCATGTAGAGAGAAAAAGTAGGGTATAAAGAGGATGAAGGGGAACCAGTGAGGAAGGAGAGTGTGAGAAGCAGCCCAAGAGATCAGAAGGCCAGGAGAGTAGGGCATTTCAGAAGTCAAGTAGGAAGCAAGTCTGAAGGATGAGGAAGTAGGTAACAATAGGGAGTACTAAACAGACTGTATATTGAGAAAAGGCCAGTGACTTGGTCACTGGTAATCTACAAGAGAAAAGCTTCAATAGAAGCAAGAGTTGGAAGTTAGTTTATGTGAGGGAGGAAAAAAATGGGTAATGATGGTGACAAACACAGAAAGTGGGACTACTCTTTTGAGAAATGTAGGGGTGAGAGTCACAAAAGTCAGTAAGTGGAAAGCCAGCTCAGTCAAGGGAGGATTTGCTTCCCCCTTTAGGGCTTGATCATAACTCTTAACAGACAGAAAGAACATGCTGGTAAAGGAGTGATTGAAAATGTAGGAGCAGCAAGGTTTTGAAGTGCCAGGAGAGGTTGGAATAAAGAGCAAAGGTGTTGAGGAACAGAAGAAAGGCAGTCAGGATGGGTATGAGAGGAGGTGTGACAAACCATAGATTTGGGGGGAGGGGTAGAGGGAGATCCCCAACAGCCAGACTTGATCTCACAACCCTGAGATCATGACCTGAGCCAAAATCAAGAGTCAGATGCTTAACCCACTGAGCCACCCAGGCTTCCTGATAAACCATAGATTTTTAAGTAGAAAGTGAGGGAGTTCTCCAGATAGCCTTGCTCTTCTCACTCAATTAAAGGCAGTTACCTGCTGAGTATATAAGTGATTAGATGCTTAAGAAGCTAAGAAAGGAAAGGGAGGTTGGAGTCGAATCTTAAACACGGCATCATAAGACAGGAGTTCAAGTCTCAGATGTGTTACCTTGGGCTGCCCACCAGATCTCTCTGACTCCGTTTTCCTCATAGAGTTGTTAAAAGATTAAGTGAAATAATGCACATGTCACTTATAAAGCACTTCTTAAACAAGAGAAACTTGGAACACCTACCATGGGAAATGTGATAGAGCATGAGTAAGAGATGAAGCAAAGCATCACCAAGCATCAGGTGAAGTTCAGAGCAAGAATATATAGCAGGGCGCCTGGGTGGCTCAGTCGTTAAGTGTCTGCCTTCGGCCCAGGTCATGATCCCAGGGTCCTGGGATCGAGTCCCACATCGGGCTCCCTGCTCAGCGGGAAGCCTGCTTCTCCCTTTCCCACTCCCCACGCTTGTGTTCCTGCTCTCGCTCTCTGTCAAATAAATAAATAAAATCTTAAAAAAAAAAAAAAAAAAGAATATATAGCAAACACAAGTCTGCACAGTTTTTACGACTTATTCCAGCACACCAGAGTGTAACAAGCAGATTCTGAGTCAGAGCAGGTGAGGAAAAGGAGGAGAAGCTGAAGAAATCTAGGTGAGGACTATTTTAAGACCTTTGTAGGCACATTTATTTTTGGAAATCACATGTAATTTTATATAAAAGTGGCCTTTGGGGATGCCTGGGTGGCTCAGTCAGTTGGGCGACCAACTCTTGACTTTGGCTGGGGTCGTGATCTCGGGGTCCTGGGATCGAGCCCCACGTTGGGCTCGGTGCTTGGCGGGGGGGTCTGCTTGAGGATTCTCCCTCTCCCTTTCCCTCTGCCCCTCCCCCCGCTTTGCTCGTGCATGCTCGCTCGCTCGCTCTCTCTCATAAATAAATAAATCTTAAAAATAAATTTTAAAAAGTGGCATTTGACTCATTAACATGTTATATTTTGGAAATGGCCAAACACTTCAATTTCTAAAAATTTGTATCGTTTTCATATTTTATTCACAAGTTTTATTTTGTTTGGTGTTTCAGATGTCCCTATTTTTGGAAGCTTAGGCTCCAGGCACTGTGCCTATGACACGAGATGAGTAATGGAGACATCAGTGAAAGAGCTGCATCAAGTAGGGAAGGTGATAAAACCAGCAGCGAGAGACTCGGGCATACCTGACAGGCTTAAGCGACCAGAAATCATAGGAACAGCGGAGGGTAAGGAGCTAGAGTGTTACCATTTCTGGACATTGTGGAGTTACCGGTCCCAGATCCCAGGTGTGGCAAAGCCCCCACGGGGCCGAATCAGGAGACTCCAGGAGACAAGAAACTGTCAAGGCTGCCGGACGCGTTCATCCTCCCCATCAGTTTGTGAGCCCACAAAGGGCTCATCCCTCTTCGACATCCTCCACTCCCACTGCGACCAGCCACGGGCCCTCCCCCGTGATCAAAACGGCGGGACGAGCGTGCTCCGTTTCTGGTATCCAGAACTGTAGAATTCTGGGTGACAAATCCTTAAGCCCTCAGGTCTTCCGCGCCCCCGACCCCGAAGGGCAACAACGGCTTCTCCAGCCCCGGCGAACCGCGAGCCGAGCTCCCCGACGGCCAGGCCTCGGTTCAACGGTCAACCGGACGGGTCCCCGGAACCAGGGCCGCAGAGCCCTTAGTCCCGGGAAACGAAGCTCTCGTAGCCCGTGCCTAGGCCTGACGGATTCCTGAACTAAAATAAGCTGGGGAGGCCCAGAGGGGAACTCGCGGGCTCCCACCGGCTGAGCAGAAACGTCGTCTGTTGGCACGTCCGAAGCCTCCCGGACGAGGAGGACGCCTCGTCCTACAACTCCCAGCAAGCTGTGCGCGGAGCTCGGGGGCCCACTGACAGCGCCACCCACCAATGGGAAAGCCCGGTCTGGGTTCGTGGGCCCAATCCGAGGGCCCAAAGGAGGTCGTCCCCGGGGCGTATCAGCGCGGCTTTTTAAGGGGGTCCTCTGGCCTCTCTGGTCGCTACAGCGATAGAGAGACAGTCCCCGTAAAAGGGTGACGCTGGCTATACTATGCCGCTCACTCCCAGCCTCGCTCTTTTCCTCCCCTCGGCCCAAGCCCTCCGGCCGCCCGACTACCCCCCCAACCCCTCGCCGTTAGCTTGGTCCCTCCCCCCCCGTCGGAGTGGACTGGCGAAGATGTGGAATTTCCAAACCTTATTGGATACTGGTGGTGTCACTCTGGTGGGAGGCGGGGCCCCCAGCGGCGAGGGCCGCCCTTCTCGGACGGTGATTGGACTCCCCTGAGTAGACTCGGACTGGGATTGGTGCGAGGAGGGGCCAGAGCCTTCGGGCACCGTGGGCTGCGGTGTTGGGGAGGCGGTGGTCACCCAGGAGCCGGCGGGTCGCACAGCTCCTTTGCAGGCCGTGTGCGGTTCGCGCACGGCCGGGTCGGGGGAAGGAGCAAGAGGCCCTCCCCGACTTCATCACGCGGGGGCGGGAGTGGCGCTTGTCGCGTGTCGGGCCGGGGCCAGTGGGGCGGGCGGCGGGAGGGCGGTGGTAGTGGAAGGAGTGAGAGGTGCAGGGGTCTGGGAGTTGGCGGCGGCAGGACCAGCTCAAGACTTAGACCTGGCAGCGCTTCCGGGGAGGAGGACTTGGGGGGCACAGGAGGGCGTGGGCGCGTCTGGTATGGGATGCCATGGAAAGGAGGGGGCCCTCCTAAGTAGATCTGTGGATGGTTCTTTTGACGACTCCTCTTCTACCATTTTGCCCTTTGAATTGCCGAAGAGAGAGTCCCCATGGTCTCTGCTCAAATTCTGCAAACTTTCTCTTTGGGTGGGCTTAATCACCTACTACTTCATTATAGAGCTGCCCACCGCCTTTTGTGATACTGGGCACAAACGTGGGGAATATGTCAGAAAAGAGGAAGCCGCTGCTGGGCTTCGTGGGCAAACTCCCCGGTGGGACTGCGCTTGGGAACTCAGGCAAGACTCACTGCCCTTTGTGCATGGGGCTTTTCAAAGCCCCCAGGCTCTTGCCTTGTTTGCACACAGTTTGCACCACGTGTCTGGAGCAGCTGGAACCCTTCTCAGTAGTGGACATCAGAGGGGGAGACTCTGACACAAGCTCTGAGGGGTCAATATTCCAGGAACTCAAGCCTCCCAGTCTGCAGCCGCAGATCGGCATCCTCTGTCCGGTATGTGATGCTCAGGTGGACCTGCCCATGGGTGGAGTGAAGGCTTTAACCATAGACCACCTGGCCATGAATGACGTGATGCTGGAGAGTCTTCAAGGGGAAGGCCAGGGCCTGGTGTGTGACCTGTGCAGCGACAGAGAAGTGGAGAAGAGATGTCAGACCTGCAAAGCCAATCTCTGTCACTTCTGCTGCCAGGCGCATAGGTAAAGTCGGGCTCCCCCACCCCCACCCCCCTCCTTGCAGCTTAAGAGCAGAATACAAAGAGGTGTCAAGCCAGAAATCCCTGGGTGAGCAGATGGGAAGGAAAGCTCTCTCAGATGCCCTGTAAGGCCAAAGAGCAGTATACACTGTGATAAATACTCCAGAGTGGTAGTTAACTCCTGCAGCCTTACATAATACCCCTAGTAATAATAGAAGCAAAGGTTTGTGTAGCCCTTTTCAGTTTGCAAAGCACACTCACTGTTTCCTTGGATCATCAGTCCTTTGTATGGTGAATAATTGTAGTGGGTGCTGGATAAACAGAGAAGAATGAATATAATAGCATAGCCCCTGGCCTTGATCGCATTTGATGCCTTGCAGCTCTTATAGAAAAGCAAGCACTGTTTTCACTCCCGTTTATTATTTGAGGAAACTGAAGCTCAGCAAAATGTGATTTGCCAAGGTTCCACAGCTGGTATGTAGTGTATAACAGAACCCAGGTTTGGTTTTGTTTTTATTTATTTATTTGACAAAGAGAGACACAGCGAGAGAGGGAACACAAGCAGGGGGAGAGGAAGAGGGAGAAGCAGGCTTCCCCCTGAGCAGGGAGCCCAATGCAGGGCTCCATCCCAGGACGCTGGGATCATGACCTGAGCTGAAGGCAGACGCTTAATGACTGAGCCAACCAGGCGCCCCCAGAACTCAGTTTTAAATCCAGGTCTTCTGACTGCATTCTGTGCTCTTTCTAGTAATCCATGCTGCCTTCCCAGTATAAGGTGCTGTTTGGCTGGGCCCCACTGCAGCCTTAGCCTTGTACCCTAGAGTGACTCTGGAGCTTGGTGAGGTGGGCCTATAGGTGCTTGTTGGGGTGCAGATTTATGTCTTTTATGGCATTTGGTGAATAGCCGGTCACATGAATCACTCTTTGTCCCTTCTCCGCCCCCTCCCCCATTCCAGGACATCTGAATTTAAAATAGCCAAGATTTTGGATTTAGCTTAAAATAGTTTTTAAATTCTGTCCTCCATTTGGTTTCTGGTCTCACCAACAGAACAAGTTAGTCTTAAGTCTTCCTATTTTTAACTTGTAGTTATGACTACCTTGCTGCCAGCTAATCAGCTGACCCTGTTTTCTCTACAGCCACTCTTCTGGTGCTGGAATAGGCATGCCAGCTCCGAGGTGGTCTGCTATCGGGGGATCTCTCAACAGTCACTGGGTTTCCTGGGGAGTCCCCTGAATCTCTAGAGGGCTACAGAAAAGGGGAATTAACAGAGAGTTGTGATCCTACTGACCATTGATTTCAGTCTTTCTAATAATGCCAATGACTCTTGGGGAAAATTCTAGCTTGCTGCTTTGGGTGATGCAATCTCTGGGCAAAGGAAATGCTTTACCAAAATCTCAAGTGAAAGTGGACGGAGACTCTCTGTCGGGGCCAGCTGGACACTTTTTCATTGCTGGGGGTTTATCGCTGTGCCACGTGGCACAGTTTCTGTCTCTTGGTGCTGGATTCCCACCATGCTCTCACCTCTAGCTTGCTGAAGGAGTAGGCCGTGGCTCTTGTCTCAACTTGCCAAACTAATGCTTCAGAGAAAGTTCCAGGCCATAGCCTTAGTGTTGCAACCTTTGGCAAAGTCCCGTCCCAGGCCAGAGAGCTTTTATTCAAGGTAGTAGCCTTTTCGAGTAGGTGTTATTCACTCCCCATACAGATGAGGAGGAACTGGAATCCGAGAGGATCGCATAGTTAAGAGGTCAGAGCAAGGGGCTGAACTCAGATCTCTTTGACTTCCCGAGCCATGCTGTGAAAACTGCCAGATCATTTCCCAACCGAATCGTCCCCTAATTTCCTGTCCCTGACTCTGTCCCCAGGCGGCAGAAGAAGACAACTTACCATACGATGGTGGACCTAAAAGACTTAAAAGGCTGCAGCAGGATTGGGAAGCCCATTCTGTGTCCTGCGCACCCTGCAGAGGACCTGAGGCTGTTCTGTGAGCTCTGCGACCGGCCCGTGTGTCGGGACTGTGTGGTGGGGGAGCACCGGGAGCACCCCTGTGACTTCACAAGCAATGTTATCCACAAGCATGGGGACGCGGTGCGGGAGCTCCTCAAAGGCACCCAGCCCCACGTGGAGGTGTTGGAGGAAGCCCTCGCACAGATCAAAGGGATGAACAGTGCCCTCCAGGAGCAGGTGGGGGCTGTGGCCGCCGACGTGCACGCATTCTCTGAGGGCTACATCAAGGCCATTGAGGAGCACCGGGACAAGCTGCTGAAGCAGCTGGAAGACATACGGGTCCAGAAGGAAAACTCCCTGCAGCTGCAGAAGGCCCAGCTGGAGCAGCTGCTAGCTGACCTGCGGACTGGTGTGGAGTTCACAGAGCACCTGCTGACCAGTGGTTCAGACCTGGAGATCCTCATCACCAAGGGGGTGGTAGTAGAACGGCTCACAAAGCTGAACAAAGTCAAATATAGTGTCCATCCTGGAGTAAACGATAAGATATGCTTCTCTCCTCAGCAGAAAGCAGGCCGGTGCCGTGGCTATGAAGTTTATGGGGCCATCCATACCAAAGAGGTCGATCCAGCCAAATGTGTCCTTCAAGGAGAAGGTAGGAGGCATTTCCTGCTGGCCTTGAGAGGGCAGTGGACGGGGACATGGTGTTTAAAGAGGTGTGGCTTTTTTTCGCTGGGGCCTTCATCCAGCTAGGAAGAGTTTCCTCCCGACCAGTTTACCAAGGGAGAGAGCCATACTGATCTGAAGGACGGTGACCCCTCCCTCGCCCTTTCTTTCTGTTTCATTCTGGCCAGGGTACAGTTAGTACTCATACACGGGTGAGGCTTGACCCTTTTCCAGTTGAGCAAAGTAGTAACTAGCAAGGACCTCAAAGGAGCATGCTGTTTCTATCAGATGATAGAACAGAGACAGTGCCCGAAGACGATCCCAGGATGGGCCGCGGTGAAATCCTGCCTGCCCGTAGAGGAGCGTGGCAGGGCCCCAGAGGGCTCGGATCATTCCGAAGAGAGTTTCAGAGGAGTGAGGAAGACAAGGGTAGAGCGTCCTTTCTTCTGTGCCCCTCTTGGTTTATGTAAGCCACATCTTGACATTTAAAAGATGATGGTAGGCATTTCACTTCGGTTGGGGGAGAAACAACTTCCTTTGGCCCTTCTATTCCTAAAGGAGGCAGTTATTGGAACAGAGATACGTCCGAGATCAGTCCTGATGGGCAGACTGTACTGTAGATGCAGCCTGACTCCGGCACGGGCATTCTCAGCCTTTTGGAGGTCAGAGATGCCTTTGAGAATGATCCCTCCCCAAGAACATCCACTAATTTGGGCACCGCACTTCTGGAGATTCTTGGACCCCTCATAAGCCTCTCCAGAGACCACATGGTAGTTCATGAGCCCCAAGTTAAGAAGCCCCGTTGCATCTGCTGGCCCAGAGGCTGCACCTACTGAATATTTCCCTAGCAGCTTGGCTCAAGTGCTGAAGGGTCTGGTCTGATCAGCTGTACCCCCTGCCCATTCCAGCATGATCTGCATCTCAGAGAGGGTAGTTTGGGGCTTATGAGCTTCCCTCACAGGGTCTAGAGGTTTTCTGCTCTGAATATGTAGGTCTATCCTGAGTATTTTCAGAGCTCCCTTTAGGGCTGCAGTTAAGGTTCAGGATCCTGTGTGATCCAAGGCAGCAACTGGCTGAGAGACAGCCAGGCTCGCCAGGAGGGACTCCCAGGAAGTATGCTCTGGGGGCCAGAGCAGGAAGAGAAGAGAAAGGGAGCAGGGCAATTACGGTAAACGGGAAGCATGACCTTTTGCTCTAAAGAGAAGCAGCAAGATGGTGTCTGATCTGGGGATGCAGTCACCCTGGCTGGCCTTTGAGGTGAGGACTGAATGTTTATCTTCCGCAGATCTCCACCGAGCCCGGGAGAAACAGACAGCCTCTTTCACCCTGCTGTGTAAGGATGCGGCAGGAGAGAGCATGGGCCGGGGAGGAGACAGCGTGCGAGTCGCGGTCATCCCTAAAGATAAGAAAGACAGGTGTGTATTACACAGCCAGGTGTCAAGGGTAATAAGCAGTGACAAAACTGGACACTTGAGGCCCCTTTGCAGTTGGGGAGGTGTACCTGGAGTAGTTACATCCTACCCCCCGCCCCCCAGCTGCTATTAAAAAATGTGATACGACCAGCTGGAGCAGATGTGTTTTCTTGCGCGGGTTTTATGCCAGTACTCCATTCTCTCCCAAAGGTCTGCTCCGCCCCTCAGCTTGTCTGAAAAATACTCTACGTTAGACCGCATGGGCCCCTTCTCAAAATTCAGCCCCACTTTGCTACTCCACTAGGCTGGGAATATATTCATGTGCCTCTGAGATCAGAGGAGGAAGGAGAGCAAGAGGGTACAGCAAGCCCATCAAAGAGGACACAGTAACTCTTTCAAGGAATTCCTCTGTACATCAGATTAAATCGACATTTACGTTGCTTCCCTTCTGTTGTAAAATTAATTTCCGAGACCAATGGAAGGAGCATCCTGCTTGGGGTACAATTTCAAGTGAATGTTGGGTGGAATGGTGTAGGGTTCACACCTCAAGTGGTGGGCGGCCCCAGCAGACCTGTGAGTGGTTTTCTGAACCCCGTCTGCATTCAGTCCAGTCAGAGCGCTGGTGCAAGATAACAAGGATGGGACGTACTACGTCTCCTACACCCCCAAGGAGCCTGGTGTCTATACCGTGTTGGTCTGCGTCAAAGAGCAGCATGTGCGGGTGAGTAGGACCTATGCCTGTCCTCCCTGGCCTTCTCTCTCCCTGCTTCCTCTGGCTTCTACCATCTCAGGATGCGGAGACATGTCTCGTGGGATCAGCTGTATGGAGGGATTGAATAGGATCCTCTTTCTTCCTTCTCCTCACTTGAGAAATGACCCAGATTTTGCTGGTGACCATAACTCTGTGCCTATTCCTCCTCCTGGCTGTTGGCTTGTATTTTATCATTCTCCCCTTCGGGGAATTCTTAATTTGGGAAAGATACCTTCATCCCAGGGGGCATTCCGCCAGGGGACAAGCATACACATTCAAGCAATATCCTCTAGCTCGGGATTGTTCAGACTGTGACCAGACAGACTGGAACTTACTGGAACACAATTTGGGAGAGTTATGCCCTCTTCCCCTCAATTGACCAGTCATCTATCTACCTGACCCATCTGTCCTCGTAACTCTTTCGCCTGTTTCCATATGTGCTTAGCTCTTACCAGGGTTACTGCATCAGCCCCCCCAGACAAGACTGGTCTAGAGATTGCGTATTTTTTTAAAATCGGGCAATACTCAGCAGGCCCGACGGAATCTCGAGTAATCACAGATTTTCCCCAACCAGAAAGCAACACTGACAGGGATGATAAAGTACCATAGTGTCATGATGTGTCAGGCTTGTGATGTGTGCAAGAAGGAAGACTCCTGTTCAACTCCACTTACTGCCTAATTACATTGGCCGGAGTGGGCTGCGTCCCTCTGCATACATTCTTAGGCCTTTCTTCCAGGCCATTCGGGCCTAGGGATCATCGCGCAATTGGACTGAGAAACAAACGTGCTGAGGTACACAGTCCCTGTAGAGCAAAACCAGAACTTGAACCCATTTCTTTGAACTCCAAGTTGTTTTTAAAGTGGACCATAAACTCTTGAAAGGAGGAGAGATCGAACACGTGAAAGGCTTTTAAGGTGCCAGACTCTCTGTTTTGTGCTCCTGCAGACTGTGTGCTTCTCAGTCAGGGACAGGCCCATAAGCTACACTTATTAGATGCTGACTACCTAACATAGGACAAGAAGTGGAGAACGGAAGTTGTCCTGGAAGGAGAGGGGCAGGTGGGAGAGTTTCGAATTTGAGGATTATCAACCACGCGCTCTTCACCTTTCTGCCTGTATCCTCACGGGCCGAGACTAAGTGGATGGGGAAACAGAAACATCCAGGATGGAGGGGTGGGAGGAGGGGAGCGAGACTCAGCATGTGAGGGAAGGAGGTGCGTGACTGAGACATTGGAGAAGGGATCACGGGACGGCCTAGCCTTGTGGTTGCGGCGCTCTACTAACGAGCCCTGAGACTCTTCCAGAAGGGAGATGGAGACACCAGTGACACGAAACACAGCTTGGGTTTATTCGTGTATCAGGCGGGCTCTGTGCTAGAGGGGCTGCACAGATTCCTTGACTCTCACGCATTTGTATCTGGCGCCACACAGCTGAGCACCCAGCTGTCACTGTCCCCTCGTCCGTTTCCCTCTGCTGTCCTCGTCTCTCCGGGGCCAGGCCCTGTGACTGCGTTTAAGCACATGGGATGCTTAGCACATCCCTGTTGACTCATAAGGTGCTGTTCTTTGCTCTTGGTCTGAACACTGAAGGGCTCGCCGTTCACCGTGACCGTGAGGAAAAAGCATCGGCCACACGCGGGCGTGTTTCACTGCTGCACGTTCTGCTCCAGCGGAGGCCAGAAGACTGCTCGCTGTGCTTGTGGAGGCACCATGCCAGGTGAGGGGACACTCGAAAGTCTCCCAGCAATGGGGCTCAACTACCGCACAGCCACTAGGTTTAGGAGATTCAGACTTAGGCTTTCTTTCTGGGAATATAATCCATGCGTATCAGTACACCACAGTTCTGAAAGTTTCACTTTAAAGCTTTTTTGTTCTGAAAAGTGAGATAGTAAGCTTAAAAGTTCTGAGTTCTTTCCGTTCTGATCCAGTTCACCAATCTTATGAGCCCTGTGCTTCTCCCCGGGATGCTCGATGTCCATCTGTACCCTTTCCACCAGCCTGGCAGTGTAAAAAAAAAAAATCCAAACCCACTCTGTTCCTTTTAAAACCTTAAAGAAATTCCAAGCAAGTCAGGGATGGGGAAGTGGATGATTAAATCAGTTGACCAGGTCTGGCTCTTTTTGGGGGAAGGAGGGTCGACTCAGGCAGGAGATCTAATTTTTTCTTTTTTTAAGTAGGCTCCACTCCAAGCATAGAGCCAGCCCAACGTGGGGCTTGAACTCACAACCCTGAGATCAAGACCTGAGCTGAGATCAAGAGTCGGACGCTTAACCAACTGAGCCACCCAGGCGCTCCTCTAATTATTTTTTTAAAAGTATTCTGTTGTGTTCCTACTCTGATGGTGAGCCTTAAGAGGCTCGTGCATGGGGCGCCTGGGTGGCTTAGTCGTTAAGCGTCTGCCTTCAGCTCAGGTCATGGTCCCAGGGTCCTGGGATCGATTCCCGCATCGGGCTCCCTGCTCCGTGGGGAGCCTGCTTCTCCCTCTCCCACTCTCCCTGCTTGTGTTCCTGCTGTCTCTGTGTCTCTGTCAAATAAATAAAATCTTAAAAAAAAAAAAAAAGGCTCGTGCACCCTTTTGCATAAACACTTTAGGAACTACCTTCTTTATTTCAGCCACTCTACCCTTCTCTTTTATTTCAATTATTTTTCAGTTAAAACTCAAAACAGTTCATCTCCTTGAGTTAGCAGAATGTTAAAACAACACTCTTCTTAGAACTTCAGCGAATCTTAATTGATTTGCTGTCTTCAGTCCTTGGGAGTCCTCCTCCTACAGAGGCACCAGATAGCTTGTTTCTCTCGCTGGGTTTTTATTACATGTTTTTACATCCATGAGTCTAAATGTTGTCAGAAACGTTAGTTTCCATGGTAAACTGCTGGACTTCACTCTTAATGGTTGTCTTCTGTCTCCTCTTGGTACCACACAGGTGGGTACCTAGGCTGCGGCCACGGACACAAAGGCCACCCGGGTCGCCCGCACTGGTCATGCTGTGGGAAGTTTGCCGAGAAGTCGGAATGCACGTGGACAGGTGGGCAGAACGCACCAAGGAGTCTCCTCAGGACTGTGGCACTCTGATGCCTTCCTGGGTACGTGGCCAGCCCGTTAGCTGCAGCCAGTTCAACTTCCAATTACCAGAGGACCCCAGACCTGGATTAATTCTGAAGAAACGGATAGAATTAAAAACAGAGTGCCTTATCTTACACTCTCAATTTCCAGTCTTTTCTTGTGAGTCACTCACTGATGGTATGTACAGACGATTGAGCACCAGAGACCACGTTTCTCTTCCTGATGGTTGGCAGGGTTCATTCTACACTGAGGCTCCCTTTTCTTGTGCAGGAACGGAGCAATCTACGCTGTTGGAACTTAGCGATCATGGGGAGAGTTCAGTTCCTGACTTCTGGATATGTAACTCGCTTATTTCTCCCTAAGCCACATGTTTGCTGTTTCCCTCAAAGAATTAAAAACTGCTTTTCATCATATCTACTTTTTGCTAGTACACTTTAAATGGATTATAATGGGATCTTGCTGTTTTGGTGGAGGTCCCCGGCTTCACCCCCAGGCCACGTTCATCTCCTACTCGCCAGCCTAGATTACTGTTTGGTCAAGGGCATACAAGTAGTAAGTAAATAAAGGGAAACTGTTGAAATACCACTTCAGAAATTTGTTACAGGTCTACTCTTGCCAGGCACTCTGGATACTTTCATCCTCCTCACATCTCCCAACCCTCTGTTATTTAGAGAGCAGTCTTCCCTTCTGTCTGTAGAGCTAGAAAGTTCAGTAGAAGCTCTGAGTCCTAGTGTGCCTGCTTAGCTGTCAGAGCCTGAAAGAACTCTGGGAAGAGGCAGCACGCAGCGCTGGTGCTGCATCCCTGCCGAGGGCTTCCCTGCATATAGTCGGTGTGTTCTTCTGGGACTCCTGATTTCAGTGTGTATTAGCTATCACTACTGAAATCGGCATTGCAAGAGCCATTAAGAAGCAGGTGACTCATTTGAGCAGTGAATTGGGTCAGGCAAAGGAAGTGAAGTAAGCAGACGCAACATGGACTGTCGGGTCATCATGGGATACATTTCTTTCCTCCTTAGGGCTGATAGATGTGAGCTACATCATTGCCGTAAATCCTAAGATACTCACTGTATTCCCACCCTTTTCTGGGAAGATTCCCTTCGGTGCTCTCTAACCCAAATCTGATCTTCCCAGAAGACAGTGATGGCCCTGCGAGCCTCGCAAAGTGTTAGTTAGCTACTTGCTCTTCCTCACTCCGCTGGGCCCCAAGTCAGGTAGGTGTCCTGTGAGCTCATCACTGCTGCTTTAGGATCAGCATTTCTCAGCCAGGAGCGGTCTTTCCCCACCAGGGACATTTAGTCAAGTCTTAGAGACATTTTTCCTTGTACAGCTGGAGGCTGGTGCTACATCTGTTGTGTAGAAGTCTGGAATGCTGCCCATCTCAGGACAGCCTTCTGCAACAGGGAATTACCCAGCCCAAAATACTCACCGTGCCACTGTTGAGAAACCCTGTTCCGGACCATTCTCTCTCTTTTTTCAGAAAATGGCCAGCCTTGAGGCTCATGCCTCTCTACAACTTGCTGCACCCCCTCCCCCCCGTGGTTCAGCCATCCACACAGCCCCGCATCATTCCCCCGCATTCCTTAAGGATTTTAGCCTGAGCTTGCTGCCACGGCAGAACCATGCCCTTGGTCTCAGAGTAATTCAGTATCCACATAGGCTTCTTAATTCCGTGACCAATTCTCTGCTCCTTTTCCCCTACCTTAGCCTACAGTCAGTCATCCCTGAGAGCTGGCTAGATTCCAGTTGTACCCTCTGCATCCTTTCCATTTCAAGCATCCCATGACCACAAGCTCCCATCTCTCCAGCTTACCCATGATAATAACCCGACTCTTCCTGGAACCCACAATGCAGTGATTCCCTCACCTTCTCGTGGTTCCCCCTCATGCCCGCATGTGCTTTCCTTCATTCTCTCTCAGCTTAGATTCTACAGACCATCATTATAATCACTCTCTTGTATGTGGTCTCCCTGCCATTCTTGAAAAAACCCCCAGTTGGATCCATCTCTCCCTCTAACCCGACTGGATGATCCTGGAGAAAAACACAAGAGCACGAGGACTTAGCCTCACTTTAAATCTACGACCACTAATGTCAGTGGGCTCTTAGCATCACTTAGTTGTTTGACAACATCTCTCTTGTCAGTTGGTTCCCCTGCTCTGCCAGACAATTATTTCATACTTTCTTCTCAAACTCCACTTTCCACCCAGCTTCCCCTCTCCACTTAACGACCTTGCTTTTTATTTCACCAAGAAAATAAAAGGATTCAGAAGAGAATTCTCCTACCTTCTCACCACATCTACAAATCTGCCTATAGCCTTATCAAAAGCAAACCTCTGGGGCCGCCTGGGTGGCTCAGTGGGTTAAGTGTCTGCCTTCCGCTCAGGTCATGATCCCGGGGTCCTGAGACTGAGCCCCACACTGGGCTCCCTGCTCAGCAGGGAGTCTGCCTCTCCCTCTGCTTGTGTTCTCTCCCTCACTCTCTCACTCACTGTCTCAAGTAAATAAAATCTAAAAACAAAACAAAACAAAAAACAAACCTCTATACTTGTATGCCAGACCGCATTGCATCTCCACAACCCAGGAACATAGCTCCAGGAATTCCCTCAGGAACATGTACAATATTCCCCCCTCTTTAAAAAAAACAGATTTCCTTTGATTTCTGTACTAGTCTGCTCGTGCTGCCATGACCAAATACCACACACTATGGGGCTCCAACAACAGAAATTTATTTCTCTCAGTTCTGGAGGCTGGAAGTCCAAGGTGAAGGTGTCTCTCGAGGCCCCTCTCTTGGCTTCCAGGTGGCCGCTCCCTCCTGTGTCCTCACGTGGTCTTGCCTCCGTGCAGACACATCCCCGGTGTCTCTTTCTCTTCTTACAAGGACACCGGTCCTACTGAGTTAGGGCCCACACTTCTGACCTCATTTGACCTCAGTTATCTCCTTAAAAGCCCAGTCTCCAAATACTGTCACACTGGGGATTGGGCTTCAGTCTATGAATTGGGGGGGTAACAAAATTCAGTCCATAACATGTTTCACCCCTCTGACAACCACTCCATTTTCTGCTTCCCTTTAAAAAACTGCAAAAATAATTGTTTGCTATCTCTACTTCTCCTTGCGTCCTCTTAGATCGAACCCAGTCAGCCTTTCTTCCACACCACTCCACTGCTCATCAAGGTCCCCAGGAATGTCCACATTATTGAACCTCATGATCAGTTCCTGATGTTTCCATCAACCGCATTTAACACAGCTGATCACTTTCCCCTCCTTGAAACATTCCCTTCGCTTGTTTCGCATGGCATCACTCTCCATTCTGTCTCACTGACTTCTGACTCTTCCTCTTTGCTAGTTCCTTCTCATCTCCCCCGGTCCTACATGTTGGACAGCCCTAAGGATCCGTTCTTGCATTTCTTTGTCGTCCCCCCTCCCTAGATGATCCCCTCCTCTCTTGACTCTAAATACCATTTAGACACTGAAAACTCCTACATTTACCTCCCGCTCCAAATTCCAACAGCTTAACACCTCCACTTGGAGGCATTCCAGGCGCCTCAAATTTCAGATGTCCACAACAGAACTCTCAGTTTCCCATTCTCGCTTCCCACCTGCCTATACTAGCAAACTGCTTCTCCTGCAGTCTACTCCACCTCTTTAAGAGGAAAGTCCAAATCCATTCTTACAGGTGGTAGAGTCAGTGGCCTGGTAAACGTGCTTGCCTCCCCTCTCACGCACCACATCCAATCCATGGGTGAGTCCGTTCGGCTTTCCCTTCAAAATACATCTGCCGAGCACGGCTTTCCACCTCCACGGCCACTATCCTGGTGTAAGACACCAAGATTTCTCCCCTGCCTCCTAGATGGTCTCCCTGCTCCCACCCTTCCCCTCCTGTGGCCTGTTCTCCCCTCCAGAGTCAGAGAGGTCCTTCTGAAATACCTCAGATCATGTCACTCTGCCGCTCAACACCCAACATCTTCCCATCTTACTCAGAACAAAGCCAGCGTTTACATCAGCATGTAAGAGCCTGTATCCCGGCTCCCCGTTCTCTCATTTCCTCCCCCTCACCCCAGTCACTCATTCCAGCCCAACCTGCCTGCCTGGGGCTCTGCAAACTCTGCACATACTCTGTGTAGCAGCCTTTATGATCACTGCCCTGCCGTCTGGAATGTTCTTCTCACAGATATTTAATGACTGATTCTCTTTCTCCTCAGGTTTCGGCTCCTACCTCAATCATCATCTTACGGGAGAGGTCCCTAACTACCCTCCATAAAATAGCACCTCCCCACCCCAGGGCCCCGCATCACCCTCACTCAGCTTCATCACTGTCTCACATACATATTCTATTTGTTTAATGTTTGTTCTCTCATATTAGACTGTCAGCCCCATGAAGGCAGGGACTTGACATTTATTGACCACATTGTCCCCATGTTCCTGGAACATAGTAGAGGCTTAATCAGTGTTTTGTTGAATAAAAAAAAGATATAATGTGGTACAAGTTTTAGTTTGGATCTCCTTGGTATCTGCTTCTATAAGCCAGACTTTCCTTCCCCCAAACGCCAATAGTTGTCATTTAACCAAATACCACTTGGAAAAAAAAAAAAAAAATCTCCGCCTTCTGTCAAACCTGCTGGATAAATGGTACGCACTTTAGGGACCAGCCTTGAATTTTCCAATTACCTCAGACATCCAGGGAATTGCTTTGCCGTGAAGAAGTTTATTGTATTACATCATTTATCCCCGTGTGTCTTTTAACGCATCAGACTTCAGAACTGAGGATTAAAAGCTTTTCATTTATTTCGGTTGGAAAAGGGTTTTGGTAATTGCAGAACTCTACCGTAGATGAAGCTCGACTGCAACAGAGAAGTTCCGTCACACATCCAGGTTCTGGCGCTTGTCCCAGCCTTAAAGCAGTACTCACAGTAGCCATGCCGTCATAGACATTGAGATAGTTGGTGTGGCAGGAGGGGTAGGCTGTTCGTTGGGCTGCCATACGACGGAGTCTACGTTCAGTGCGGCTGTCCTGCCAGCTGACAGGCCCTGCAAAGTTAAGAGTGATCTGCAGAGCCCCAGACTCCCGAGCTGAGAGGAAAAAAAAGATCTGAGGGTTTAGGACTTGTCCCCAGTGTCGCAAAATGCTTCAGAAATCACCCCGGAGTCGTGAGCACTGAAGCATCAACAAGGTGCAGCATTATGATGTAAGTTTTATCTCCCATGTTACAGGTAAGGCAAAAGGGCCACGAATTACTGCCTCTGTCCTCTGGGAGGTCGTCACAGGATAAACACCTTGGCTGTCTTGGATGACAAACACACACACACACACACACACACACACCGGTCAGCCCCGCCCACTCTAATCTCTGAGATGCAGTCCTCAGTCAGCTTCACTCCCGGGGACGCAGGCCTGCTGTTTGTCCCAGAGGGGGCTGGGTGAAGTGACCGCTAATGGAAGCGGGATATAGGAAGAGGCATTTCACTCTGCCTTGTTAGCATCTATGTACGGACTTCACTTTAGCTCCTTGTTCTAAGCCCTCCCAGCAACCACAGCACCTGACACCACTGTCCCTCCACAGCCATCCAGGATGGGATTAATGCCCATCTCCCTAGGAGACTGTAAGCCTCAGGGAGGACAGGGATGCTTTCAGGTTTTGCTTTTACCCAGCAGTGCCCGGCACATTTAATATAGATTTTTGAACTGATGTACAAATGATTTAGCAGTGGATGTATTCTCGCCATCCTACCTTGCATACATCAGCTCTACCTACCCTCAGATTAGCTAAGGATTCTGGGTAAAAGGACTCAAGCCCGGAGAGAGGTCGTGTAGCCGTGGGTCTGTCTGCCCGGTTCCCTCCCTAGGGGTGAGGCTCTTCCTCACTTCCATCTCCATCCGCACCTACTGACTCTTAGGGTGCTTGGTGCTCTAACTGGCCCCAATTTCATTTTTATTTCTGAAAACATTTTCTTCTGGGTTACATGCTTAGGAATTCTAAGTTCCTATTATAATTCTTTGTGCTGGCAGCTACGCTCTTTAGATCCTTTCTGCCCTTTCTTAGGACAAGATGCTAGACAGCAAATAGCAGTGTAATATCCCACTTTGTAAACCCAGTTCTCTCAAGGCATCACGGTCAGCATCAAGATTCCAGACGACCGCAGAGGTCACACCGAGCACTGGCGGCTCCACGACTATCCTACTAGTGCGGAAGGGTCTGGCTTCACCTTGGAGCCCTGCTGGAAGCCACTTCCTTGGGCAACAGAGACAACCAGCGAGTAAACAAGCCAGTGGTCATACACAGCCGTTCTAAGTCACACACACAGCTGCTAGAGAAAGGGTCATATTCCAGAGATGTCATCCCACCTGCTACTGTGCATAATGATTGCATGGCAACAGGAGTCCTTGGCGGGATTTTTAAAGGGTTCAGGATTCCGTCCAGCCATGGCGTGCACCAAATGCCCTTTTCTGATCAACACTGTGAAAGAGAAGTCAAACGGTAAAGCTGCCGCGAAGGCAAATCCGTCACATGAGAAATCCCTGGTACGCGGGGCGCTCCACGGTGTTGCACTTCGGTGACAGATGCTCGCTGTCTGGCTTTCAGCGGCACCCACGCTGCTGTCTTACTCCCTCTGCCCAGACCCGGTCCCACAGTAGTAACACTAGCACTTGCACAGCCCCTCACGGCTTATAAAGCCCCGATGACATCCTCTCGTCCTCGCCCAAGGCTGGTCAGGGAGGCAGGCAGCCGTACGACAATCCGGCACATCGGAAGGGCTGGTTGGCACTGGCAGAGTTCGAGCACTCATGTGGGATGCTGCCCGTTGCTCGCGGGGCCAAGCACTCACCATGTCCTGCCCCGGCCTTCAGAAATGGACTCCCAGTAACTAATGAATGCGAGCCTGAGAGACACCAGAGCGCCACTTACAGTAAATTCATGAGAAATTTCCGCGCCAGGACTAGGATTTAAGAATGCCGTGGTTTGGTACGTCCCGTCCCACTGAAACAATGGTTCCAACTTTTTTTTTTTTTTTAATATTTTATTTATTTTTTAGAGAGCGAGCGAGAGAGAAACAGCATGAGAGGGGAGAGGGTCAGAGGAAGAAGCAGGCTCCCCGCTGAGCCGGGAGCCTGATGTGGGACTCGATCCCAGGACCCTGGGATCATGACCTGAGCTGAAGGCAGACGCTTAACCATCTGAGCCACCCAGGCGCCCCAATGGTTCCAACTTTTTCTGCATCCACCACACCTCACTTGCATCTCACTGGTGTTGGAACACTTACCCAAGACATAATTAGGTGGCTCTGCTGGGTGAGAATCAAAACAAGGAACACGAGATATACTGTTTAAGGTGCCAGAAGGAATCCTAAGAGTAGATTACATGTCAGTGCGCTAGCAAAGGGCTTCACCTCCTACCCCTGACTCAAGGACACCCCTAATAGTTCCATCTAGGAGAACTACCATCCTTTCCCACAGAAATTAGCTGATGTGTTTTGGAAATGATTGCTAATGGGAAGAAGGAAATAGGAACAGTTTCCCGAAGTAACAGTCTCAAGAGTTTGTATTAGAGTACCAACTGCTATCTGAACAACCCCAAACTCAGTGGCTTAAAAAAATATTATTTATGTGATACAGCCATGTGGGTGAGCAGGGGTGAGAAGGGAGGCACACATGCAGAAGGCTTTGTTCCAGTCATTCGGGAACTGAGGCTTACTAGTTTGCCTAAAGGGTCCATGGCCCAAAAGTAGGTTAAGAATCCCTGATCTAGTGGCTTCTCTAGGGCCTCGTAGGCTTCCATCAGCTCCTTGGCATCTAGTGGGCCGATGAGGGAAGAAACAGTGTGATGAATCACTCATAAAGTTGGAGAGGAGGTTAAGAAATTACTTACATCACCTCTCTCCTCATTCCATTGACTAGAACTCAGTGATATGGACCCATGTAACTGCAGTGAACACTGGGAAATGCAGTCTTTCTGGGTGCCCGGGAAGAAAAGGAAATGGAGGTTCGCAAACACATTATCTCTGCTACATTGTCAAGTACACATTTATTGGATTATACCAACCATAATACAGATACTAAATGATACAATACTAAATGAGAGAATGAAACATGCTACCAATACTGTAAATTTGTAAAAATGCAAATACAGGCATACCTTGGATATTGCAGATTCAGTTCCAGACCACGATACAGCGACTATCACAGTAAAGCGAGTCAAATGAATCTCTTGATCTCCCAGTGCATATAAAAAATCCTATTTACAGGGGCGCCTGGGTGGCTCAGTTGGTTAAGCGACTGCCTTCGGCTCAGGTCATGATCCTGGAGTCCTGGATCGAGTCCCACATCGGGCTCCCTGCTCCGCGGGGAGCCTGCTTCTCCCTCTGCCTCTGTCTCTCTCTCATGAATAAATAAATAAAATCAGCAGTATGTCTAAAAAACAGTATTATATCTTAATTAAAAAATCTTTTTTTTTTTTAAAGATTTTATTTATTTATTTGAGAGAGAGAGAATGAGAGACAGAGAACATGAGAGGGAGGAAGATCAGAGGGAGAGCAGGGAGCCCGATGCGGGACTTGATCCCGGGACTCCAGGATCATGACCTGAGCCGAAGGCAGTCGCTTAACCAACTGAGCCACCCAGGCGCCCAATTAAAAAATCTTTTATTGCTGGGGCACCTGGGTGGCTCAGTCAGTTGGGCGTCCGACTCTTGGTTTTGGCTTGGGTCATGATCACAGGGTTGTGGGATCAAGCCCCACATTGGGCTCCACACTCAGTGCGGAGTCTGCTTAAAAGTCTCTCCCTCTCCCTCTGCCCCTCACGCTGTTCATGCGTGTTCTCTCTCTAAACAAATAAACACATTTTTTGAAAAAAAAATCTTTCATTGCTAAAATTGCTAACCACCATCTGAGCTTTCAGCGAGTCGGTGGAGGGTCTTGCTTCAATGTCGATGGCTGCTGACTGGTCAGGGTGTTGGCTGCGGTAATTTCTTACACTAAGATGACAGTGAAGTTTGCCACATCGATGGACTCTTCCTTTCATGAATGATTTCTCCGTAGCATGGAATACACACTACGGAGCTTCTTTCAAAATTACAGTCAATCATCTCAAATCCTGCCGCTGCTGTATCAACGAAGTTTATGTGGTATTCTAAATCCTCTGTCATCATTTCAACGATCTTCACAGTGTCTTCACCAGGGGTAGCGTCCATCACAAGAATCCACAGTCTTGGCTCATCCCTCAGCGCCTCATCTGTTCCACTGTTACCATAAGATCGCAGCAATTCAAATAGAACAATGCTGCAAACACTGCGAAAATTGCCAAAATGGGACACGGCCACGAAGTGAGCAAATGCTGTCGCAAGAAATGCAGTATCTGCAAGGCGCAATGAAGGGAGGTCTGCCTCTACTGAAAAAATGCCCGGTAGTAAACTTTATTTCACAAGCAGCACATAACACTCTAGCAACGGGAAGCGACGGAACCCCACGAAGTGAAGCGATACCCAATATCGGATGGCATGAGGGCACCCATACCAGACGTCTGTTCTGGGACCAAGCAGCTCCTTGCTCTGACGCCGGTGCGGCAGAACGGTGTGGCTGGAGACAGCTGCAGAGGCTTGGCCTCGGGGTCCTCTCTCTGCCCTGCCCGGCGTTAAAAGGAGCAACCTCACTGGCAGGAGAGAGGGAGAGCCGGCGTTGGAAAGGGCAGGAACACTGGTCCCCCATGAGCTGAGAAGAACAAGGCAATGGAGGGCTTTCTGAGCTTTCACTGAAGCTCCCCCGGTGTCGTTTTCCAAAATTATCTAACTCTAAGGCATGTTCTTTTTTTCTGAAGTCATTCCTTGGTTTCTAAGTCACCCTTCAATAAGTTGACTGATTGACCTGACCGATGAATCAAGTGGTTAACATGATCACTGGCGCCCAATTCCGGGGATAAGATGGCGCCACCTTCCGCGGAGGGCTTAGGGCTTGCCAGTGAAATGAGAAGCCGAGGAGGGCTCAGAGGGCCACGTGCAGGTCATTGTTCCAGACCCTACTGCACACCCTCAGTGGCACCACCCTGAGCCCTAGAAACAGGAAGTTAGATGCCAAAAAGGACTTTGAGGTCAGCCAAAGTCAGCTTCTTGACGGTTTTGCCAGATCCTGATAGGACCTGTTTGGCCAAAGTTTTCTTCTTCTCTTGGAGGTGTAAGATCTTCTCTTCCACTGTTCCCTCGCAAATAAATCTAAAAAAAAAAAACAAAAAAAAACCAGATTAAGCAAATAATCAGAAACCCAAAACAGCGTATTTAATAACATATTCACACTTCTATTTATGCTTTAGTTTTTACATGAGATTTCTTCCTCTACTTAAGTTGTCTTAGGTTTGGTTAAAAACTCCCATGTTTACGAGATCCAAACAACCTTGACTAAATATGTGCCCGTTTAAAATGACGCAACTCCAATTATGTTTCATTTCTTTCTGAAACTAAGGTAATTGGAAACATGCCAAAATAGGCAAACGATATCCCTATCCAAAAAAGTGCAGAGATCCAGCTTTCACTCAAAAAGCTCAACGCTGATCAAGTCAGAAGGCCTTAAAGTTTATCAAGTTCCTGCCAGGTGCCTATGTGCTGGTCTAAGTACAGTGTCTTATTTCTTGGCTCATTCACAGTGAAAACAGGTTTTACCACCTGAAGACATGACACTGTTGTCACTGCCTCATTCAGCAAGCACTGACTAAGCATTTACAATACGCCATGTGCTGTCCTGGGTCTAAGGATGGAGAGATGCATACAGTCCAGTCTTGTGCTCTCAAAAGGAACACAGGAAGAGAGGCATGAAAATAAGCAACCATACAAGCTGGAAAAGTGCTACAGACATATGTCCAATGTGCACAAAGAGTAAAAGGAAACATCTGCGGTGTTCGGGGAAGGCTCTACTGAAGGCTGAACTCGTAATGTGTGGCTTGTGGGATGAGCAAGGGTTTGCCTGACGGAACAGAGGGAGGGCATCCCAGGGAATGGGAATGTGGAAAAATCATGGCCGGGTTTAGAACACGGTTATGTCGGAGGAAGATCAGGTGGTCCAGTCTGGCGAGAACCTAAGTCAAAAGGACTCCACCATGTTGCAGAGCAATGGCAGAAGCTCCAGAGGATGGTGGGGGCCAGACTGTGAATGGCTTTGCATATCATGCTAAGAAATTCAGATTTGGAAGAGGAAGGTGGCAGTGTGGATGGGAAGGAGGAGATGGTTTTAAGAGACATTTAGAAAATAAAATGAATGGACTTGGTATGTGAAAAGGGAGTAAAGGGGAGGAACCTAGTCTGTGGCTCTAGGATTGGATACAGGGATACTAAGTCTCCTGAGATAGGAGGCGGTATATCACTTCAGTATGTGACATTCTGAGTTCCTGGAACATGTCATAGTACTTGCTCCACAGTGAATGCTCAACAGGGTTAAGATTTAGGAGCTGAATGAGACGAATGCACGAGTGACTAATGGTTATGTGCACACTCGGAGTCAGAGAGTCAGCAGGGATTTGGGTATCTAGATCTGATGCTGGAGACCTTGGGGAGGAAGGTTCTTTGGACTTCCTGGAGTAGACAGGACTACTAAGGGAGGCGCATACAGTGTGAGGTGAGAGCTCATGACAGGGAAACCAGCATGATCTCTGCAACTGGCCAACTGGAATTCACAGATGGCCCAAAACAAGAGTGGTTTCAGTGGAGCCACAGGGGTGAAAGGCTGAGGAATGAATATGAGAGGTAATCAAGTCAAGACAGTCAGTGATTTCTAATTCTTCAGGAAACCTGGCCCTGAAAAGGAAGGAGAAAAAGAGGTCCGTTGCTAGAGTGGACTGTCGCATTAGAAAGGGACATTCTACAAAATCGCTGGCTTGTGCTCTTCAAAAATGTCAATGTCATAAAACACAAAGAAAGACTGAGGTAGTGTGCCAAATTAAAGGAGACAGAAGAGTCATGACAACTCAAGACTACACAGGCTCTAGGATTTTCCTTTGCTGTGAGGGACCTCAATGGGACAAGAGGCAAAATGGAACAAAGCCCAGAGCTCAGATAACAGCACTGTATCAGTGTTAACGTTCCGATTTTAAGCATTTTACTGTGGTTATATAAGAGAATGTCCTTATTTTACGGAAATGCACCTTGAAGTATTTAAGGGTAAAGGAGCACCACGGCTGCAACTGACTCTCAAATGGTCCAGAAAAAAAAGTCTACACGGTATACATGGTATAGCATACGAGCAGTTTTTGGTATTATTTTTACAAATAAGATTTTTGGGGGGACATTCTTCTTCTGAGAACTCTTACATTCTTTTCTACATGTCTGAAATTACGTCAACCTAAAAGTTAAAAGCAAAAAATTAACAAATAAAGCGGGAGGAGGAGGGTACTTTCCCTAGCCCTAATACACAAGCCTTTTCTTCTCTCGCAGGCACTAACCCCAAGGTCACCCCCAAATTGCTTGTGTTCCCTTCTGGACTGTGAGCACCAACGAGGCGGGCCTCGGGAGCATCCACTAGTCAAGGGACCACCAAATACTTCATGTTCTGTTAAAACACCACCCAAGAAAGACTTGCACAAAAGGAAAGCTTGTGAAGAGGCCTAAGTCCCGGAATGCCTTTACTTACTTGTGCACGACAACATCTTTCTGCTGCCCAACTCGGTAAATTCGGTCACAGGCCTGGTCTTCAAGTGATGGATTCCTGTGAGCAAAGAGGCAAGGCTCAAAGGTGCGGACACCCTGGACTGGGTGGGCAAGTCCCCTGGGCAGAGCCTTTACTCCCCTTTACTCCCTTTTCACATACCAAGTCCATTCATTTTACTTTCTAAATGTCTCTTAAAACCTGCAGCTGTTTCTGGATGGCTCTGCAGCTACAAACATGGTGGTCATGGTTTTAAAGGGTTGAAAAAAGTCCAAATAAAAAACCCACAGTGAAGAATACGGGACAGGGACCTATGTGGCCTGCAAGGTCTAAACAGTTACCATCTGGCCGAAAATATTTACAGAGAGAGTTTGCAAATCCCTGTCCCTGGCTATGTTGGCCCCAGAAAGGTTAGTGTCAGATACCTTCTTGCCCTTGACTAAGAAACTCAGCACCACCATCAGCTGACAACTTTTAAGTAACACAGGTGAACCAGTGCTCCAGTCTGGTCACTAATTAGTTGGATGAACTCAGGCAAGTCACCTCACCTCAATCCTCTGTACTTTAGATTCCTACTTGGAAATGTGAGGGCTGCCTAATGATAGGGAACACCTTTCTCCTTCTTTCTTTTTTTTTTTGGTAAAGATTTCTTTCTTTATTTGAGAGAGTGAGAGAGAGAGAGAGAACAAGCTGGGGGGTGCAGAGGGAGAGGGAGAAAGAGACTCCCCACTGAGCAGGGAGCCCAACATGGGACCCGATCCCAGGACCCTGGGACCATGACCTGAGCCGAAGGCAGACACTTAACCGACTGAGCCACCCAGGCGTCCCAGAACACCTTTTTCAACTTTAATATTCTGGGATTCAACTGAAGAAACTTAATTTCTCTTCTTCTTTATAGAGGCTATCAACTCCAAACTGGTTCCTCATCTTACCTCCTTAAAATCTTGGACAACATATCTCCATTTCAGAAAACAGCATTTCTTTATTTTTTTAAGATTTTAACGTAATCTCCACACCCAACAGGGGGCTCTAACTCACAATCCTGAGAGCAAGAGTTGCACGCCCTACTGACTGAGCCAGCCAGGCGCCCCCAGAAATCAGCATTTAACTCGCACTCTGCTTTCCTCCCTCAAACGTATCAGGGAGCCCTAAGACCTAAACACGTTCTCCTGGAAGATGACACCAGGTTGGCCCGTGTGTGTGTCAGTCTGGGCCACCTGGAGAATCAGACAAATGTGCAGCAATCTCTGCTTGGCATAATTGGAAAACCCCAAACGGAGACTAATTATGACATTTTTCTCCTACCAACACACAAACTCATTTATCTTATTTCCAGGAAATTTGCGGTTAGGCTCCCAATGTTGATACTACATGCGTGGCCAAGGGCGTTGTGTTAAGTGTATTCCTAACATAACTAGAAAATTCCTTCTCCTATTACTTTTGGAATAAAGCTTCTCCGTCTTTTCCGGGGTTGAGATTTCCTTGGACGTCCACAAATGGCGTGAAATATGGTATTTTGAAGAGGTAAAACTGAGCGATGTAGCTCTTAGCCACAAGAAAAAGCCTTCTTCCCAGTTTCCATGGAAACAGATGTAAGATTAACAATAAGGTGAATGCTATTTTAAGCAGTCATTCGAAGCCTTGCTTGCTTAGGAATTCAAGGCCATCAACAGCCCCAGACCCTATACACACCAGGACCTGTAAATATGCATGCAGGAGAGGCATCCGCATAATACAAAAACAGCATCCTCACCATACCAAGTCAGGCCCCATCACCCCTCTGGTGCCCTCTCCTGACCCTCACCCCCCGCCCCCTCCCTCCTATGCTAGGACAATGCAAGAAAAATCCAGAGTCATTACCAGTGCATATCCAGAAGAAAAAGGTGGTTTCCTCCAGTCAGGTTTAGACCCACACCTCCAGCCGAGAGAGAGATTAGCATAACCTTCAAAAGAAAGCACGGCATTCCCTTTATACAGATCTGATCTCATAATACATCTCTCCCTCTGTCTCAGGTTCAAGCCCAAGATCAATACAGATAAGTACCATGATCCCACCAAAGTTCCCTCTGCTGTCAAAAACTCTGAGATGCAATCTCCCGTGCCTCACCTTTAAGAAAACTCTCACTTCCTATTTTTCTGTGACTCAACCTGAAAACACGAATTGTCTGCCTGCTAAAATACACAAACGCTACAATTTAGAGCACTGGGGTGTGGGGGGGGCGGAGTGCCTGGCTCAATGACCTTCCCATTAACCAGAGTCTGTCCACTCCCTCGGTCTCTGCACCCCCACCCCCTGCCGTTGCTGCTCTTCCTGGCCCCCGCCCCCCCCCCCGCCCCCCCGCGGCCATCAGTGCTTTCCACCTTCTTGTTGTCCCTCCAAGTCTCCCCACACTGCCTCGTATCAAACTCCCACCTACCCTTCAAGGCTTGCCTCCCTCCACAAAGATCACTTGAGCCAATCAGCTCTGCTCTTCCTCTGCTTTTAGCCCTCGTATTGCCTTCTCTTTAAAGTAGCTGCACTCTTCAATACGCTCCCCAATAAATGTCTAATAAATTAAAAGCACGTGGAGGGATCAAGGCAATGAATGTGTTTAGACTGAGCTGCTACAGGGCAGTTCTCGCTGTGTAACTGAGAACAAGGTGATCTCAATGACAGATGACAGAGCTCTGGTATGCCCGGCTCGTACCTGGGGGCCCCTGGAGCTGTTAAAGGCCTCCACCAAGTCCATTCTCTGTTTGGGGCTGACAGAGCCATCGATGGTGGCGTAAGTCAGGCCATGCTTCCTGAGGTGGCCCGCTACAACCTGCAGCATGCTGGTCCACTGGGAGACCACGACACTGGAAGGAAGGAGAACACAAAACGTCAACCCCCGGAACAGATGATGCGGACCAGGAAAGGCCTTCTGTCCCCTGCGGGGCAAAGGCACACGCTTAGGTCACATTTTAAGGTGAGGATGCTTCCAGTTGTTTTTCGTATCCAGGGTATAATCCGTCTCATGCTAAATGAGGTCACAATAAAGTGGTGGCTGGCCTAAAATAAGGACCACAGCCTCCTATTATTTGGAGATCTGTGGTCCTGCAGGAAAGGGATATGTGGGCCGCCCTCCCTTTGGCAGCCACAACAAGCTGCTGGGACGTCTCTACCCCCACACCCCATGCTATGTTTTAATTAGGGTTGTCAAGTTTTTAGAATCAAAACATTCCACATCTACAAACGCAGATCCATGACACACATGTAAGGATAACAAATAATGAATGGATCCATGCACCCAGCTCAAGAACATTCCCAGCACCACAGGGCTCCCTCTCCGATACCACACCTCGCCCTGCCTTTTGCACCTGTCACTCCCTTGCTTTTCTTTAGCTGCTTCTCTACTTTTAAACACTTTTCCAGATGCTTAGCTCACTCTGACCCTCTAGGGACTTCCTTCTCAATCAATGCCACAAATACATTAACTAGAAATCAGAGAGAATGTGCGCTGTAACCTCGGTGCTTTCTGCTGAGGAGGATTCAAGGTCCTGGATTTCTAAAAAGCCGAGATTGGAACTATCAGCAATATCAAAGTTTCTTGAATCATCACAAACAATACTTGGATAACAAAATGACACATTTACCTCTTTTGGGATGCTGAATTTCCTCGGATTGCCTCCAATTCCACCAACAGAGATGAAATCTGGGAAATGTTATTTAGTATATGTTAAGTGGGTGCAAATTTGCTTTTCTCCATCATCCCTCACCTGCACTCCTGAAGTGGCCTCTCTGCCTCTGGTCTGACCCCCACTCTAGGCCACTCTCCTCTCTGCAGCCCCAGGGCTACTTCTAAAAATGCCAGTCTGTCATTTCCCTCCCCTGGCTGGAGGGCCTTCCCACTGAAGATCGAGCCCAAGCTCCTGACAATGACCTACCAGCTCCATGCTGCTCTGGCCTCAGCTAATGTCTCCAGCCTCCTAGCTCACTACCCCTCCTCAAATGATGCTCCAGTCATACCAAAGTTCCTCCTCCGCTGAGCCATGCTTTGTCTCATCTTCATCCACTCTGTCCCCTCTGCCTAGAACACCCTTCCATGTCAAATCGACGTCGCTCTTGGAGGTCTTCACTAACCCCAAAGTATGGGTTAGGTGCCCACTGCCTACCTGCCACTCGGGCTCCTTTTGTTCCTATTATTGTGGCCTTTTTCACACTACCCACTGTGTGTCAGTCATCTCTTGCTATCATGACTTGAGGGGCTCCAAGGAAGCAGAGCCAGCATATGACTGCTTCGTTTCTGGTTCGTGCCCCTAGCGTCCAGCACGTAGGCAGCCCAGAGAAGGTACTATCCTAACATTTGCAGACAGAGAAAGTGAAAGAGCTCTACTCAGTTTAGGGCCTGCTCCAAAGGCTGTTGAAGAAGAGGGCCCGCCCAGTCCGAGCGACACTTGCTAAGGCTTCCCCCAAAAGCTCTCTGGGCATTTATCAAACCCCCTCAGAGCACATTTGAGTCCCCAGGGAGCGGTTGGTAAGAACACATGAGCATGAGCTGGGAGAGCAGCTGGATTCATCCCTCCCAACTGCTAATGCAAATGACCTTTTGAAAGCCTCTACGGGCCCTGGAGTTCATCCCCAGGATGGTGGAGGAGGAAGAAAAGGACCAGGAATCAGGAGATGAAGAGAACTCTTCTGTTGTACCCCTTCGGGACTCGTGGTGAAGAGTGCGGACGCCTCATCGCTGAAACAGGGGGCTGCCCCAGATGAACTCTGAGGTGCCCTCCGCGCTTACGTCCCGCACTGCCCTGTTCGAGTGCTCACCTCCAGAGGCCCCCACCACCCGTGAGGCTGCCTTCTCAACAAATGTGCTGGACAGGAAGTGAGGACGGACCATTCTGGACCATTCTGAATTCACAGGGAGAAAGAAAGCAGGTACATGAAGCCCCTGGTGTCTTGGCGACGTGGGATGTGGTAAGTGCTCGGACCGCCACACGAAAAAGCGGGCCATGGGGATTTTGAGAAAACTTTTAGTGAAAGAGCCGGACTCACGGTCCATGAGCTGGGGTCAAATTCCAGGAACATTCTGCATGAGTTTAGGTGTGGGCTGCTAAAACTCCCTTCCCTGCGTGAAACAACCTTAAATGGTTTGAACCACTATTAACAGGCTTGCATTAAAAAGCCCTGTGAATAAATACCACCCAAGTATTAGATGAGGCACACAAATTATGAGGACTCTAAGTTTTAACAGAGTATCTAACTCTAAAGGTGCTACGACGACATGAGGTTTGTCCGCATATGGTGTTCTTCCTAGGTTTCTCTCCGTTACTAGTGGTAAAGACCTCGGTAATATTTTGAAAATTTAATTAAAAGTAATTCTTAAGTAACACCATTCCCTTGGCAGTGACCTCATTTCTAGTTACATTAAAAAAAAAAAAAGCACCTTTGAAGAGAGGTTGAGGCTGGGAATGGCAGCTTCAGACAGCAGCTGAGAGCGAGCCTGGCCCCACTCTCAGGGTACGCAGACTAACGGCGTATACTCCAAACCAGCCAACAGAAAGGCAGGACTCAAGTTACAGCACACCTCAGCCTTCCTCTACTACAACGCTTCAGCCTTGAAAAGCTTTAATGAAAATAGAACAAAATGACTAACGAAGATAGAAGGCAATTTAGGAAATAATACTCACAGATGGATGCCTTTCAACAAGTCCAAGCAATTGGCAATCAGATGTATTATAGTCTCTGGGGTCAAGCCTTTGTTATTTTCCTTTAAAGCTTTCCCGGAACAAAGTCCTCACTCACTGAGGCCCTGTCGCTGGTGTAAACCTGATAAGCAACTTTCCCAGTGATCCATGACAGAAAATCTACCCTGCTGCCGGGGCTGGCCCAAATCACTCTCTGAAAGCCCACTATGTAATAAGACTCGTTTTATTCGTGAAATAACATGAGAATTTAAGGCTGGAAGGGGGAATTGCACCAGCTCAAATCTCATAGTTCTAGCCCTGCCATGCACCGGCTGTACACGCTTGGACAAACGTGTCACTCTCACACATGCAAAATGTGTGAGGACATCCAAGTTTTTCTACCAGAACACAGGTGACAAAAGTACCTTGCTGCTCGCTCTTGTGTTCTCAAAAAGCTCTGCCTTGAACTGTTCACCATTAAGGGAAATGAGGGGAGACGGCTCCGTGTCACAGAGTTCAGACAACGTCATAACACTGAGCTGCTCTTCCAGAGAAAGGGCGAGGCCCTCGCTTTTCAGTTCTGCTGGGTCCAGGGCCTGAAGAGAATACAGGAAGCGGGTAGCGGGGTAGGGGGGCAGGTGGGCAGTTGAGGCAGCAAGCCACGTTATTTGCCAATGAAGTGCGGATTGTTTAACATTTCACACAGCAAAATGTCTTGTAATTCATCATCGGTATCTCCTCAGAGAAACTGATTAAAATGTAATCTTGCAAGTTTTTCACCAGATGAAAGATAAATCAAATGATGGAACTTCTGAGAGATTTGCCAGACAGATTACATGATCATGCTGTTTTCCCCAGCTAAAGCAGTATAGTTAATTAAGCTATTGATAATCAAAACACATTACCACAGCTCTTCAAAAAGAGTAACAGACTCATCTTAATTATGGATGTGCCTCTATCCAACGCAAAGGCAACTTTTCCAATTGCATAAGTTCCAATTGAGTTTTCATGACTAGCCTTAAGAGCCCCAATACCGCCTGAAGGCAGAAAAAACTAGTAGCTAAATTGGCTTTATGACATCCTAAAATACCAAAGTATTCATGAACAGTTTAACAAAACGACATTTTCCATTCTAAAATAAAGTTTATTTACAAAAACAAAAACAGTAAAAGCTGTTCTCAACCCTATGGGAATTATCTCAAGATCAATAAGAACTAATATAAAGTAAAATAAAGAAGATTCCTCTTCTCTGCCCCAACCAGAACACAGAAACACCCCAAAACGCCATTCCCCTTGACCAGGCAGGCGGGACCCCAGTTACAGAGGACTGAAATGGACCTCTCTGGCAGCCACTGTGGGGGAGCACACGAAGGGCTCTTCTTACCGATTTCAGGAGAGACAGGTGACTGCAACACTGGCGAAGTCTCAGCAACTGGGTCAACAGTACGTGGGGAGTGCTGGATCTCTGCGAGTCTGCCACCATCCGGGGCCCAGCAAACTCCTGGGCCACTTCCACGAAGGAACACAAACCACAGGAAACAGGACAGGGTTTACAACAGAAATAGGGGGAAGAATCACAAACTGAAAAGAGGCCGTTTTGAACTTCTCTGATCTGCGATTCAATAATATAGCTCTAACTGACCTCTCTATCAAGGAAGCCAAACGAAATACTGGTTTTCTTTACGGGCCTAGTTGCATTTTATTTTATTATTATTATTTTTTTAAGATTTATTTATTTATTTGAGAGAGCGAGAATGAGAGAGAGTACATGAGAGGGGGGAAGGTCAGAGGGAGAAGCAGGCTCCTCGCTGAGCAGGGAGCCCGATGCGGGACTCGATCCCGGGACTCCAGGATCATGACCTGAGCCGAAGGCAGTCGCTTAACCAACTGAGCCACCCAGGCGCCCCCCTAGTTGCATTTTAATAACGCAGATTTCAGGAGTAACTTACAAGAAGTTTAGATAACCAGGTCTGGCGATGGCAGATCAGCTTATTTTACTTTGGTCTGAGGTTCCTAGCTAAGGTCAAGTCTCTGATACCAAGCATTCATAATGTCCTGTAGCTGTAATTTTACCGGATCTAAATCCACATCTTCATTACTTGTATGTACCTATGAGTGTCCACCACTTACCTTTACTGAATGGATTATCAGGGCTTCTTCCAGATTGGCTGCCCCCACCTTCACGCCCTTTTAGATAGGATCGCAGAGCTGACCTGCCTCAGATCAAAAGAGAAAATGCACATGTAATGTTTGCTAAGACCAAAGAGGTTTACCAGGGGTCACTGCTTCACTGTGCTTGCAGTAGGATCTTGACTAAGACTTATTAAATAAAGTCAGGCTCATGGCAAGCACTGGCCAAAGGTAATGAAAATTAATTATTCTAAAAACCAAATCATTTTTTAATCGTCAATAAACATATTAATAGTATAAATACCATGTTTGATGACAACTTACTATTAATTTGTAACACATTATTGTAATGTTAATTAATATTGGTTTATATTTATCAATAAATACGATAATATTACATTAGGTTTACAAAGAGAAAAAAAAACATATTCACACTGGAAGTGAGAAGTACCAAGTGGGAGAGGGTAAATCTGGAATTTCAGGAAGGACAAGAGGTTTAGAGAAAGTACAAAGAACATGTGACAAGAAGGATTATAGAGCAGTTTGTTGTTTTAAGTTCCAATGAGATGCTGAGTAGCAAGTCAGAGGTCAAAGAGATGTTCTTTCCCAATATGGTCCCACAGGACCAGACACACCTGGTGCACAGCGACCACACTGTTTGGCTTCTACGCCAGGAAGCCAATGAAGAACAGGTTCAGTGTGTATACAAGACAGAGATACGCCAGGGAGCGGGTGAGGGGAGAGAAAGGGGCATTTAAAAACCAAAACAAACAAACAAACAAACAAACAGAAAAAGGAACGTGGACATCCAAGTCATCAATAACACGATAAATGTAGTCTGAGGAAACTTGACCCTTAACTCCCTCCCAAGCAAGGACAGGAATCACACAATCAATGTGAGGTGCTTCCTCACTGCACACACCTTGATCTTGCCAAAAGGACACTGTACACATTCTCTTCATCTTCAGAAAGCTTTAAATGGTGCACTTGAAATTTACGCTGGGGCAGCATCACCTGGAGGAGTAGAAGAAATCAGCTGGTGAAGTCAGACAAATGACCTGGGCATTACAGAGCACATTCCCCACAGCGGACACTGGAAACCTAGTCAAGCCCTGGACAGCTCTCCCACCGGCCCGCAAAACAGGATGGCTGTGACACATGGCCACCTAGGGCCCGCTCACATGGAGATGGGACACTCAGAGGCTCCCGAGCAAAGCAGATGCCTATTCAAGCCAAACTGAGGACATGTCAGCCTCCTTCCCTGGCCTCCCCCAGGGACAAGTATAAACGAGATTACCAAGGGCTGGCCTGTGGAGTCCAGCTGGTCTTTTGTTCTCCTCAGCAAAAGGCTCTTGGTTAAAATACTTAACCGTTCTCCTCCTTTCTTTGAACCATTGTCAACCTGGCTCTTCCACAGTCGGAAATCATTGAATGGAGAACAACGGAGAAATCTTTTTTTGTTGAGGAAGAAGACAGAAAGTAGGAAAGAAGAATTGGAGAATGGTTCAAGGAGTAAATAAGGGTCAAAGGAAACACCGGAGATGAGAAACAAATCCAATTTTTCTGTTACATCCATCATTCATTTTTTAACAGTGAATTTCATAGCAAAGCTCTGCGAGACACATCAAAAGAATCTAAGTTGATAACAAAACCACATTACAAAATGTGAATTTTTCCATTAACAATATCAGTATCGTCACAACAGGACATATAACCAATAGCTGGAATTTATTCCTAAGGCTTCAAAGGCCAGCAAAGAAATTCCATATCCTCTTATGGGCTTACTTGAATAAAAGCAAGGGCTTTAAAATCAGCATTCTTTTCTGTTTTGCTTCAAATAAATTGTAGGCCTGACCCTAGGCCATACGCTTTAAAATAGAAAAAGCCCAAAACATTCACTGGACTGAAGAAAGAGGACTTTTGTTTCACTTTAATCCATCCTATATTTTTCCATATATAGGGGCTGGATGTAATCACAGTCCTGTAGCTGCCAGTCCATCAACTGATTATCTTTTCCTAAATATGAATTCTTTTACCCTTTAAAGGTCGAGAAGCTTGCCATCCGCTACACGAGATAATCTGGCACACTCTGGAGCTCTGTCATGATAAGGAATAATGATGAAGGGTTAACTGACTCGGTTCGCATTTACATAATGCTGAGGAGTTCTACTCACTTGAGCAGTGAATACATGTCCAACAAGGTGTTCTGAATGGGGGTTCCAGTGACAGCCCAACGGGCCTGGGCTTGGAGCCTGCACACAGCCATGGAAGTCTGCACTCGTGGGTTCCTCACACAGTGAGCTTCATCCAATATGATTCGAGCCCAGACTATTCGAAGCAAAGGCGTTTTTGCACTATCCTGGAAGAAACCCAAGCGACATCATCAATAGTACGGGAAAATGCACACATTTTCAAGAAGAGATGGGGAAATAATGAACAAGTATTGAGAATCCACGCTTTCTGCCTAGTTTGAGGGCTTAGATCAGGTATGCTGAAATGAGAATGAAGCTGAAGAAACCAAAAGTGGAGACTCTCAGTGGGTAGAAAGAAACAAGTTGACTCGAGAGCCCCAATCTTTGAGTTTAAGATGCTTAAGAGTAGGGGCGCCTGGGTGGCTCAGTGGGTTAAGCCTCCGACTCTTGGTTTCGGCTCAGGTTGTGATCTCAGGGTTATGAGATCAAGCTCCACATCCGGAGTCTGCTTGAAATTCTCTCTCTCTCCCTCTGCCCCTCCTGCTCCTGCTCAAGCACTCTCTCTCTCTCTCAAATAAATAAATAAATCTTTAATTAAAAAAAAAAAGACACTTAGGGGCACCTGGGTGGCTCAGTCGTTAAGCGTCTGCCTTCGGCTCAGGTCATGATCCCGGGGTCCTGGGATCGAGCCCCGTATCGAGCTCCCTGCTCGGCGGAAAGCCTGCTTCTCCCTCTCCCACTCCCCCTGCTTGTGGTCCCTCTCTCACTGTGTCTCTCTCTGTCAAATAAATAAAATCTTAAAAAATAAAAAAATATAATTAGAACAAAAGACACTTAAGAGTAAAATCTTTTAACTTGAGTTTTCAAGTTAAAACTCAAAAGTGAGCAATAGCCATGCGTCAGGACTGCACTAGGTGTCGAGCCTGGAAATTCGCTCATTTCAATAAAATATTTACTAAATTGACAAAAAGTCACTAAAAATTTACTGCAAGTCTACTTTTATAACGTAAGATACGAAATCAGACATAAAGCAGCTCCTAGCCTTAAGGAGCTCACGACGTAGCGAGAAGAAGAACAAGCAGAAAGATTAATTACAGCATGATGTTTACATACTATGTCCCACTGGATAATCCAATATATGCCGGAGGACCCTAGTCAGTGTGGTTCACTGCTGTATCCCTAATACCTGAAATAGCAGGTGGCACATAGTAGGTGCTCAGTATTGGCTCAGTGTGTGGAGGGCTAGGACATGAGTAAGCACAAGGTGCTAGGAGAGCATTCAACCGAAGGATTAAAGGATTCTTGAAGTGGATGAAAAAAAACACAACAAATTAACCTGGAAAAGGCACGGAGGCAAAGCCTTCCATTCGGAGAGAATGCAAAGGCACAGCAGCATGGCAGAGCAGGCCAGGTTCACGTCCCCTGGTACTGCCATGCACTGCCACAGGGAGGGCTGGGGCGTAGGGGACGAGACACGCGCAAGCAGGGCAAGGTCATAAAAGCCTCAGACCTCGTGGAAAGGAACCACGGTTTTATCCTGAAAGCAATGAGGAACCACTGTGGAATCTGAACAGTTCATTATCCACAAGAAGTCAGGTTGGTCTGACCGGAGGAGCATTCTAGAGATTTCCCCAAATACGGAGATCGGACGACAAATGAGAACATGCAGAAGATCCGTTCTGGGAGCGGCACTGTATTTTCAGGAGAAAAACGCCCCACGGTAACTAGGCAATAAAGCCTTACGCTGAGTAACTGAGACGACCCCGGACGCCCTAGCAAACACCCAGTTTTCACCTGGTTAGCGTTTAGCCTCGAGCCCCTTTGTGGCCTCACTGTTTGCAACCTCTTTTGCCTGGGAGGCGGGAGAGAGGCAGGCAATCACAGGCTTAAATACAAAAATACTTGTACTCAAGTACGAGTCTTCTCATTAAATATGAAAAGTATCCTAAGAGTACACCCGGAAGACTCTAAGGTAAACACTGCAACAGGTGGGGCTTCCCACGGTCACGTGACGAGCACACTACTGCACTGTCCCTAACATTCGTTCTACACAACTGGATACTGTGCCAAACCTCATCCTTTATTCCCGACCAAGTCTGGCTAGAATAAAAGGGAAGGAAGAGGGGAACGAACCTTCCGTTTCCACAGGTGGAACGTTCAGGCCATTCCTGACCTCACAGGAAGGCACCTCTGCTGCGTGTGACGCAGGAGAAAGACTCGGGTGCACTATGAGGTGTGGCTCGCAGACTCACCTTCCCCACACCGGGGTTTGCACCGGGGACCACCCCCTCTTCTTTCTGTGTGGGAATCTCCTTGGCCAGAAGGGTATAGGTCGTGATCACGACGTCATAGGTAGAGAGGCTGCACCGACAGGACACAAGGCAAACAGTAAACGATCCCGCCATGACTGACAGGAGAGCTGGAGGTGATCCCTTTATAAAAATGCCTGCGCTGGAGGGACAGTTGGCAGAATTCATTAATTCGTGTCCTTAATCCACACATACATGCTTTGGGAGAGGGAAATTTTACTCACTTGCCTTACATCGCATCATTTTTATAGTCTGCTTACTATAGCTAAACGGCCTCCCTGTTCCCATCCCATGAGTCAAAGAGAAAAATCTCTGGCTGGAGCCATATAAAGCTGGATAGTATCTGGCAACGACAGAAGTAGGGTAGGGCTGGGAGTTAACATTTAGTGACGATTTGAGAGCTAGACTGACGCTGAAGTCCCAGGGAAGTAAGAAACCCTCAAAGCATGTTCATCTAGATCTAATCTTTCGCCTTATCATTTTTTAACGGATTTCTGAAAACCCATTAATCCAGCCTTGACATTTGGGTAAAAAAAATACACTCTGTACGCTTTGAGTTTACCTTGCCTATACTCCTTTATGGGTAAAGATTCTTAACAAAAAGCACAAATCTTTTTTCCAACAAAACTTAATACTGTGCATCTGGGAGAATGTCCAGAAATACTTTTTTGATAAAAATGATATGCCTAATTCAGAGGGAGCACCGTCTACATGTTGACTTAGCATCATATAGAGAAGAAGGATTAAGAATGATTCCAATCAGTCAACTAGTTTATTCTGAATACCAAACCAGGTATGACTGAAATGCCAATCAAGTAACGTGCAATTTATTTCTAATAACTATCTAGAACAGGGGCATCTGGGTGGCTCAGTCGGTCAAGCGTCTGCCTTCGGCTCGGGTCATGATCTCAGGGGCCTGGGATCGAGCCCCGAGTTGGGCTCCCTGCTCAGTGGGGAGTCTGCCTCCCCCTCTCCTTTTGCCCCTCCCCCTGCTCGTTCTCGCTCTCTCAAATAAATAAATAAATAAAATCTTTAAAAAAAACTATCTAGAACAAAGGCCAGCCACTGACAGTACTCTGCTGGAGAAGGCACGCAGGCCTGTCCCTGATGCCCTGATACCTTCAGTCTGCTAAAGCGACCCTCACCCGTGAGAATGGGTGTAAGACTGAGGGCCCCCAATTTTGCAACTCACCCCTGAAAGACTACTGCTCTGTTCTTTAGGAGATGAAATATCTAATATGACAGTCTGGGGGATTATTTAGAAGCAGAAACAACTGTCTTGTTCTTGACTAGATCAGCAAGTATTCAACCCAGACCATCACATCACAATTAGGAACAAAAAACAATTCCTTTAGGGGCGCCCGGCTGGCTCGGTCGGTGGAGCATGTGACCCTTGATCTTGGGGTTGGAAGTTCGAGCCCTACGTTGGGTATAGAGATTACATAAAAATAAAATCTTAAAAACCAAAAAAATCCTTTAAAACCAAAAGGCAAAGACTAGGACTAAAATTACCATCTGGGGAAACATTTTCCTTCCACCTTCCTGATTCTACCCCCTCAGGAATTCAACTAGGTCTAATCCTAAACTCTTGAATCGAAAACTTCTTAGAGGGGCACCTGGGTGGCTCAGTCTTGTTAAGCATCCACCTTTGGCTCAGGTCATGATCCCAGAGTCCTGGAATCGAGCCCCGCATCGGGCTCTCTGCTCGGCGGGAGGCCTGCTTCTCCCTCTCCCACTCCCCCTGCTTATGTTCCCTCTCTCACTGTGTCTCTGTCAAATAAATAAATAAAATCTTAAAAAAAAAAAAAGAAAGAAAACTTCTTAGATGCTTCCTATATGAAAAGCAGAGCCAGTCTATACCAACTAATCATTAATATTCTACCAAAATGCTCTGTAAGACTAGGCTGGTTGCATTCACACGAACGGAAAAAGAACATGAAATCGGAATCAGAAATTCAACAAGAATGAAATAACCGTGGCAGACCGTCGCGTGGCAGGGCTCCCTGGCCAACAGCTCAGGCATCTCAGGCTACCTCACACAGCAGCTCTTGTTGAGGATGGTGACAAGGATACAACAAAAGAACACCATTGTCTTCAAAGACGCATCTCTTAGCACAGGTGAAGGATGCTGGGTGACGACAGTGCCTTCAGTCTTCACACGTTATCATTAGTCCTGACTCCGTGAGAGCTCAGGGAGAACAGGGAAGGCCAATATGGCCACTCAAGCCAAGAGGCTGAGGGCTCTCACCAACTGCCGTATTTCTGCACTTACGCTTTTGCACGCTGATCCCGATTGGGCCCATGATAGAGATAGACTCTTAGCGTGTTGTGGCTCACACATTTCATCACCTCGTTTTTCCAGTGATGAATCAGGGAGGCAGGACAGATGATCAGCGTTCCATGGGAAGTGAACTCACAGGGGTCTTGAAGGGAAAAAAATCAACACCTCATGGCTCTCATTAAGTAGTCTTTAACTCCTAAAAGGTACCTCCCCTTCTTGACTTTTATCCTTCAATCACATTTTTTAACAAACTGCCGCTCTTATTTCCACACACAGTATAGAATAGAATGGGAAATGAGAGGGGTGGTCTTTTAACTCAAAACACTTCTTTATTTTCCCCTGTACAAAGGTCAGACAGAGAGTGGCTAAAGAGGGAAAGTTCGCAGTATGGGGCCTCAGTCTAAAAAAACCAATGCGCTTCCACAGTGGTCAAAAGGTAGAAGCGGAATCATTTCCTACCTCGTCCGGAGTTGATTTGTTACAGGGGAGTAGTATTACTTTTTTCTGAAAAGCATAACTTAATTACATTCACATTACAATATAAGTACAAAACCACTAAGACAGGCAAAAACTACGTGGGAGCCGGTTAGTGGCGGAGTATTTGTACCACTGCTCCCCCTCCTCCATCTCTTTGCTATGCACGCAGCATGTCACTACTGCACCCAGAGGCACAGGACCCAGCTGCCACCGGGCTCGGGAGAGGCCTGGAGGGCGGACAGCCAGATCTGCACCTGGCCTACCAACCGAGTCCTGTCCTTGCGTACCTGGCAACTCACGTGGGATGTGGGGTTGCCGACACGTTCCATGTAGGACCTTTAAAGTACTTGGACAGTTATTTTATCCTAACAACAGAGCTGGTGAGACAGAAATTGTCTAAATTGGGAAACAACGGAATTTCAGAAAACTCGGAAACAGCTTCTGCTATGGTGGCTAAAATCGGAGGTTGTGACAGACCTTCCTTAAAAAATTATATATTAAAAAAAAAAAATTATATATTAACTAATTTGGCCCAACCCTGTACCTGTGTCCTCAATGTTAACAAAAATCTTCATCAGAGCCATTCCAGAGCCTCGGCTTTCTCTATACACTTTTTTCTAACCACAGGTCAGGCTAAGTTTATAGCAAAAGGGGAAACAATCACTGGTAATGAGCAGATTCAGCATCAGAAATGATGCCACAGGCATAATTTTTGTTTGTTTGTTTTTAATTTTTTAATTTTATTATCTAACACTGGTCTTCTCATAAATTAATGACATATGACCAGAAGTATTCTCTCATAGCTGAAACACGTCCACTCTCTGCCGGCTCACACAATTCAGGAAATAAGAGGTTATGAAAGCATTTGTATACCATCTCTGGAAAGCCAAGTCAATGCCGTGTTTTTGTCCTCTTGTTTGTTCTTCTCTTGATTCTTCTGGGTCAGGATGAGTGCAATCATTGTCAGGGTTTTCCCTAATCCCATATCATCCGCTGGAAAAGGAAAACCAAAGTCAGAGAGTTTATCACTCAGGGCAAAGAATCACCTCCATTTCAAGAGAAGAAACCACTGGCAGACCTTGGCCCTTACTTACTGCTGCTGGTCTAGGCACTATTCTTTCCGACCCTAACAAATCCTCGCCTCTGTGTACGAAGAGGAACCCTAGCCCCTGCTCCTCATTTTCTAGATCAAAGACATTTACTGTGACTTTTGCAAAACTTAAAGCTTATTATTTAGACCTTGCTCTAGTGTTCACGATGTATTGTTACTTATCTAATGCATTCCCTGGTATCTGTCTCAGTTTGGTGATACTGCCCAGTTTTTTAATTTTTCACTCCCCCAAAGCAGAAAGATCCAGTAGATGGAGTTAATTCAAAACAGTCCCCCATTCCCTTAACTTATTCATCAAAGAGGGGCATAAACTAACATTTCTAAGGTACTGTCATTGTGCCGATCACTGAACTTCCCTCATTGAATTTCCTATTTGTACCCTATAAAATATTCTCATCCCCACTGTAACAGTTTAAATAATCATTCTGACATAAGCAGAAGTAAAATGTCACAGCGTGGGTTCAGGTTCAAATTCTGGCCCCGCAACTGTGCAGATAAGGAGTTAACACAGCAGCCCTCGCCACCATCCTCGGGAAGTCCTGCTGACAGGGTTGGCCATGCGCTGGCATCTGGGAACTCCAATTCAAGCAGGGTTCCCACCACTTTCAGAACTTCTAAGAGTGGCTCACTGTGCCTACACTGTGGGCACAAACACTATGGTTTATGCTGAACGTCTGCTTTCCTTTTGGAAGCCTGGCACTTCAGGACCGACCAGGCCTGAAGCCACCAGTGTGACCAGCTCCCAGTAAACACCTGGGGCCCAAACTCCCCTGCTTGGCAACATCTTACATGTGTGACTTCACTGCGAAAGGCCTCTGGAAGCTTCCACCTGGTGTCCCCTGAACTTTGTCCCGTGGGCCTTTTCCCTTGGCAGATTTCAACTTACAACACATCAGAATAATTTTATTTTTTTATTTTGTAATAAATCCTAGCCATGAGTACGACTATATGCTGTGCATCCTCCTCGCAAATCCTCGATCCTGGAGGTGGTCCTGGGGAGCCCTGTCACAGCCACTCACTAGCCACTGTGGCCATCTGTCATGTTTTCTAGAAGCTGAGCACCTTGGAAAATTTTAGTTCGGTGAGTCTCCAAAGCAGAACACAGAAAACTGGCTTTCTAGGGTCCCCTGCACCTAAGGCCCCGGCAGTGTGCCTTGGCTCTGGAGAACACACGTACTCACACAAGAGTTCAATTCAGATGTAAGCAACTTGAGGAAAGAGGCTCCCTGTGAAATCCTTTTTCAGGATTTCAGGAAGCAGGAAGGGGTGGAGACAGGAGTCTCTGACTTTGGGGTGGCAACGCTTTCCTTTAGAGTCTGATGGAGCAAAGCAGCCATGACAGTTCCCACAAGACCCTCAGGTTCTTACTTGACTTTGGCCATGCTCCTAGACGTCTGGCCTCCAGCCTGGCTCTCCACCCCTCCCAGAAACTCTCTGTGCCACCAGAGAATGAACTCTCCCTCTGCTTAATTAGCCACAGTCAGCTTCTACCACCTGCAGCCACGACCTGACCGATCCTACAGCTGTATACTCTTGACTATGTTGCTTTACCATCCGGCACCTCCGTTTCTTCATCTGTAAAAGGGGGGCAGCAGAATGCCCATCCCAGAGCTGTTGACAGGATCAAATGAAACAATACGCATGTTGGCTCTTAACGTAACACCAGACTCACCCAGAATTCCTCCGTGTGGCTTCTGACTTTCCCTCCATAGCAACCAGGCCAACGCCTGCTTCTGGTGCAGTAGCAAAGGGAGCTGACAAAGGGAAGAACCAAAAGCTGAGTATAAATTCCTCAGGAGGGGCTGGATCCTGACTACACGGACTCCACGCTCTCCTCTCCTCTTTTCTGTAAGCGATCCTCCCAATATTCCAGCTGTCATAGGGCTGCTCACTGCACCTCAGAGGTCCTTGACTCCACCTCTCACCCAGGGTGACCACACGTCCTGCCCGGGACAGACTTGCCCCTACTGGCCAGCACGTCTATCAAGAGCGTCCCTCAAGTGAGAGTCTCATTCTGTCTGCTTTAATCAGCCAGGCAGTTTCTACTGCTTGCAACCAAGACCTCTGACCGGCCCCCTTCCTTTCACTGATGAACCATTCCGATGGTTCTTCCTCATTCTCTCTTAAATTCGACTCTCCTCTCTGTAGGCAATGTCCCCATCTGCACCGTGAGTCATAAATTTGGCGGACACCCCCTTCCAGTCTTTTCTTACTCATCTTGTACCCCGTGACAAAAACAATCTTCAGAAAACACCTGGCTCACGATTCTATGTGATGTCATCCCATCTCCTGAGCGAGGCTATCTGAGCTGCTTCCCTGTGCCAGGTTGTACTGCAAGGGAGGGCCCCGCTCAGGGATGTCACCTGCTCCCCATCTTCACTGGCTAGTCCTGCTTGTGGCCTCTTCTCTCTAACCGCAGTGTTTGGCTTTACCCTCTCTACTACTTCGGGCTTGCAATGTCGTGAAGGCACAGGGTAGGCAGGCAACAAAGAATTCTTTACCTACGGTGACTCTTCCCTTATTTTGAATTCCTTTTGTACATTGTATACCGTCTGTGGTCTGTTACAGTGCACATTTTACCTTCGTTTTTGTGTCATTTTCTAGTTGTTGCATATATATTGTAGATGTACTTCCCCCCAACTAGTTAAGAGCAGTAAGTCCTTTGCATCCTTGTGGCACCTACCGAAGCTCAATAAATGGGTCTTCTATTGCTATCGACCTACAGAATTTTGTGGCTTTAAGAAAAAAAAAGTGGGTTTTGTACTTTCTTCTCAGTGCTAAACAGGAGGAGAAAATACTAGAAGGGAAGCCACGAAAGCATTATCTGTAGGAAAGATCCATCAGGAGGGCAGCCCCTCAGGGTCTCCCGGTCCACGGTGCAGGGACACTCTTCGAGCACAGTCTGCACCACGAGCCTCCCCTGGCTCACCTTCAGCCCAGCTGGATCCTCTGCCACGGCTGTCTCACCGGGCCGAGACTCAAGGGACGCGTGCAGCTCATCAATGGCTTTACTTATGATTTCCCACATGGCATGGGGGCCGTCCTGTTTCGTAGGACCTGCGTACAGACAAGTGGTATCTAAAGGGTCACAAGTGCTCCGCCCTGGCTAACGATGCAAACCGGCAATTCACGATTTGCCAGGTAACCGATCTGCGCGGACTACAAATTCTCGCCCCTCGATTTTCCTTCCTCGCAGGCTCCTCTAGCCCCATTTCCTGTTTGTTTGTGTAACCACACGCTTACCATAATAAAGGGCAAAGTAACAGAAAGTGTAATAAAAAGAGAACTTGTAGCATTTTTGGTAGGCCTTTTTTTTTTTTCTCCAGTTTCAAAGAGGCGGCAGAGGAAAAGGTAATGCCATCATTATTTTAGGAAGAAAAGATCCTTGGAGCTGGGTGCAAAGAAGGGAAGCCAGCAACAGGGAAGGCTGGGCTAGGTTAAATCCATGGATGTTTAGGTAGACAAGGAGACAGCCCCTGATGTGCACCTCACACGCTGACCGCACTGTGCCAGGATTTTGAGAGAGCGAGCATGCACGTATGTGCAAGTGTGCAAAGCGGGGGGGAGCAGAGGGAGAGGGACAAGCAGACTCCCCACTGAGCACAGAGCCCAACGCAAGTCTTGATCTCATGACCCTGAGATCATGACCTGAGCTGAAATCAAGAGTCAGATGCTTAACCAACTGAGCCACCCAGGCGCCCCGAAACAAACGCATTTTCTGTTCCTTTTTAGGCTGGCCTCAGCTGCATCTGGCACTGAATCTTTTTCTGACCCCCTGTTAACTATCACTCTTCCACTTTCTCCCTTTCCTTCCTTTTTCTGTTTCCTTGCTTCTTTCCTTTTCCCATTCCAGTTCTCTAGTGCTCCTCAGCTGGGAGAAAACTGGCCTTAGTTTTTCCAGTCACTGCCAGCCGACCAGACCAGTGAGCTCGGGTCCCGTCTCCTGATCAGCAAACCAACCCATCCTAGGACATATGATCTTTATTTGCAGTTACTTCTGAACCACAGTTTTCTGGAAAGTTCAGGACGGAAAGTCATTTAAATAGGGTGTCACTGCTCTCGGTGGGTCTTTGGTCATCAGCTTGACTTCCGTCACTTCTCTGCTCTGCCTTAACACATGGGGTGCAAATGTGCCCGCTGGTCTGCCTACCTCATCGTGGTGTAAGTTTAAGTTTTCATTCACAAACATTTACGAGAGGATTCCCATGTGCCAGCCATTGGGTTGACTGATTACGGCCGGTGAACAAGGCAGGCACAGAAATCTAAACGCCGTGCAAAGCTCAGCTGAGCATCACAATCTGTATCATACAGGCAACTGACAACTCCAGAACGGCCTCTCCCTTCACATGCGCAAGAGACATCTCCTCGGCAGCCTTTAACTTGTAGGGGTAGCTATTCACCCCAGGGCCAGGCCCCTGGATCTTACCTCCATAGCACCAACTGGATCCCCCAGCAGCTACCGGGCAGGCAGCCTTCAGTCCTTGAGAACCCAGAGGCTGGAGACCCTGGCCCTGCAGGGGTCGGGGAGGCACCAAGTGAGGGGGCTCAGTGGTACTTTTGGTGGAGTGTCTCTGTTGTGGTACTGGAGCGTTACTCTTCTCATTAGTGTCTGCTCAGTAAAAACAAAAAAACAAGGAAAGAACAGGCTACAGTTCAGGAAAGCAAAGGAATTATATGTGTGAGAGGAGGTCAGAAGAGGGTGGGATCACTACCACTCCAACGAGCTGGGGAAGACCTCAAGAGCACAGCACTGGAAAGTTCTTAAACGATGGGAAAGAGTTGAGTCCACAGGAAATGAAGGAAGTTTTTATAAATGACAAGTGTAATTTTGAAAAGCTCAGAAGTAGATAATCAGATGGAAAGGTGAATGGGTCAACATATTCTTTATTGAAAGGGCTTCTTGAATGTCTCTTTTAAAGTTCCTGCAAACCCCGAGTTCTGGGGTGTAACCCATTTTACCTGGCTCTGCGGTGAGGGCAAGAGCACCAAGGGCTTCCTCCAACTCCTGAATTTGCTGGAGCAACTTCTGACCCTTGTCTGGAAGAGCCTGGATGTCCACCGATCTCAGTGTGCTCTGAAAAACAGATCCTGTAAGATGACCTCCCGCCTCAAGTTGTTAGAAAGACAGTTTCAGATTAAAGTAGCCTAAAATGTGAAAACTCTGAAATCAGCATCCTTTAAGTGTATGTGTGAAAATCAGCGTTTGGTTTGGTTTTGTTTTAAACCCGACAGATTGACTAACCCTGAAAATATAAACCCAGGAAAAGACAGAACCTAAATATTCACCCACAAAACCTTTCTCACGATGACATGTCTGACTTGCTCGTGGACCCCAGCAAGCAATGCTCTGACCTTAAAAACAAAGCACATGGTAGGTCAGTAGTTACCTTCTTTTGCTTCAGTTGTGTTGTGAGGTATACACGTTGGGCTGCTGGGTCTGAAGGCTCCACCTTCCTGGAAACACCCGAGGCAGGAGATGGTTTTCTCTGCACACTCTGACCAGGGAACGGGAGGTTCTCCTCCTTGTGTGAGTCCGGAGTCGAGTCAAAGAGCAAGGGAGGCTCAGAGGAAGTGAAAACGGCATTATTCTCATAACGGTCGCCACGGCTGGAGGCCGCTTCCGGCCTCTGTCCCAGGGAGAGCCCTGTGGCCGGTGGCGCAGGCCCATCCCCAGGCTCTGACTGTCGGGTGGTCTGCGAGCCTGGCTCGTCCCTTGCCTTTGTTTCTCTAGCCTCCTGGCTCTTGGGGTGCTCTTTGCTGACGTGTTCCCCTTTCTGGGGCTTGCTTATTGGGTTCTGACTGTGAATAATTCCATGCAAAGGCTTGGTTTCCTTTTCCCTCAGAGGCCCTGATTTTTTTTGGACAGGATGACTCTCAACGTGTGATTTCTCCTGAAGAGACCCAGATGGTTTCCTCTGCTCCTCACCATGGCACTGCTTGGATTTAACCTCAGAAAGGTTTCTTATGTGCATCCCTTCATTCTCCCTTGCTGCACGCTGAAACTCTGTCTTCTCCCCTTGCAGCTGCTCTTGAGGTGCAGGTTGTTTTTTCTTTACCTCCAGGCCAGATGAGAGATCTTGCTTCGTCCAGCAGTTGGATTCGGGCTTCCATTCCTTCTTTTGATCCAAGAGCACATCTGCCTTTTCCTTTTGCTTCTTATCATTCATCTTATCCCCAGCTTCGCCTTTGGTGAACTGTTTCCAGAGAGACGGTTCTTGATTCTTGTCCAGGACCTTGAATGGGTTTCTCTGCTGGGTGGAAAGATAATGAAGAGGCTCACAGGCATGCTGAGACTTGTTGGTTACAGAATGCTCTTTGGAACGAGGCTCCTAAAAGACAAAGAAAATAAGCTTAATATAAAACATTAATGTGAGCATCATATCTAGAATGCCCTTTTTTCAGAGGAAATGGAAACAGTAGTCCAGTATTTCTGAACATTCCTGGGACCATTTCTGCCTCTAGGAAAGACTAGGTTCCTAACACAAAGTATTAGTTTCTGAACAGTACTTTCAATGCTTGGTTCCTTCTCTGTCCGTGACTACTGATTTCCCGGGCCTCAAGGACAAGTAGTGACCAAATCAAGTGCTTTTGCAGTTGTAACAGCCACAATGTATACCTTTCACAAAAAATTACTCTCTCGAGATGAATTTATCCCCAAACATATACAGTGTCTTATGCTTGCTTTGAGTTTGGCTTTAGGGCGGTTTCACTGTAGGAATCCAGAGTCATAAGTCTGAGCTACACCTCGACCAGTGGAAGTCTTGTCGCTTCCCTGGGCCGAGCCCCTCATGCGCTGGGCATCTATCAGTCTCTCACGGTCTAGGAGCTTACAAATGACACCCTGCTTATACCAACATCAAGGAGATAACCAGTCTATAAAAAGATGCTGAAGTCAGTCAAGTAAATCCAAATTTTTTCCTAAACAGAACAGTGACCACATTTAAGACCTTGAAAAATATTTAAGTGACATAGGAGGCAAATAATTAAATCTCCACTATAACCAAATAGTCCTTTGAATTAAAAGACCCAATAGGGTCCACATTGCTTAAAGAAAAGAACTGTCTTTCAGAGACAGTATGATGAAGACCAACCAGTTTATACTGGACTTCAAGGTCTTTTCGGGCAACACCACAGATTAAACAGTCTTAGCAGAGCAGGTTTGAAGACAGGAATAACTCTTACCTGCCATGGGATACTTCCGCACCATTGCTTCCCCGCCGCCTTACTTCTAATGCACTGGAAGAACAATCTAATGAAGTATAAAACACAAACAATCAAGGCTGTGGAAATCCATTACAACGAGATAAATTTCTTTTTCAACCAAAAAACATCTTGCAATGTTTTGGAAGGTCACTTGAAACCAATTATTCCTACATTTACATTTAAAAATTCTCTACTGCACGGGGTATGTATAAGGGCTAAGAAATGAAAGAAAAGAGGAGTCGTGGAAACCAACATGTACACAGGTTTATTCTTTTTACTCTGCAAAGAATGACTAAAATAGAAACATGATCAGCAGTGGCTGCTAAAATCAGAAAAGGAGAGATAACCAGACATTAGGTATCCCTGATGGGAAACCACGGAACAATCTATATGGTAAAACAAAACAGAACTAAGCCAAACCAAAACAAACAAAAACTAACCCAGTTCAGGTCAAACCCCCAGATTCAATTACCAATTTACGGAAAATACAAACAACAGGAACACACAGAGCTCGGCCACGGGGATGTGATCTGTAAATCTTTACAGTGAGAAATGCTCCATGACAAACAACTGCCTTCCTTCAAAAAATAAATTACAAGGGGGGAAGAAAATGGAGAGAGAACTCCAGAGACTTCAAAGACATATCAGTCAATTGCAACTGTGAACCTTATTTATTGATTTAAACAAATAAACAGAAAATTATTAAAAATAAACTATTTATGACCTCTATGAAGCTCCTGGAAATCTGCACTCCAACTGGTTCAAAAGACAGAGAATCCCTATCTCTTAGAGCCATACACTGAAACATTTACAGAAGAAGTGATGTTATCTGGGATCTGTTCCAAAATATGGCAGGAGCTGGGGGCTACAGTGGGTAGAGTATACACAGAACCAGACTGGCATGAGTTGGTAACTGTTGAAGTTCGTATGCTGCATTATTCTATCTTGTCTACTTGTATATATTTGCAATTTCCCATTTAAAAAAAAAAAAGATTATATCAGACATACATCCCAATACAAGACTGTCCCTGCACCAGTAAACACAGCCTACACACCCACTACACAGAAATGGCTATGCTGCTCCATTAGCAAACGAAACCTCGCATGTGCTCTGGCATCCCAGATTTTGCATGTGATTCTCCCTCCCTCCAAAGGATGTCCTCTTTATCCCTATTTGCCCACCACTTCCCCCATCACCAGTTGTCAAAGTCCTACAGGTCCCTCAACGTCCAGTTCGAGCCATACCTCCTTTGCAAGGTCTTCGCCCCATTCCCTTCCCTGTTCATCCACTGTATTATTTCTCTATTTCTGTTGTATTTAGTTGTATTACACTCATATCTGCCTGTCTGCCCGACTACATTTTCAGCAACCGGAAGGCTATAACCATATGTGATCTCCTTATTCCCAAGTATGCCTTGCCTTTTGTGCATAACTGTTCAGTATCACAGAATTAAATAGAGTGAGCTGATTTTTTCCTTACCCAAAATGATTCCTCAAACACATTGAATAGTCAAAGAAGAGCTTTCAAATATCATTTTACTTAATTGTTTAACTAGGTAATAAACTCAACCAAAAAGTATAAAATGGCCATGAAAAGGACCCACTCACGGTACCCTATATGCCCAGTTCCCATCCCTTCCAAGTAACCATTCCTATTAGCTTTCTGTTTACCTTCCCAGAGATTTTTAAATGTATATTCAGATCAATATAAATATATGAATCTTAGTTTCCTTTTCCACACCAATAGATAGCATAGTATCCATACTACTAAATACCTTCCTTTTTTTTTTAAACGTCTTCAAAATTTTTCTAGAAGAACATATAAAGGGTTTACACACACACACACACACACACACATTTTTCCCCCTACAGCTGCACAGTTAGTTTCCCACTATTTAGAGTTCCATTATTTATTTATCCAGAACCCTCTTGATAGACAGTTTGGTTGTTTCCAATTTTGTGCTACTAAAAACAACGTCACAATAAATTTTAATATATCTGAAGAGTAACTGCTTATTTCTCATACTGTATACTAGGGCCTTCTCTGTTTTCTTGATCAATTGCTTTCTGGATTTTATTTATTGCTGTTATTGAACTCATTAAATTCCATTTTTACCTACATTAATCCTTTCTTCCTCCTTTCTTTCAGTTTAATTTCTTGCTCTTCTCTAACTTCTTAAGTTAGTCCCGTGATATACAACATGAATCAAGACAGTCTGAGTCCCAATTCAAAATCCCCGGATGTCATTACCTCACCTGGACATGTAAGCAAAGATAAGCCTCAAATGAACAAGTGTTCCATAAAAGTCAAAGTAAAAAGAAAATAGGTCCAGCCCCTCTCATACAAACTCATAATTTTCCCATTCAAGCTCAATTTTCTGAAAAAAATTTTACTGGTCTCTTTAGTTTTTCTCACAGCAATAGGATATTATATTGAACATGTGTAATAAAATTTCTGAGATGCTTCAAATGCGTAACAATTCAAAGTATTGGCAAGAATAAATTTCTGCTGTTATTTTAAGTGTATCAAGGCAAGACTATCTCATAAATCCTATCTATTTGAAAGCCCAAGCCACTGCAGACTTTCAAAAGGGCAGGAACTTGGAGACCAAGAAGGGAGAAAACAACACATGTATGATTTAACTACTAAGCATGGATATGTTCTAGGCACGGTGCTAAAAATGCTTGTACTTGTGTTTTTATTAAAACCAAGCTGGATGGGCTTCTCTGTTTTTAGGATAAAAAGTTTGTTATGTTTATTAAATTGCAAATCAACAAAGAAAGCAATGGAAATATATTCTCAGAGAAATCAAATATTGATTCTGCTATGAAGAAGAGTATAATTTCTGCAGTATATCCATTATTTCCCAGGACATAAGCAATAAATAATAATGAGGAACACAGCCAGAGGAAGCCAGACCTCTTCGATGCTTCACGAGAAGGCATATCCTCCCTTCTTCCTAAAGGCTGATCGTCTAACCCAGACTTACACTCTCAGGCACGTTCACTTCAGCCAGGCCAGGAGTCTCTCGGGCTCCAGAGTCATCCTCCGTTGGTTCGAATCCCAGCCTCACTACATAATTAGCTCTGAATCCTCAGATACCTCACTTGACTAGTCTCTGTGCCAGTTTCCTTTTCTCTAAGATGGCCAAAAAAAAAAAAAAAACCAACACACACACACACAAAACAAAAGAAGTACCTACCTCATAAGATCACTGTGAAGACCACATGCATTAATACATGTAAAGATAAGGTTCAGACCAACGCCTGACCCATATTAAGGACTTGCTAAGCAATAATAATCATTAGTTCACTCCCTCTGACCCTCTTGCTATTCCTATATCCACACTTCCGCTTATAGCCCCCAAGTACTTATCTTTTACTGTATCCAAATTTTATTTTATTTTATTTATTTATTTTTTTTTTAAAAAGATTTTATTTATTTATTTGAGAGAGAGCACATGAGAGGGGGCAGGGTCAGAGGGAGAAGCAGACTCCCTGCCGAGCAGGGAGCCCGATGCGGGACTCGATCCCGGGACTCCAGGATCATGACCTGAGCCGAAGGCAGTCGCTTAACCAACTGAGCCACCCAGGCGCCCTACTATATCCAAATTTTAAAGGTCATTCAAGGCCAGTCTCAACTCCTACACTATCTCAGTAACTTGCACCAGCATTAACCCCTTACTGCAGGTCTTACTAGATCACAGAAGCGCCTGCACTTGAACACATCCAATTTAATGCTACTACATGCAGATCGCGCTGGGCACCAGCCTTCCTGTGTCTGACTCTTACCCCAGTGGTGTCAGAGCCCCTTAGGAATACAGGTTCCCTTGTTTATATGCGCCAGCACTAGAAAAACATAAAGCTGGATTTCTACCTCATTCTCTTACATTAAAATTCAAGATGGAACGAAAATGCAAACGTAAAAAATGCAACTGTAAATGTTCTGGGTAAAAAAAGAGAGATGAATTTTTTTTTTAATCCTAACGTGAAGAAGGCTTTTCTAAGTGGGACCTGAAGCCCTGCAGCTGAGAGGTAAAGGATTTAGTAATTCTGGCCACACAAAAGTTTTAAATGTTCAGCTGCGGAAGCCACTGAGGGGCAGCAACATGGCTCTCCGCTACCCTACAGCCGTGAAAAAAAAAAAGGTTTAAACTTCCATATGGCAAAAATACCATTAGCAAAATTATAAGACAAAAGGCAAAGTGGGAACAGTAATTGTGACACACAGAGCTAACAGCCTTCACATACAAGGATTCCTTCCATTACCTAGCACAGTGCATGATACTCTACAATATAAATACAAGATGTACTAACTTTATTGAGGGGGGCTCTTCATGGGGTGGTAGGACTTAAGGTGCTTCTGCACAGGCCTGGCTTATACCCAAATTTCTATCATCTCCTCAGAAAATCATCACTGGGCTGTATCATCTGCACCCCAATTTTACCCAATAACCAACCACACAAAGGAATCTGCTAGACATGCAAAGATTCAAATGTTATTAAAAATATTTTTTTAAAGATTTTATTTATTTATTTGAGAGAGAGAGTAGAGCAAGAGAGAGAGCGCACGATTGGAGGGGTGGTAGAGGGACAGGGAGAAGGAGATTCCCCACTGGGCAGGAGCCCAACCAGCTGGATCCCAGGACCCTGGGATCATGACCCGAGCTGAAGGCAGCTGCGTAACCGACTGAGCCACCCAGGCGCCCCTAAAAATAAAATATTTTGAACATCCCACAACAACCAGTTTTTTAAAGAACGAAAACTTGTTTTACCTAGTTATAGATAAAAGAATACTTCCATCTATTTTGATTCTCTATCCTTGAGAAGTTGAAAGACAAAGGAGAGGAGGGGGAAACGGGAGGGGAGCAAACAAGAACTCAGGAAGCTCAGTGACAACGTCCACACTTGATTTGTAAATCAAGGTGTGTGTGCCACATCATTCAAGTCAGGGCAAGAGTTCTTCCCCTGGTTCTACTGAGTAACTGTTTCTTTACTGTTCCTAAACAGAGGGCCAAGGCTGAAGGGTCAGTCAAATGCTGGTGAGTGGCACCATCTGGTGTTTAAGTTAGAGAACTGCATGCAAATGCACCTACATGCCAAGGAATGAAAAATGGGCATCTTAGCCTCCCCGGAGCTTACACCTCCTTCCCATTACTCTGCTGCACCTGTCTCCTAGTTGGGTTAAGCTTCAAACATACTGGAATTAAGTCAAAGATGTGAAGTACTTTAAGTTCAGTTTTCAGAAGAAAAGGTTATACTCCCTGAGGTCATTCTCCAGAGTACAGGGGTTCTGGCTATATGCACTAACTGTCTGCTAAGGAAGTCATCTATTGGCGTACCTAATTCTGTTAAAATTTCCAGTCTGTACTACCAGTCAGGGTACTTGTTTGTTTTTTGTTTTTTATTTATTGTGTGTTGTATGACTGTATTTTATTTGTCCTAAAACAACCTTTTAAAACCTCCAGTAAGTACCTCCTAGTAATGATGTTCTAGACTTGGGCTAAAAGAAAACATTTGCATACTCTACTTTTCTATTTTATTTCTTTTTTTGGGGGGGGGGGGAAGACAGAGACTCTTAAGCAGGCTCCACACCTAGCGAGAAGCCCGACACAGGGCTCAATCTCACAACTCTGAGATCGTGACCTGAGCCAAAATCAAAAGTCGGACGCTTAACAGACTGAGCCACCCAGGTACCCCTTTACTTTTTGATTTTATTTTTTTTTAATTAATTAATTTCTTTATTTTTAAAGATTTTATTTATTTTTATTTGAGAGAGAGAGAATGAGAGAGAGGGAGTACATGAGAGGGGGGAGGGTCAGAGGGAGAAGCAGACCCCCCACCCAGCAGGGAGCCCGACGCGGGACTCAACCCCAGGACCCTGGGATCATGACTTGAGCCGAAGGCAGACGCCCAACGACTGAGCCACCCAGGTGCTCTTACTTTTCTATTTTAAAATAACGATCAACTCTCAGCCTCATCTCCCTAATATGAAGAATGTTTGTGGTAAATTCTCAAAATTCCATCTTGAGCCTAGACCTTTCTTTGGAGCTGCACTGACTTCTCCAGCTGGTTTCATATATACCTAAGACATGATTAGTTCAAAGCTGTCTGTGTTGGCCACACATCCCAAACCTCCATCTATGTTACCTTGTCTTGCTTAATGGTAAACTCATCACCCATAAATCCCAACTTAACAACCATTTACTGAGCACTCACAGCGAGCCAAACGCCAGACCGCGTGCATCAGATCCATGACCTCACTGAATCCTCACAACCCAGGGAAGCCGGGACTGCCAGGGTCACTATTCCTGAGGGGAAAATGAGGGAGAAAGGTACATGCTTAAATGCCCCACCAGAAAGTCGTCTTACTGATTTTCTTTCAGCAAGTTTTCCACAACCTAAGTCCACCCAACTTCACTGCTAATGCCTCAATCCAAGCACACCTTTCACTTAGAGACTAACGTGGATTCATCTAGAATCAGCTAGACCGTGGTCTGAATCCCAGCAATGCCACTCCACAACCCTGGGACCTGCTTCCTTTCCTAACCTCTCTAAATGTTAGTTGCCTCATCTTCCTGTCACAGAAGAGACTATGGCAGTAAGCAATACTGACGATGCCATTTACTAGACATTTAATGGCACTTCTGTATTAGCAGTCTCCTTGCCTCCACCATCTTCCTTTCGAACCAACCGTCCTCAGAGCTCCTCTTTTATTAATGCAAATTGGACCAAACATTCTTCAGTGGCTTCCTACAACCTAGAACAGTCTTCCCATATGGTAGAGGGTTCCCCCACCCCCAGCATCACTTAAATGGTTTTAGGTGTCAGGACATCCTGACTTTATGCTCTAGAGGCTTACAAGTCTCACTGTACTAACAAAAAAAAAAACAGTCAAAAAGTGAAAATTTCAGAGTGCCTGCGTGGCTCAGTTGGCTGATCATCTGACTCTTGGTTTTGGCTCAGGTCATGATCTCAGGGCCATGAGACTGAGCCCCATGTGGGGCTCTGTGCTCAGCGGGGAGTCTGCTTGAAGAGTCTCTCTCTCTGCCCCTCCCCCTACTCTCTCTCTCTCAGATAAACAAATAAATCTTTTTAAAAAAGTGAACAATTTAAAAATACCATTTATGGTATCAAAAATCATAACACTCTCTGAGGACTAAATTTAACAAAAAGAGTAGAGTACTCACTCTACAGTGAAAACTATTCAACAATGCTGGGGAAAAAAAAGCCATAAATACACTATGCTCATAGACTGGAAAATCAACATTAATGTCAGTTCTTCCCAAAAGGATCTATACAGATTCAGTGTAATACCAACAAGTTTTTCTAAGGAAATTTAGAATTCAATGCTACATTTTATATGCAAATGACCCAGAATAGCCAATCTTGAAAAAGAAGAATGTTGGAAGACTCATACTATCTTACCTGATTGTGTCAGGATAGGCAAAAGGACCAACAGAACAATTAGCAAGTTCAAAAAAACAGATCCATAACATGGTAATCACTGATTTTTTACGAAGTGCCAAGCATTTCCATGGCGAAAGGAAAGTCTTCCAAAATGGTGCTAAGACAACTGAATAATATTCATTAATATATGGAAAAATAAATGACCTACTCCTACCTCATAAGATACCAAAACTTAATTTGAAGTAGATCACAGACTAAGCAGAAAAGCCATTAAGAAAACAAACTAACTATAAAACCTCTAGAAGAAACCCTTGGAGAAATTTGTGATCTTGGGGCAGGCAAAGATTTCTCAGAGAGAACACACAAAGCACAAAGGACAAAAAAATGATAAACTGGACTTTATAAAAATGAGAAATTTCTACTTTTCAAAAGGGAGTTAAGAAAATGAAAACCAAAGACTTGGAGAAAATATTCATTATATATGTATTTGCCAAAGAACTTGTATAGGGAATATATAAAAAACTCTTCAAATTCAGTAATAAAAAGACAACACAATTTTTAAAGTAGGTAAAAATCCCCCAAAGTTACACTTTATGATACCATTGATATAACATTTCTGAAATGGCAAACTTTAGAAACAGAGATGAGATTCCTGGTTGCCAGAGATGACGTGGAGGGAGTGGGAGGCAGGGTAGAGGAATTCAGTGGTGAAGGAACTGTCCCATATCTTGACTGTGGTAGTGCATACAAAAAAACTACACATGATAACTGTATAGAACTAAATCTATACACACACACACACACACACATTAGTACAAGGAAAACTATCTTCATAAATAAGATCAGTGGGCTGAATCAATATCCTAATTGTAATATTATATACTATTTACATACACTTTGCAAAATATTACCATTAGGTAAAGTCTACAGGGGGTCTTTTTGTACTATTTCTTATAAATGCATGAGAATCTACAATTACCTCAATAAAATTTTCAATGAAAAAAATGGGCAAAAGATTTAAACAGATACTTCACCAGAGAAGATATATAGATGACAAATAAGCACGACAGACTGTGATATTCACAGAGTGGAATTCAACTCAGCAATAACGAAGAATTACGGATACACACAACCACATGGATGAATTTCACAGATATTGTTACATAAAAGAAGCCAGACATAAAAGAATGAATCAAAACAGTGGATGCCTATGGTAGAAGGGGGTCCAATGGCACTTAATGGGGTAAGAGAAATATTTCTGTATTTTGACTGAGGCTTGGTTATATCAATTTCTCAAACTCAACTACTGAACACTTAAAAATCAATGCATCTTATTGTATCCACAACTCAATTAAGAAAAACAGCAGAATTGGTATTTAAGTGACATGTGAAGATGGTACTGAAATGCCAATATGGGGGGTGGGGGGGATTGATCTAGAATATATACATTCTGAACTGCACAGAATATCATATAATGACCATCATACCTGGCCCCTGCCTTCCTGGGCAGCCCTATCTTCTGAAATCTCTACTCAAACACATGCTAAATTATTACCAAACCAAATAGTTGCAATTCCTGGTTACTTCCTAACTCCATACCCTAATGCAGGGTATTGATCTGTTAAATATGACCCCTTTCTTGCCCCTACCGAATTCCTACTTACCTTTGAATACTCATGACAAATATCACCTGTCACCTATATAGATTTCCCTGCCTCACCTCTGAGTTTTCATAAAAAAGAAGGGAAACTAACATTTATTGAGTGCTTAAATACTTTAGACATTTTTAGACATTACTTCATTCTAGTACTAGAATGGAAAAGTTGACAAGTCACTGCAAGTTCATGACTGTTGGTGGGCTGACATTACTGGCTACTGAAGAGCGGGAGAGGGAGGAAGGTAGAGCAGTTGATCCTGAAATTAACCAGATTCTCAAATTAACCAGTTGCTCTGCAGTGAGGGAGTAACATCTCAGAAGGCATTCAATACATACAGAAATCCTCTTTGTGAAAAATCATTTTTACAGAATAGTCAATTCTAGGAAAACACATCTGGCTGTAACTCTTCCAGGGAAAGACAGAAGCAAATACACGTAGATGTTCCTTTTGGACACTTACCTATATTCTTCCTTGCCTGGCGGTAGAAGCAAACCCTGAAGCCCTACCACACAGTCCTCGTGCAATAAACAATGAGAGACAGGAATACTAGAGGGGAGGGGAAAAAAAAGAAATTTTGTTTTAGGAGGCAACAGAAATTAACGTTCTAAAATTAAATCCGAACTATGGATTTTACTTATTTATTTATTTTTGAGAGAATGTGTGTGTGCGTGCAAGCGCACACGCGCACACACAAGGGGGTAGGGCAGCGGGAGAGAGAGGGAGAACCTCAAGCAGGCCCGGGACTCGATCACATGACCCTGAGAGCACGACCTGAGCCAAAACCAACAGCCCAACGTTTAACTAACAGAACCACCCACGTACCCCTAAACTATGGGTTTTAAACATAAGAATGCAAGTATGACCTCTACTGGGTTTGTTAATCCCATACATTTGTACGTCTATGCACATTCCTCTGGGGAAAGGCTCTACAGCTTTCATTTTTTTCCCCACTCCCCCAAAGACAGGATGACAATAAATAGGCCTTTCTCCTGATGACTCAAAAGCTCAAAACTATACTGTTCTGTGACCTCTACATTGTGAGACAACCCCCCCCCCGCCACCCCCCCAGGAACAGCTGAAGTATCTAAGACTGGCTGTGAATTTTCCACAGGTTCTTCCATCATCCCTTTTCCTATAACAATCTGTTTAGGAGCAGGCTCTCCTAACCTGCTTCATGCCTGGCGTAAGTTTTTTAACTCTTCTTTTCCAATTTATTATGAGAACATTTGAGGCTACAGTTTTGAGTGAAGACCTAAAATACTCTCATATGACATGTGGCTCTTGTTTCTTCCTTTGTTTTGCTTATATCCTGGTTACCAGACATATCCCAAATTGGTCAAAGTTATCAAATAACTATTATATTGTACTAGTTTGACAGCAGTGCATTTGCATAAATGGTATTCTATATAAGGATTTGCTTTTCTTTTTTTAATGATTTTATTTTCAAATAACCTCTATACCCAACATGGGGCTCAAACTCACAACCCCAAGATCACGTGCTCCACCAACTAAGCCAGCCAGGCACCCCAAAGGTATGTTTCTTTTAACATAAAGCTGAGGGGCGCCTGGGTGGCTCGGTCGTTGAGCGTCTGCCTTCGGCTCGGGTCATGGTCCCGGGGTCCTGGGATCAAGCCCCGCATTGGGCTCCCTGCTCTGCGGGAAGCCTGCTTCTCCCTCTCCCACTCCCCCTGCTTGTGTTCCCTCTCTGGCTGTCTCTCTCTGTCAAATAAATAAAAATAAAATCTTAAAAAAAATAAATAAATAACATAAAGCTGAGTCCCATGCTACCATTAATGCTTTGTTCCTACAAATCTGAACATGCTTCCATGTTTCATGAAACTTGAGCTAGGTACAGAACCTAAGAAACTCAGTATAGAAATTAGAAATAAATAGTAAATCCTGACTTGATGATATGTCGTTGAGAGCTTAACTGGCTTGTCCCTTCTATCTTAAGATTGGACACTGCTTTTTTCAAAATCGTTTCGTATGTAACTTAACTGGATCCCGGTAATTTCTTTCCAATAAAAGGACAACTTATTAGAGGGCTAAGAAAGTATTTCCTCTAAAAATTTATTTGCCAAATCTGAAAACAGAAACAAATTTCTTCACTTAGCTTCAAAGTACAACAAAGATAGAAATCATCTAAATCATGTAAGGGAAACGTAAGTTAATATACACATGTTAAAAAATACTTTATTTTCTAGTATTGATATCCACTTTGTGCCTTACATCAGATGGAGAAAATTTGTTTCTCTACCAAATTCAGTAGAGAGCAGGGAAAATGTCTAATGTGATAAAGTTTAAAAATTCACATGGGCTGTGGACCTTATTAACATTTTATGACAACTGTATTAACTTTTCTCACTTGAAGAAGATGCTTAACATTTCTGGGTCCCAGCTTCCAATTTTGTGAAACCAGAATGTTGATCAGATATCTGATTTCCTATCAAAAATTGATGTAATGTATGGTGATTAACATAACATAATAATAATAAAAAAAGATATCTGATTTTCTTTCAGCATTAATCCTAAAGTAACCTGCTTTTTGGATTATCAATCTTACACCTTAAATGCAGAGTATCCTTTTCTTTTTTGAGACACAGAGTGAGAGACAGTGGGCACAAGGGGGCGGGGGGCAGAGAGGGAGAGAGAATCTTAAGCAGGCTCAACACCCAGTGCGCAGCCCCAAGCGGGGCTCTATCTCAGGACCCTAAATCATGACCCCAGCGGAAATCAAGAGTCAGATGCTTAACCAGCTGAGCTACTCAGGTGCCACCAGAGAATCCTCTTTTTAAAAGGAGTTGATAATCTGACCACCAGCGAGTTTTAAGCTCAAACATTTAAAAATAAGTTCGGCCTGGGGCGCCTGGGTGGCTCAGTTGGTTAAGCGACGGCCTTCGGCTCAGGTCATGATCCTGGAGTCCCGGGATCGAGTCCCGCATCGGGCTCCCTGCTCGGCAGGGGGTCTGCTTCTCCCTCTGACCCTCCTCCCTCTCATGCTCTGTCTCTCATTCTCTCTGTCTCAAATAAATAAATAAAATCTTATAAAAAAAAAATAAGTTCGGCCTGAAACTAGTGCAAAACAGGGACCAATTATTTTCTACTATGTCTGCATGTCCTCACTTAGCAGGGAGAGGCAATGTCCTAGCAGAAGGGCTGGCAAGCAAGAAGAAACCCAGAGCTGGAAAGGACCAGAAGGTTCCAACTGTAGTTGACCTTCCACTTTACAGGTGGGCGAAAAGGAGGCCCAGAGAGGGTGAGTAAGCTGCCCAGGGCCAAACAGGAAGCAGGAACGGCGGGCCTCCTGAACCCGCCACGCTGGCCTGGGATCACCAACTACTTAAAGGCCCCGGCTGCACACACCAGGATCCCCACCTCTCCTAGTGCCAGTGGCGCCGGGCGGAGGGGAGCTGGCGGTGGCAGGCAGTCATGCCCATCTCGAGACTTACTCGGCTGCCAGCACGAAGCTGCAGGTGTTAGCCGGGCACACGTAGAAGCTCTTTCCTTTATTCGGGCCATCGCGGACGCCGGTCTTGAGAAAGCACACGATCCCTGAAGACAGGAGGTTGATAATGATTACGCCAAGCTACACTGACGATCCCGGGAGCCCCTAAAAGACCCGGACCCCTTACCGTGCTCGGAGCACCTCACCGCTTCCATGAGCGCTCCAGTCTGCAATTGCACGGAGCCACCCCCCAACGCCTGCTTCCGCCTCTGACTCCGCCCTCCTCGCTCAGGAGCCAATCAGCATCCATCTTCTGCAGGCTCACCCCCCCCTCCCCCCATAATTCACCGCGCGGGGCCCTAACCAGCCACCTTCGCGGGCGCCCTGAGTTTAAATAGTGGGGCGTGGCTGAAGCTGGCAGGGCCTTTTGGAAGGTGGCTGGGCGTTCCCGGCGAGGGGCCTTCCGGGGGAGGGGCTTTCCCGGAGAGGGGCTTTCCCGGCGAGGGGCTTTCCGGGGGAGGGGCTTCGCTTGGCTGGTGCGGGAGAGGGAGGGGCGAGGCTGAGGCCGGGCGTGACTCCAGTTTATAATTGAGACCCAGATGCGGCCAACCTAGAGGGAGCGCGCGTTGCAACTGCAGGGGGGTGCTCTGCAAGGAAGGCTCCTTCCTCCCGGCGGCACACGGCGCCCGAAGCCTCGCGGTCGTCTCCGAGCCGGGGCCTGGGTCTCGGTCCCTGAGGAGGCGAGGCCGGGAGAAGCTGCTGCCTGTGAACTTGCAGGGCTGGGGCGCGGTGGTGTGCGGGTTCCTGGGCGCGTCCCTTCAAGTTGCGCGGTGAAACGAAAAGTCTGGGGGAGAGCAGGCACGAAGAGTTGTGCAGGGAACCACCCCCCTCCCAGCGATCCTTTAAATTTGCATTGCGCTTTAGACTTCACAGAGTGCGCATACATCCACGTCTCTCGTGTCTCGACAGCCTGGTGAGATGGGCAGCATTATAAGGAAGACTCCGAGGTTCATAGACATTTGAGTGACTCAACCAAGGTCACAGAAGGAGTGAGTGGGCGACCCACCGACAGGTGCCCGGGGGACTGCGCAGCTGCTTCCTGTGTGTACTGAATGTTCTCTAGGCCCTCTTAGTGCAGGAACCCGGAGTTGTACGAGTCAAAGTGGGAACAAGCAGGAAAAAATAGATAACCTTTGATGAGAGGCACTCTGTATATTTTGTATTGTCAAACTTGTCCTATTAGTATGCTTTTGTAATGTTAAAAATCGAGGCTCGAGTTAAAGAAAAGAAAGGGAACTGTATTTGAAATGGTAATCAGAGCTATTAGCAAAGAGGGAGGAATAGAAATCAGAGACGTATTGCAACAGAGATGGATTCATATTACAGTTATCGAGGACCATATGACCAGACATATGGTGTGGCACATGCAACTGTTCTTATGGGACAGTAAGACAGAAAATCTGTAATGTCTAGGAAATCTGGGTTATATGATAAATGTACGTGGAGGGGGGGACAGGCGGCAGGGGCTTCACAGGAGGGGAGACAAACCTGAGGTATCATTATTAATTAAACAAGTACTTACTAAATAGCTTTTTGTGTGCCCATTGTGCACAAGGTGCTCAGGAAATACAGAATTCGTTTATTCATGCACGAAGTTTGAAACAATTACTCTAACCACAAGGATCTTAGTATATGAAGGAGGCTGAGTTAGCACATATCGAACACTTAAATAACAAAGTAAAATAGTATTTAAATGTCAAGATGAGTGGAGTTAGTAAACTCTGTAAGGCTGGATAAAGGTGTGTTTGGAAGCAAAGTAGAAGTAGTTTATACATAACTACCTCTCTGAAACACCTATAGACGAACTTAGAGATAAGGCAGGAACAAAAAGCAAATAAATAAATAGAGGCATTTTCATTATACCCAGATTATAATTCTTTCATTGAGAGATTTTTGTGTACATATTTACTAGATGCTGTATTGGGAGAAGTAGACTGTGAGTACTGGATCTGCAGGATGAGGACCATGGCAATTTAATTATTTCTTGAATAAATAAGCTTTTTGAAACAAGACAAAATCAAAAGGGCCTCTTACATATCCCATTGAAGAAGAAGCTCTTCCTCTGCAGGATCTAAGGCAGTGTTTTAGTTCCAACCCCACCCACGTAAGTGTGCACAGCCAAATTACAGAAAGGGGGAATATTTCTTCCATTAACTTGGGATATGCCAGATCAAAATGTTCAGGCTCCAGGCAGTTTATCCCACCTAACCATATCTGTAAGAGTGAGAAAACAAATAAGATGGTCCTTGGGTGAAAGGTGGCCATAATAATGGCATAAACTGTAATGAATTATATAATATACGCTTTTCAAAATATACATTAGTGCATGTGTCTTAACTTTTATTCTTAACTTATTTAATTTATATTCTAATTAGCCTGCAGCCCCCTGGAGAGAATGTGTTTCACTGACCTCTATTTGGAGTAAAGTTGAGAGTTTTACTTTGTCTCCCTTTTTTTTTTTTTTAAAGATTTTATTTATTTATTTGACAGAGAGAGACATAGTGAGAGCAGGAACACAAGCAGGGGGAGTGGGAGAGGGAGAAGCAGGCTTCCCGCGGAGCAGGGAGCCTGATGTGGGACTCGATCCCAGGACCCTGGGATCATGACCCAAGCCGAAGGCAGACGCTTAACGACTGAGCCACCCAGGCGCCCTTACTTTGTCTCCCTTTAAAGCTTGATTTATTCAAAAGGAATGCCTAGGCGAGGTTCTAGAGCTAGATGGTTTAAATCCACAGGTTAAAGATCCAGTAAATTCTTTCCCTATGGGGCTGGTCAAATGCAAAGTATATGATAGAATTGTTCTAAAACTGAATTGTGGTAATGGCTACATAACTGTATGCAGTTACCAAGACTCGGGCAACCATGTATGTTAGGGAATTCTATGGTATCTAAATTATCCCTCAATAAAGCTGTTAAAAACAAACAAAAAACTTAATGTATGAGTCGTGCCAGAACATCTGCCTGGAAAATAAAAGCTAAGATCATCTCGATATTTTGACATCCTAAGGAAATAGAGTGGGTGAAGGAGTAAAATGGTAGACACTCGTTAGTTTCAGATAGTGTGGCTCCTTATGCAGCCTGCTTCTCTGACCTATGGAATGAAATCTCAAGTGATGCAAACACTCATTTGAATTCTTGGGGAAATGAAAGAATTCTGTCTCCTCTGGTCAGCATTGTGCTGGTTGGCTTATGTTGAGCCTGCCAGGCACCTGTAAGATACTGGTGGTGAGAGGATCGGCTACAACAGGCACCCCTTGACGTCCTTGTCACTCCGTATCGTTTAGAAATAATCATTGAGGGGTGCCTGGGTGGCTTAGTCGGTTATGCGTCTGCCTTTGGCTCGGTTCATGATCCCAGGCTCCCTGCCGGGTGGGGAGTCTACTTCTCCCTCTCCCTCTGCCCCTCCCCCTACTCATGCTCTGTCTCTGTCTCCCTCTCAAATAAATAAATAAAATCTTAAAAAAAAAAAAATCAGTGATTCCAAGTTATTTGTAAAATTCCAGCTTCTGTGAAGCCTTTGGCTTTACTCAGTATTTAAATAAATTGTTCAAATGTGTTTTTCCAATCGGCTGATAAATTCTAAGACATATATTTTATTTTCTGAACTTCTATCTTTCAGGGTTTTTGCTTAATTGTTTTGGGGGTGGGGTGGGAAGAAGTAACTACTTCAAAATGTCAGATTTTTGCCCACGGGGCACCTGATTACTGGTGGGAACCATCGCAGCCTACTGTTTTCTGAAGTGTATTCTGAAATAAGTGTTTTTACATACTTGTTCACACTTGGTTCTCACACGGACCTTGGCAGTGGGTGTTCTTTTATAGAGTAGAAGACCAAAGTTCAGAGTAGTTAGGAACTTACTCCAATGCCGTGCCTCTAACCGCTAACTTCCAGAGAGCCTCTGCTTGAACTCTGGGGCCAGTTAGGGCCCATAGATTAATCTTGTTCCGGCTCAAAGTCACAAAGCTGACACCAAGCAGATCAGGGGCTGGAAGCTATTTTTTGAGATTCCCAATCCAGTTCTTGCCACTACAGTATTTTTTGGAAGCATAAATTATTCAGCGATCCATTCAGATATTTAACCTACACACAGCCAAGCATTTGGATATTTGTGGTATACAGACAAGTCTCAACAAATCCAAGGTAAAAAAAAAAAAAGGCAAGTCGAGTGGCGCCATTTTATAAATGATCACGAGGTGGCGGCATAGGAACATAAAAACCAAACACAAGGCCCTCCTCTTCTGCTGTTTCATTCTTTTTGTTTAAGGATATGTAACAGTAACTCAATTTCCTTTCATATTGTGCCTTTCAAAGATATGACCCTTCGACACAGGCACCTTCAGGATGATATTATGTTAAGGATAAATCTGGTTATCATTTGAAAAGCCGAGAGACTTTACAAATTCATTTGTTGCATATTTCTTATTAGGTTCCAAATTTCACTCGTCTTAAAAGTGTCCCCAAAATGGTTCAAAGCGCCCCCTCCTTCATCTACTTTGTGTGTGTGTGTTTGGTGAGTGTACAATTCAATACTTTTTCAGTAAACTTACAAAGTTGTGCAGCCATCACCATAATCCAGTTTTAGAACGTTTCGATCACCCCCAACACGTCCCTCAAACCTGTGCATAGTAATCCTCACTAACACTCCAGTACCAAGCAACCACTGATCTGCTGTCTGTCTTTATAAATCTGCCTTTTCTGGACATTTCACATAAATGGAGCATACAGCATGTAATCTATAGCGTCTGTCTTCCTCCATGAAGCACAATGCTTTTGAGGTTCCTCCATGTTGTAGCATGTATCCATATTTTATCCTTTTTATTGCGGGAGAGTATTCCATTGTATTCACTCATCAGCTGATAAACATTTGGGTTGTTTTCCTTTTGTGGTTATTAGGAATAACGTTGTTATGAACATTAACTAGTGTTTGTGTGGACATTTGTTTTCATTCCTCTCAGGTAGGTACGGAAGGGTGGAATTTCTGGTTGTGTGCTAAATTTAGGTTTCACTTTTTAAGGAATTGCCAAACTGTTTTCCAAAGTGGCTGAACCACTTTATTTTCTCCTGAGTAGGGTATAAATGTTGCAGCCTCGCGCATCCTCACCAACACTTGTTATTGTCTGCCTTTTTTTTATGATAGTCATTTTCCTATTTGTGAAGTGGTATCTCCTTTGGGTTTTAATTTGCATTTCCTAATGACTT